TGTCTATAAATTGACTTATTCAAAAGCTAGTCAAACTCACAACCTAACATCAGTCTAACCACAGTCTAACAACAAGTTGACGAATGTGTTGATCTAGACAATCTTTCACCAAAAATATCTCAAAAAAATAATCTTTGATTGTTGATATTGAAGATTTTATAAATTTTGTTTGGAAGAACTTTTAAACAGAACATCAATGATATACAAATCCTTATACTGATCAGCAATCACTCATCAAAGTTTCTTAAAATATTTTTCAATCATCCTCAAAAATAAGGAAACTCATCTTTGTAGAAAAAAAATCAATGTGGAAATTCTTTATGTATATTTCCTGTATAGAAGATTATTAATGAATGATTATTGTGGGGGTAGAAATGCAAGATAGTTCCTTGGTGTCTAATATGACATAATAGACTTGGGAAATCTATCATCTAAGGGATTTTGTCATATTATAAATTTCAGTTGTAGTTCTTTGAAGGCAACTAGTGCAAACCAATTGGAACCTTCATAGGTGAATATAGTTAAGAGAGTCATAATCACTATAAATTTTAATACTTTTATATACAAGCATTTAATGTATCAGCCCACTAAGAAAACTAAATGAAACTATCAAAAAATACACCAAAATGTTAAACGTTGTTAGAAATACTAATTCACCCCCTCTCTTGGAATTTAATCTAACCTACAAGAGAACCAACACAAATATTTTGGAAAACAATGAATTAAAATTTCATTGTAATATTCTACAATTTCATCATCTTGAAAATTGTACATATAATCTATATGATCATTCTCTTCCTTTTATGTGAATTTTCTTAAATTAACTACTCCCTAATATGGACACATATTAGATTTATGACATTCCTCACTGCACCCTAGGACAATTTGTGTCATAAAAGTTTTTGACAATCTACTTCACCAAATATGTTGTGTTACTTCTTTGTAATATAGTTATTATACATATCATGGCATGTCACTTTGGCCAGCATCACAATAGATTGCTTACTTTCTTATAATAAAAATATGAAATATTACTAGAATTTCAAGATTTACCTCTTACCTTTTCAATAAGAGACAGCCCATTAAAATACCATAATGACATCATTTAGTTTGTAAAATAGTCATAAGGCTGCCTTTCCTTTGATATTCCAATTGACATTATGTTGAAATTTGATAATTTATATAGGAGTCAAATTGATGCAGTCCAAAGCTTGAAGCCCACTACTAAACAAGCCTAAAGCCCACTATTAATGCACTTAGAAGTTCATTACTGTTGTAGCTTCAAGCCCACTTTAGTTTCAACTATCCCACTTACGTAATTAGGCCCATATCTCTATTTTTATTATTTTTAAAATTTCATCTAAAATTCAAATTTGAAATTTAAATTTAAATTTTATCCAAATTTTAATTCTCATTTAAAATTAAAATTTTATTTCTCATTTAGATTTTATTTTTAAAATTTAAATTTCATTCAAATTTTGATTTCAAATTTAGACCATTTGAAATTCGAATCTTAGCACCAAATTTAGACCATTTGAAATTCGAACCTTAGCACCAAATTTAGACCATTTGAGATTTGAATCTTAGCACAATTTGATTCTTCAGCCTATTTAAAGGCACCCCATATAACCCTAATGCATATTACTTTTCTATCAATTTTGTGAGTTTCTTCTCTTTAAGTTCTCTTCTTCTGCTGGTGGACTCCAGCACCTTTGTGGACTTAGAAAATCTTATTCTTAATTTTATGAATTCAAAATCATCACCTTGCGGACTCGAGGGATCTGTCATCTTTCAACCTATGGATTTAGAGCAAATAGACAATCACCAAAACGTATTTTTTGAGGATTCAAGACGACTTCGACCTCCACAATATTAAAATTGATCACAACTCATCCAAGCCGTCCCCTTCTCAAGTTTCATTGCATCAAGTGGTATTAAAGCAAGGTCAGCACTTAAGATTTAGGTTTAAAAGATGTCATGAGGTAAAATGATTCACATCAACGACAATGAGTTCTAAGGTATGTCTTATTTCAAATCAAAGTTTGTTGATTTCAAGACTCAAATATTAAGGTATCTGCTACATCTGTCTACTAAAAGTTTTCTCTTTTCATGAGTCACAATTGAACTGATTTTAAATAAATCTTCTATAAAAGGATGCTAAGCCATGAAAATTACGAACATCATGTACATTTTTTGAAATTGGTTAATCTTTAATAGCTTAAATCTTTTCTTCATCCACTTTAATCCCTTTTGTACTTACAATATATCTTAGAAAAACTAAATTTTAAGTAAGAAATTTACATTTCTTCAAATTGATAAATAACTCATTCTGTTGTAAAATAATCAATACATATCTCAAATGGTGATGATGTTCTTCTTCTATAGTACTATATATCAAAATATCATCAAAATAAATAATAATAAATTTTCTAATAAAAGGCTTCAATACATAATTCATCATTCTCATAAAAGTACTTGGAGTATTAGATAAGCCAAATGACATAACCAACCATTCATACCTACTTTCATCTTGAAAATAGTCTTCCATTTATCACCTAGATGAATTTGAATTTGATGATACTCACTTTTAAGATCAATTTTGAAAATAATTATGGAACCACATAACATGTCAAGCATATCATTTAGTCTTGAAATTAGAAATCTATATTTTACTATAATTTTATTAATTGCTCGACTATCTACATACATTTGTCAAGTTTTATTTTTTAAAAAATTAATAATGTAACTACTAAGCATGAGCTTATACTTTCAAGAATTAATCATTTCTCTAATAGCTCTTCAACTTGTTCTTGTAGAATTTTATTCTCCTCAAGACTCATTCTATAATGAGGTAAATTTGGCAAACTTGCTCCATGAATCAAGTATATATGACAATGTATGTCCTTAAGTAGAGGAAGATGTGTAGAACAATCTTATGTGATAAAGAACTCATTTAACATATTTTGTGCTACCTTGGGTATAACCCTAGAATAATTCAAAGAAATATTCTCTTTTTTAACCAGTATAAATACTCTAAAATTTTCTTTCAAAGTATTAAAGAGTTATTTTTTTCAATCATCATAACTTGCTGCTGCTTTAATTTCACTATGCTAGAAAACTCATTTTCTTTTATTAGTGTTGAATTTTTTTTTCATTATTTTTATAAAAAACATAATGATTATCTGTACCTATGTGAGTTGCGTCTATATCATATTGTCATGGTCTACCCAAAATTAGATGTCATGTATTCATGTTACGAACATCATAGTAAATTTCATCAAACTAAACTTTTCCTATTAAGAACTTAACTAAATAGGTCTTTGTAACTCTAGTTTTATACTTTTTCTTTATCGATGTAATTCTATATGGATGCGAATGTTTTTTAATTTTCAACCCCACTTTCTATATCATCAAAAAAGAAATAATATTTTACTGGTCTTGATACTTATGTAGTCATTTGAGAAAAATTAGATCCATGTGGTCTTGGTACAACTGAGGTTACTAATCTTCCATTATTGGTAGCAGATGAAATAGATGTTAGTGTTGACCTATCTAATTGAAATATTGACACATTAGTAGAATTTCGAGTTCTGATTTTTCCTTTCTTCAATAAACCTTCAGCACATTCTAATGTCATAACAATCATTCATTGTGAAATATTATTTTATAAAATATACTACATATTCTAAATCATTATTATTTTGTGAGAAGATAATCTATAAAAATATTATTCTACATATTCTTCTAAAGTATTATTATTTTGTTTGGAATTTGATCTATTAATATAAGATTTTATCTTAAGAAAACAAAAGAAGTTGAGATTCATGTAATGTCTTTATTTCTAATCATTTAAGAACTCATTCTTAGAGTTGTTCTCACCATTCTAATATACAACCCTTCAACTTATATGCAAGCAATTCTATCTACTTCTCTTATTAAATCTTCTTGTTTAAAAAGAACCTCTAATCATCTACCAACTAATCATAGACCTTCTATAGACAAATGACTTTAAAAATTATACAAGTCAATGTTTATACAAAAATCATTTAAGATATTTATACTCAACTTTGCTTCTCATATTTGCAAATAAAGATAGGAAATGATTATGTGCCAATAAAAAATTTATAAGTTGTTAGAAATATGAAGGATAAATAGAATCATTATTGTTCAATCTAATATCACAAGGGTATTTAAGTTTTAAATCGAAATCCTTGAATCTACTAGACATGATCATCAATCATTGAATTCACAATAAAAGATCCAGATGACTATTGAATCCAAAATTAGATATTTAGACAACCCCTGAATCTACAAGGATTATAATCATATCACTAATGTTACAAGAGGGCTTGCTTGAATCCATAAGCACACTTTTCCATATGTTGCATCTTTTTGGCTTTCAAATAATTTTAGATTAGCTGATACTCTCCTAAGTCAAATGTCAAAACAACATTAAAGTGAATTATTTGGAAAAGAGTATATGGTCTTATGAAACCATCGTATTTTGTTCGATTTGGGCTTTACTCAATATGGGTGCACGTAGGCCAAAATATTAATGGTGGGCCGAAAACGAGCCATGCCTCACCACACAATTATAATTACATTATTTGAACCCGTGACGTAATTATATCAAAAATTGGACAGTTTTAGGGGGCAGATAACGGGCTTTCCCCCTTGAGCCCACTAGACTGAGCCCGACCTTAGAGTGGAGAGAGAGAGAGAGAGAGAGAGAGAGAGAGAGAGAGAGAGGACCATTTCACCATGGGCAAGAAATTCTGAACAAAAATTCATTCAACACTAGCCCAGCGCATCTCAGGGAGACGCCCTCCAACGCCTTCTTCAGGCCACTCGGTCCAGCCATTCCCTACACATCCAGAGGCCTCCACAGGAGCCATTCTCTGCCCATTGACCACCCCCAATAAGCCCCAAAAGCACGGCACAGCTCTCCCGGAAGGAAGCACACCCGTCCCATGGACCCACACCACCAAAGCCTTTCGCCCTCATCTCTCCCGGGAGGGTCCCGGGAGGTGGGACCCACTCCGGGAGAGCAGCATGTCCTTGATCTCCTTGTAGCTCCGCAGCTCCTCCAGGGCGTCAGCCGCCCGCCGGGCCGCATAGAAGCTCGAGGCCCCGCCGCCACTGCCGCCACCACCCTCCCGGTCATGGCCGGGTCCTGCCGCCCGAGACGAGTAGCTCTGGTCCTGCCGCAGCGGCGGGGCCGTCTTCAGCATGTGTACAAGCATACCAACAGCAGCCTCCTGGGACGTCCAGGACGACACAGATGATGATGCCAGCTGATTCTCTGAGGCCGCCTTTCCGTCGGTGGCTCTGCTCAAGAAACAGGGCAGACCCCAATAGGATGTTTTTCTATAAACAGAAGAAAAGGAATTTCGTGTTTCCAAAATTATAAACTGGGGACAATAAAATTGAGATAACTGAAAGTGTTTGATGACGAAAACACATCACTGTTGACCCTCTCAGTGCATGAAGGATGATGATGTTTTTCAAGCCAACCTCCAACTCGCAGAAAGAGTTGACCCTCCTAAGCAGAGACTAGAACAAGATTGAGCAATCCGAACCTCATCTTGCAAAGTCAAAACCCCCTTGAGCCCATAGATGATGATCACTTGGCTATCATGCCTTCTAAATAGTGTGGAATGAAGACTCAAAGTCAGAGCTACAATGGACTGCTAAAGATCACATGAGATGAATATCTCTGAGACATACTTGGAAAAATACATACACTATGGGGAATCTCAAGCAGTCATGTTTCTCTCCGCCATGGATGTTGACTTTTCAGTTCAATACTAATCACATGTCAGAGAAGCAAAGAGAGAACTTTGGGAAGCCTACTTAGGTCAATGGTACAACTTTAATGCAACACGCTGCTTTTCTTAGAAATCAAATCATACTATCAGTGACGGGGATATTACTGTTCAGTTCCATGAATATGCAAAACTAATCAAGACGAAGGGGTTCTGACCCAACACATGATATTCCCATCGTTACTCATCCTAAACCTTTGGTCAATGGTAAAAACTAATGAATTCTTCATTAAAATTCAGCACAATTGCTCTTTCAAGTTCCTTTCAAAAGGAGGTAAAAACTCACATTTCTATTCATGGGCACACCTCTGCTTCAACAATGCATCAGAATGCTCAAGGCATTGATCATCTCCCCTCATCTGCTCCCAGTCTTCAACAAAATCGTACAGCTAAACACAACAATCATAATATCTTGATGTGTCTGAACCAAACATGTTATTAGCTGTGAAACATCCTCTGTTCTTATCGATGAGCTCCCTCAAATAAATCAACCCAATTTACTCTTATTTCATTTGCTCCTAGGGTCTACAGTATGCATGAGCTTTATATGCGTCATTAGCTAATAAAAGGGCAATGATGTTCTAACGCATCTCTAGAAACCTCAATTTACCACTGCCGAAATTGCATCTTCCCACATTATTTCATATTTCTCTTTGTGTGGCCGCGACCTTGTTCTAACAACCATTTTCTACACATATTCTACTCATTGAAGGACTATTTTCCAGGTCCTACACCTATCGATCTCCCACTATTTTATGCATATCTACCTCCCTTGCCATCCTCTGAGATTGAGCGTTGACCTACCCACTTGCATTCAGAGAGGCCACATGCAAAGTGCAGAGTGCGTCAAATCCCTGTTGCATATCATTTGGTTCTCTTGGTTAGACATGATGAAGTTGTGAAGCTCCTAGTCTGGAGAAATCTCATGGAGGAACGCTCTCTTCACTCCCAATTTACATCACATTTTCAATGTAGCGCCCACCAGATGGTATGGTCCTTTTTGTCCTATGTTTGACCTATTTGTGTTAGAATCCTTTCTATTGGTGTTCACTATGATTGGCCTCCTATCTATCTAGATATCAAAAGATGTCTGCTCCAGTTGTCATATCAAAGAAGTCAACCTGGACCATCATCTCATGCTCATGAGCAAAAACATAATCATGAGAGATCCAAGGGAAAGTTGATTAATGATTGACGAAAGGAAATCTCCCCATCTCCAAGTTTTCAGTCAACTCACCATCACTTTCACTTGTTTATGGCCATTTTTTTCTAAATATTTTGTTTATCCAATAACTCTACGACAGAAAATAAGAAGATTACAAATTTAAAGCATGCTACCCGTTTCTACCGCACAATAGGATACTCAACAGAGATGATGCCCCAACCAACCAGCATGTTCCAAACAAGCTGGATACACTGATTTAATTCTCTTAGGATACTGTGAAGCTGGGCCATGCTGACATACTCTGGATCTTTTCTAAGTAGATTAATGCCAAAATATCTGTTCAATAAGCAGGTCAGTAAACCCAAAAAAAAGGCAACCAATCAATTGCCAAACAAGAAAATAGAAAAAAGAATGAGAAGAAGTGGAACTAAATGCAAAACAAAGGATTCATCATCGCAGTCTACTCCATGAGGCAGAATAATTGTGGACCAATGAGCTACTTTTGGGTGAGAATATTGTCAACGAAAAATTAGGGAAGACCACTGTAACACACCAAGGAGTTGTGAGAAAATAGACAGGGATGTAGATCGGCACCCTTCATGGAGATGGAGATTGAGGTGGAGGTGGAGCTGGAGGTGGAGTAATATTGTCCCAACCAGCACTACCAACCACAGAGATCCCAAAGTATTACCTTCAGCAATCACATCCAGACTGGGATCGGCTGCGGCCTATTTAATTGCATAATCCAATTCAGCCTTTGATATATTAGATAAATCACCAAACACATGAAGACCTACAGCAATAGAGGGAAAAAAAAAAAAAGTATTTTTTCCGTTCATAGTCCACTCCTAAGAGCCTCAAGAACAGATAAAAATGGTGAGAATCCCAGAAACATGGGCCTCTATGTCGACCTCCTGATTAACCAACCATCAATATTGAGCTCGGCATACACAAATAACAGCGTTGAACCATATCAGCTGATGTATGCCAATGTTGTTATTTAGTGTGGCGTGAGGTTTAAAAAAAAAAAAACCATGGGAGAAAAAAAAGACATTCACTCCTTGGTCATATCAGCTGATGTATGGCAAAGAAGAACAGCAAGAGAGCTAGAGACTGCAGTGATGGCAGAAAGAACGGGGAAGAAGACCCACCTCCGCTGCGTATCAGGAACATCAACATCATCAACAGCAAAGGGGCACGAATCATCAAGGTCATCCTGGAATGATAGTTTACTAGAACTCCTTGAGAAGCCAACTCTAGGAGAACCGCCACAGCTGGACAAAACCCCAGAGAATCGCCCTGAATCATCTCTTGCATCTCTAATGCCCTGCGAGATATGGAAATAAAATGACATTGGCCATCATATTCATCACAGTTACAATGTTTTGGCGAAGAATTCAGAGAAAATGTACCTTCTGCAGTGAACTGGGCAGGCTGGGAGAGATCTCTGACAGTTTAAATCCCTCCACTCTGCGAAATGATCTGATCTCAGGGGAGTCCTCGGATGAGTTGTCTGCCCTTGCGACCCTTGGAGATGGTGGTGGCAAGGAACTCCTAGTAGGATCAGACAGATTAGGAGCGCGGCTATATACAGGAATGCTTCCCGTCACTGGCAATGGAATGGTCACGGGAGCAGTCTCCGACTGCAACCTACGATGAAGATTCCCAGAGTGGGTGGGAGGAGAAGGGGATGGAGATGGGGAGAAAGGGGGCGAGAGCGGGTACTCATTGAAGCTCGTGCTTCCCTTCCTACTAGAGCCCAGCTGCTGGTGGCCGCCGACAATCCGTTGTCCGAAGACGCCCATCGGGGAAGCATGCAACTCCGACGCAGAAAGTTGGGAGCCGCTGAGGGGATGGTGCGCCATCGGAGTGCTGGTCCAGCTGTGTGGCCGTGACATATGACCCGACCCAAATCTGAGGATTCCCCTCGCCGGAGATGAGGCTGGCTGAACAAATCCCTCGTTCGAAGGCAGAGAAGAAGGAAAGGCTCTCGATGGGCCGGCGGCGGCGGGGCTGCAGACGTAGTCGGTGATGATCCTCGGCGGGAATAGAGACGACGATTCCAAGTTGAATTCAGAGAGGTCGTGACGGTAGACGACAGAAACGGTAATCTGGCCGAACTGGGTCTCCACGGCGGCGAAATCGTAATGCTTCATCTCATCTTCCTCGGCCCGGGTGAAAGGTTCGGCGAAGGAGGAGACCCTGTAGCTAAGATTGAAATTGCAATTCTGGTTCTGGTTGTGGTGGTGGGGGTGAAGATTATTAAGAGTGGCGGCGCTAAGCATGCGGAATGCCTTGTAAGCAGGAAGTAGGCGGAGAACGGCGTAGACGGAACGCAGCAGGACGACGCATTTCTTGTAGGTCCTCTTGTAGAAGGCGGCGGCGGCCTCAGCGGAGGAGGAGGAGAACGCGGTGGCCGCCCGGAATGGCGACGACGGCGTGGAGGGGTGAGAAGACGAAGACGACGACGATGATGGCTCGTAGTGGACGGTCCAGCGCTCGAGGACCGATTCAGAATCGGTGGCGTCGCGGAGGAGGAGGACATCGACGACCATGGGGTCGGCAACGCTGCGGTGCCACAAGCCGAGGTTCTCCAACGCTGCAGGAGGGTCGCCCAGAGCGAGATTGAACCAGCGATCTCTCTTCCTCGACTTGTCCCCTCCCGCTCTGCTGCCGGCGAGGAGGTGGGGCACGCGGGAGTCGAGTACCACTTGGAGAAGCTTCAGGAAGAAGTTGCTGATGATCTGCTCGGTGCGCCCGGACTCGGCGCCCGCCATTGCTGCTCCCAGAGAAGGTCCTTGGGCGCGGGGTCGTAGGGCTACTCCTGCTGCGGCAATCTCCCCCTTTCCACGGTGGGCAAAGATCGGCCTACCTTCTGCGCAACCGCGGCGGCCCCGCAGCACAAATCCGACATCTCGAATCGTCCCGGTACCGGCGACGAGCAGAGGCACGACCGAAAGGGGGACGACGACGACGACGCGGACGAGAACGAAAACGAGGGGGAAGAAATCAAGGGCAGTCGTGAGGAAGCAATCGTCGTCATCGGCAGAACCAACCCAGGTCTCTCCAAGCCAAACCCGGCGCCTTTACGTCTCCAGGAGGAGCAGCCGAAGGGATGCCGAGGACGGTTCCATAATTTGAACAGGAAGGAGAACAGAAGCCGTGGAAACAATGGAAACCTCGCCGGAGAAGCCGCCGAGAAGAGGAAGGGGGGGGAAGGAAGAGAGGAGGGATGGAGAGTTGAACGACGATTGGGTCGGTCGGTGACGCATCTGCACCTGTACGCTATTAATTTATTTATTTATTTATATACCCCTCCCCCTTAATGAGACAATAAAATAATGTTTTAGTAACTTTTTACCCGCATCAAGAAAATACCTTTTTTATAATTTATTTGCATATAACAGCATGGGATGCGACTATTTGAGGCATTTTCGCCTATAAATTAAATTAACTTTTTGCCCGTATCTTCGTCGCAGAAAATGACGGATTTTTAGGGGGTTTATTTATTAGATATTTTATTGTTGACCCTTTCTGTCAGAAGGTAGCCCCCCTCGCGTAAGGAGGCAAGCCTACAATAAATTATTCTAGCGAGGTACTAGTGAATGAATAAATTTATATGTTGGCAAATATTAAATTATTACGTGGTGTATTTTACAGGCCATTAAAGTAGTAAGTAAATAAGGCGTCGACCGTTACAGAAGCTGTGAAGGCGTTGAGAAACTGGCGAGGACGATGAGGAATGATGTGGGCCCCCCGGCATTAACTCTCAATGGGCCTAATTGGGCTGGGCCCGCTAATTCCTTGGATAATCCTGATTCACATTTGATCGCGCAACATGGGCCATGGCGCTAATATGGGCCCAGCCTTATCCACTCACTTGGGCTTCTTGTAAAGCTTTCAACACAAATTAGGTTTATATGATTATATTTCCACAAGTAATTTATTTTATCTTTTTATAAATGAAAAAAATTCCCAAAATGGGATGACTCAAACCCCAAATAAATCCAGCATGAGTTTTCTTTTCCTTTTTTGCCCTCTATTAAAATTCATTTGAAGCCCCAAAGGAGCAATTATCCAACCCAATTTTCATTATTATTATTATTATTATTATTATTATTATCATTATTTATTCTTAAATCCAAAGACTAGATGTTTGGTTTTGTGAGAACCCTGAATCCACCATACAAACTAACCTAAAACCATAAATGTAGGCGTTGACTTGTTAAAATAATGAAGAATAACATCGAGAGTTACCAAGAATAGTAGCCTAATGATTGGTTGACTTGAATCCAAAGTTAATATAAATATTGTTTGCAGAAAACTAATATGTAGACTTGTGTAAATCCTCAAATCTAGTATTTGGAACAAGATACGGAACCGTGCCAGATTTTAGTATGGTTTATCTTATCTTATGCATGAAGTTGACTCTACTTGAAAAGGATTTTAATGAAATATTAAATAAAATGAAAAGACCAAATTAGCCATTTTGATTCCTCTTTTGGGCGACTTGGGGCCAACAAATGAGGGAAAATCAGCCTTTATTCGACATTTCATCATGAATAATTTAATAAAATTGCATTCTAGGGGGTAAGTCAACTCGTTAAGGTAAATAAGTCAACATGTTTGACTTGGTGGCAAAGATATCTCACACGAAAAATAGAACACGGTAGGTGGGATAATGTACTTATCCCACATGAAGCGGTATGTTTAATCGCGGTTATGGTGAATATCGTCAGGGGGAGCGGTGAGTAGAACACCGAATAGGAAGGTACCACTAGTTCATCGCGACTCGTACAACTCGCAGCAGATCAAACAGGCTGGTGAAGCCGGACTGGAGAGGATGGCGCCATGTAAAACGAAGAATTATACGACAAGGAAGGGAAGAGCTCTACCCGGGGAGGCGGCGGCGAAGCCCCGGAAAGGAAAGTCTCCTCCTTTATGATCGAGGGCGGGTTCCGTGCTCCGTCTCCGGCGCTGGGGAGCTCTGACAGATGATGGCCCGGCAGACGGGGCAGCAGGGCGGCGCGTTCCTGTGCAGGGGCTTCGAAAGGGCGGTGGCGGCGGAGGAGGAGGACGCCCACCAACCTTCGACGCACTCGGCGTGGAAGCCGTGCCGGCACGGCGGCAGCACCCTGACGGCGTCGCCGTCGGCGAACTCCGACAGGCATATGGCGCACACGGCGGCGGACCCCACCAGCTCCGTCTCCCCCGCCGCGTACACCGTCGGAGGACCGCCCGCGCCACTGCTGCTCACGGCGGCGGTGACGGCCTTCCCCGGGTGGCCTTCGGGCGGCGTGCGGCAGAGCCGGCGGAGCAAGAACCGGGCGGCGGCCATTAGCAGGAGGCCGAGGACGAAGGCCGAAAACAGGATACCCATCACCACCGCCATGTTGGCGCCGTAGTTAGTGGCGCTCCTGAACGGCCCCCACGAGCTGTTGTTCCCGCTAGGGGCTTGCCCACTGCCGCCATAGCCCCCGGATTCTGTGGGAGGGGCCGCCTCGACCATCTCACCGTACCTCATTGCACTAGCGAGAGAGAGAGAGAGAGAGAGAGAGAGGAGTCTCTCGGGGGAAAGGGAGAGTGGGTAAAAGAGAAGAGAGCTCCTCCGAAAGAGGAAACTAATTAGCTGGGTTCAGCCGGTGAAGGACGCCACTAAACACCTCGCCACCTTCTGTCGTTCCACAGTGGCAGACGGAGAAGATGGTTCCTTCCCTCTGCGCCGCCGATAACCTAGAGAAGAAGCTCCCGGGGGGCGGGGGGGTTCCTCGACGGCGGAGAGGATTTCCTCAATTATCCGTCGTTTCTTAGGGAGCCCGCAAGGAACAGTGAGGAAAGGGGTTGTGGGGGACTGGGAGGACCTTCGTCCTCACTCTCCCGCATCTCGGACGAGGGGGAAGGGCTGTCGCTTAGCCATTAAACCCCTCCACCTTCTCTTTGCGGACCCCCCCACCAATTCTCTCGTCTTCTCCTCGTTGTCCTCCTCCTGCGGCTTCAGATCGGATTCAGATACGGTTCCTAGCGTCGTCTTCCTGCCCCCCGCCCTCAGGGTAACGGCACCTTGGGCCCCCCTCGGCCACCTGCTCCCTCGCCAAGAGCGAAGAGGAGATAGAGAGAGAGAGAGAGAGAGATGGTAGCGCGCAGGAAGGGTGGTGCAGGGGGTTGAGCAGGTGGTGGCGGCGGCAGCGCAAATGGGGTAGAGGGTCACCGGGGTCGGGCGGCGGAGTATGCCCTGAGCGGCGCGGCGCCGCCGGACTCGGCATTAATGAGGAAGGGAGAAGAGATAAGAAGCGGTGGCAACGACGATGACGACGACGAAGAGTCGAGTAGGCGGCTGCAGGGTCTGGCAGACTTCACGGGGACATGTTCCTCCGCCGCTCGTTTGCTGGTCCACGTGGGGTAGCGTGGTCAGCTCGGTCACTCAATACGGCTGCTGGTGACCGCACTCCACACTTTCAGGCGCCAAGTAATTAGAAGATAAGTAAGGCGAATAATCCGATTAACCACCGATAGGCGGATCAAGGCGTAATTAACTGATGACCGCTGACCGCTGACCGATTACACGCAGGAATCCTTCACAAGATCGGTCATCAAGCAAAACCCTGATTGAGCAGACTTCTCTAACATGGTTCAATCAAATTTTGGAAAAAAAATATTTATCTTAATATACATACCACAAAGAATGGAGGAAAATGAGATATTTGTATAGGTAATAGCTATTTTTGGAAAAAACATTTGCCTCAATATACATACCATAAAAAATGGAGAGAAAATAAAATATTTTTTATAAATAATAACTAATATTTGGGGTGATGGTTGATGACTGTGAAAGCCTAAGTTTTTTTGATGATGACAACATATAATAAAAATTAATTTATATAATTTACATTGCTAAAATTTTCTTATTAAAGAAAAAATTAAAGCAAGAGGGATCAAAAACTATGCTTGTTAAAATTGAGGAATTCACTTAAGATTAAAATTAGTCAGTATTTATGTTTGAACTTGAATGAAGTGATTTTATATGAAAATATTTGACAAAAAATAGGGATGCAACTACTCATTAGAAAGCTTACTAAAGAGAAAAAAAACCACAAGTTGTACATCAAAATTCAAAGTTTTCATTTTTTTATATACTTTACATATATTTATGCGTATTTTTAGAGTTTAAATTTTTAGTATGATATGTGACACATATTCAACCATGTGAATGTTGAGTGTCCCATTGCATTAGATATCAGAGGCAGCATAATACAACTTATAAAATGAATAACTTGTTACTTTAACTTAGAGAGTGAAAAAAATAACTTGAGAGGAAAAAAATTGAGAAAAAAAAACTTAAAACATCCACCACCTTCTTCTAAAGAGGCCAAGCTTCATTATTCCACCCTCCAATATTGAATAGTAATGTCAACCGATTTTAATTAATTAGTGTTAATCTCGTTTGGGCCCACAAACTGAATCAAAAATAAATTGACTAGAATTTTTATTCTATTATTAAGGCAGTTAAAGCCTATAATTCAATTTCTATTTTATTAAGAATTTTGTAAAACCCAAGAAAGTGGTCATATCATACAAAATATTTGAAGAGCTGAATAGATCTGCCAACCAAACCACTATAAAAATAATGTGTTTAATGCATATTTTGTTATCTAGTTCCTAAAGATTAAGAAATAAGAATAAATTATATAACTAAAATTAAAATAGAACTGTATTAATTTATACCACCCTCTTGGTGAAGTGGTGTCATATATAATTCAACAATAGTAAGATAATCATGTGGTATAATAAATGGAATTAAAAAATAATTAAAATTATTTGGTTTAATTCAGGCTAGTTGGAAAAAAAATCAAAATATCATATATCATGACCCATCAAATATTTGGCTGAGTTGGAAAATGGTCAACTCAAGATATGAAGAGGGAAGAGGGTTGGATAGTTTTAAGCCCCCCTCCCCTCCCCTCCCCTCCCCTCCCCTCTCCTCTCTCTCCCCTAAATTATACAAATTATTTATATGCCTCTCTCTTTTTTCTCTCGTACCCTTTGGTCACCTCTTGAGCATGCCTTTCTTATTATCTAGTCTTTTAATTGGCTTCTCTCTAAATGACTAACTCAACCATAGTTAAGGATGGTTAATAATTCATTTTGATGAAGATAAGGACAAACTTGACCTAGCACCAAAATCCCTTTTTTTTTTTTTTTCCTTCTCTCTCTATTTCTTAAGAAAGAAGGTACATCTTCAAGGAAAGACATCTCATTTTAAAATTAAAGTGATGGAAAATTTTCAAATAATAATGGAGTAATTTGCATACCATTCATGTTGGATGTTAAAGATGCATTATTTCTAGGGGAAATTTTCAACGAAAATAAGTAAAAACTACACCTAGGCCAAGTGATATTTACTGAATAAGGTATATTTTGTGTTCAGCCTTTAAATGCATATATTTTTTATGATGAAAAATACTCATAGGAATAGTTAAAATATTACATTTTGATTATTACTTATTATGCTTGATCTATGTTACATGAGTATGAGTTTAATTGAATGTAAATTCATAAATAACTAAAAGTAATAATTCCAAATATGTAAATAATAATTCAAAGAATATAGCCGTGAATTATGATGTTAAATCATATAATTTGGTAATTTTTTTATTAAGTGAAATTATTAATTTATATATTATTGTAGAAACTATTATTTTTTAGAAAAACTACCATTGTGAGCAAATAATTATTAACACATCCAAAGTAATGAGAATATTTAAAATAAAATTTGAGTAAGGAAGCTTGTTTAGTCTAATGAGTTTTCATTGATCATGCTATATCATTACGTTCAAATGATTTTGATATTGAATTAATTGGTTGAGTTCATATTGCTCACACTACTAGTTATGGCTTTTTAAATATCAATTCACTCATCTAAAAAATAATTATAAATATTATGTATCATTGAAGTTATGATTTTACATGTTGAGATCATGATTTAATATATCTACTTAATGATTGTAATTCATTAGAGAAGATTTGAACATTTTTAATATCAAATCATTACTTTATTTAGATATATCAATTATATTTTGATATTAATCATTTTTTATCAAACTTGATCAGACCAATATGCTTTGGGTAATAATATATATTGTTGTTTAACAATCGTCTTATTGATTTCTCATAAAGGATATTAGAGCTCTTAAAAGACATCATATTACTTTCAAGTCATATAAATTTCTAATTAATTTTGAAATTTAAATGTTGAGAGATAGTGGGAAACCCTATGAGAGTTTTGAATGATATTTCTATGTAAATTCAACACTCATCCAATGGCTAAATAGTAATGAATGATCAACTCTGAACCCTTGTACATTCTCAAAAGCTTCATTCATCTTTTTGTATTAAAAAAAAAAAAAAAAAGAGTTTGAGAGGTCTTCCTTGTTGGTAAGACAACACAAATACAACTCATTAAGGAACAAATTAAAAATATACAATATATTTCTTGACCAAATCAAAGCAATAATGACTTCCACATTCAGTCAACATCCATACAAAAATAGAAAAGTAAGAACTAAGTCCTTAATGTGACATCATCATCTTCATTGAATTTCTAGACATACTAGATGCATTCTTCTAAAATCAATCCAGGCATAGTGACATATTTTATTATTTTTATGTGAACAAATGTGATTAAATATTAATTTAATCACTGAAGATAGATGACCATGTAATGAACTATTGACCACTTAGAGTCATGAATTTGGAAGAGAATTTTAGGATAAAATTATATGAGAACTGATCTTGTAATTAGTGATTGTGATTAGTGGACAATCAATCTAGTGAATATAAAAATAGAATTATTCTTATAGAGTGGATATAAGCAATGGGCCCAATCATTGTCACATACCCTCCCCTTTTGAACTCAAACCTAAAATATAATATATTGCATGCTAATTAAATAAATATTAATTAGATAATGACTAATTTTAGATGTATTATGGAGGTAGGTAGAGCGAGAGAGAGAGAGAGAGAGAGAGAGAAGGCAAGAAAATGACATTTCGTTATTTAAATTTATTAAAACCCATAATTAATTAACATAAGTGATAGAAAATTAGGATATCATCCATCGAATATCATTAAATTCCGGAGGAGGACAAGTTAGGCGACATAGACATAATTGTATAATCGATAAGTAGACGTAATTGAAATATATACATTTAATTAATAAAATTTAATCAAACTCTCATTCGTAAAGCAGATCAGAACGACCCAGGGTCCATGGGCTCTGGAGGGCCTACCCACCAGCCGATGCGAAACAGCGAACCAGGAAAGGAAGAAACGGGGGAGGGGGAGGGGGGGTACTCTTTCGAGCTCGTCCTGTCCTTTCTCCAGGTTTGTGCATTCCGTTCTTGTCCTTTCTTTCATTTTGTTTTTAACCTTTAATGAGATTGGCGCGGAACATTTATGAATAGGAATCAGCCTGAGGTTTTTGAAAAAAAATTATCAGTATTTCTCCGGGGGGAATGGTGAGTTTCTATTGTTGCTGTCTCTGGTGATGAATTATCCTGAATTATCATCATCCAATGTGTTGCGTGTAGGCATTTGTTGCAAATTGTTTTGAGCGTCGGGCATAGTTCTACTGTCCACTTTCTCCATGTTGATCCATCGACTAGTATATGAACTTAAGTAATGGAAATAGCTGACCTAATCTGTCTTGTGGGAATATTTATTTTTCATCGATTCTGTTTCATTTCTACGGTGTGGACATTACCAAGACATTCATGCAAATATTGTGCTTTAAAGACATTTAGTTGGCAAATTCAATAATAGACGACGGATTTTTGGTAAGGTCGATTAAATAAATTTCCTTCTGATTGAAGAAAGTTTTATAATCATTTTGAATTCAATATTCAACAAAGGAAAGCACGTTCTGTATTTGTAGATTTACTGGCTATAGGTTGTTGGCCATTAAAATCAAAGCAGACATTCTGTATTAAAAGATAATTTTTTGTTGTCCAGCCAGATCTATCGATCACATTATGCAATTCCACTTAACTGCAGCAGTAGCCATGCGCGTTCGAATTTCTTGTGCATTATGCGAGGGAAAACAACAGCAAGTCGAAGGAGGGCATAATGGAGTCTCGTAGTTTGGGCTAAATGCTCAATTGACAAGTGAAGGGGAAATCACTGAAGCAGAGTGAACTTGGACGATGTAAGATGGCTGCTCCATTTTCTTCGGATATGAGGGATTATAAAACTGGAGGATTATGTGGAGATCCTGAGAAACACAGGTGGAGGATAGAATAGATAGTATGTGCTTAATGTCCTTTGGTTCGGTAAGTGGTGGTCGAGTGTATTAGCTTGAATCTCAGTCTTAGAGACATGTATTAGAGAAATGGGACCCTTCTTCCTTGGAATGATTCCGTCTGCTGAGAAAGTGCTTCATACTCTGTCCTGATTATTGTCTATAAATCTTGCAAGTTGGGATATGGCAAATTATTTTCTACCTAATTGATTTTGTCCATATTTGTCCATTTCTTTTTTCTCCCCCATTTTCTCTTTTTTTTTTCATAAGTATCATATTTATACGGACCATAAATCTTGCAATATGGCACAATCAGCTATTTTTTTCCTGTTTTATTTTGTTTGTCCTGTGTTTCATTTTTTTTTCTTTCTCACAAATTGACTCATCTATTTTTCATTTTTAGCCATTTCATTTTTAAATGATCTTAACTAGGATCACCCAGCCTCAGCTGATCTAACCCTATCAGTCCCAAATCCATTCTTCTAAGGGATGTAGGGTTTTGTGATGCTGATTCAACTTGTATGCACATGTTGAGGGAGTGACTTTAGTGATACCTCTGAAATGTGATGATTTTGAGGTAGGGTTTCTTTTGATGGTTTCTTCGTCTTTTCCTATTTGGGGTATATCATGTATATTGTAGGTCCATTCTGCCAAGGGGGTTGTTAAGTGAGGATTCAAGTTGTGACAAATCCAGGCAATCTGATTGCCAACTTTTAAGGATGGATTTCTTTCTTTCCAAGGGGACGTTTGTCCCTGTTTGTCAATATTATTAATGGAAGTTGCAACCCATCGCAAGCATTTGGTGGATTGGCATATCACTTTCAGTCAGTGATTTTGGTCTAAGATTATCATTGACTTGATCCCTGACTTTTTCCAAAGTTCGAGATCATTTACTGACCTATCTTGGCCCTAATATGGCAGCATAGAAAGTTAGAGATTATTTCGTATTACTTACTAGTTATGGAAAATATTTATAATTAAGTTTGTTTATATTGAACTCCAAAGTTTGGAAAATCATGTGTTGAGAGCCATTTCTTTAGGTTTATTTGGTGGTACTTTTTTATAGATGGTCCTGTATGCAGTCCTATGCCACCTTTGTCCATTTTATTTATGTATTACCTTTTTTTTATTAAAAAATGTAATATATGCGACTTCTATTCAGAATCATGCACTGAGTCATATTTTGGGGTTTTGACCATTTATGATGCCATTAGTGACTTTAAATGATGAATGAATACTTCTGTGACTCTGGTGACTATTCTTGATTATAGCTCATTAATAGTTTAAAGTTTAATCACTTCCTGTGGATGTTAAACTTTCTGTTACCTCTTACATCCTTTCATCCCTCAGGGAAAGTTTGTCTTGCGAAAAGTTCTTTTGAGAAATATGTTAATATGTGGTTGACAGAAGTTACCACACTACTGCAGAGATTCACAAGTTCTTTGTTGTTGTTGTTGGTTATTTCGGTTGTATGTTTGCCATTGCAGTTGTTTTACATTCATCTGTATTTTGCCAGAATCATGTAAAGAATACTATATAATTTATTATTCTAGTTCTCAGTCGAAGCTTTAATTCTTAGTTCTTGTTCATTATTGATACCGTGCTGACTTCAACTTTTATTAATCCAGCAATAAATAAAAGATGTCGTCATCTTGCCCTTTTTGCCACCTAAATATTCCCTTGGCTCAGCTAGAACGGTATATCTCCTGTCTTTTGTAACTTAGTTTCAATCATCAAATATTTAGTGCTCAATAGTTCTACTTTCACCTCAATATTGTAAATCTGCCAAACTTTTCTGTTGTATGATTAACTAATACTGAATTCTCATAATCACAGGCATGCTAACAAGCACCTTGAGGAGGATGAACTCGCAAGGGACATGGATCTAGCCCAGAAAATTGCACTAGCCCCTCCTAGTCCACCACACAAAGTATGACCATGCTCATGTATAACATTTTTTCAGGCCATTATTATCCGTCATTTACATGTGTAAAAATACAACTGTGGTTATTCGTTTCATTGTTTGAGCTTCCGAATGTGTTTGGATTCATGCTGATTTGTTGTGATCTAGTGGCAATAATTTTCCTTTTATTTAATATTTATTTTTGACCATTTTATTTAATATTTATTTTTGACCATTTTATTTAATATTTATTTTTGACCATTGTTCATTTATGGTCAGGTAACCTTTGTTCATTTATGATCGTTCTTTCTGTTTTTTTTTTTTTTTTTTTGGTTGCGTGAAATGACCTCGTCAAATATGTATGGGAACTCTTTCGAGCTCATCTATCATCTATCATCTGAGTTAGTTTAAATCGACTAGGATCTTTGCGATTTTTGTGCTATACAGTACAATGTGCGTGCAGTTTGCACTGATTTGCAAAGACATGAAGTACGATTGACTCCATATCTGCAACTTTCTGCTTTGGTCTGGCAATGAGTTGGTCAAATCAATATATTCTCGGACATAGCACTTTCTGGGCTTATCAGAGACCAATCCAACACGTGGGTCAGACTGAGTTGATTCATAATGAATTTTTTTTGAACCAACCTTGATTTTGTGGCTTGTGAAATACTTCATATTAACTAAGTTTAGGACTTTTACCTACTGATTGTAAAAGTTGAAATGAAGGCTTCCATCAGATTTATGCGTCATGTTTTTGATACTTTTTGTGATACATAGCCTGCTTTCGTTTTATTTTGTTCGATGATTGTTAACGTTCTTACAGTTCTAACTGAGCTCTTGTATTCTTGCGGAATTATGGCTTATTTTAACTTGGAAACTTTTCAAGGCCATCACCTACCTATCGTGAATAATTCTGCTGTAGGCATTCTATGTTGTTGTCTTTTCAGATATTTGAACATTGTTACAATGTATTTAAATGTAATCTTACAATACTAACAGAAGACATTTGATTGATCGTACAAGTCTGCGTGTAAATTAATCTTGACACTAAATGATCCATTTTCAGGATCAGGCGGTGGAGGTTACTGCTTCATTTGGAGATTCATCCAAGATATCGACAAAATGCAACATCTCAAGGAATTGTAAGCCGAGACTAGACAAGTATTCTATTTCTTTTATCGTTAGTTCACAGACTAGAGGCTCCTTCCATAAAGTTGAGGGTGGACTGATGATGTTGTTGAGTAGATGCTTGGATATGGAGAGTGACAACGTGAAAAGTGTGATATGTGGCTATGTTGATCATTTCCAGAGCACCGAGATAGAAGATTTCGGTTGGGGCTGTGGCTGGCGGAATATTCAGATGCTGAGTTCTCATTTATTGATGGAAAGACAAGAAGCAAAGGAAGTTATTTTTGGTGGTTCAGGATTTGTTCCAGATATTCCTTCATTACAGCGATGGCTTGAGCTTGCTTGGGAAAGAGGTTTTGATGGTCTTGGTGCAAAATCATTTAATTACAAGATTGCTGGCTCTAGGAAGTGGATAGGCGCTACTGAGTGTGCCACACTTTTCCGTTTTTTTGGGCTTAGAGCAAGGATAATTGATTTTGATGGTGAACTAGTTAAATCATCAGAGTCATCTGCTGATTTGGGTAAGAAAGCCAAAAGAAAAGAAAAGGACGTTCATGGTCCAATGGATAAATTTCTGCTCCATACTGTCATGCATGACAAATCAAGACATGCCTCTCATGTTTCAGGCAAAACTGATAGTGGTAATTGTTTGAGGAAGACTAATGGTCCCCAGGTCCTTGTTGATTGGGTGTGGAACTATTTCAATTCTGGGGTTTCTGGTCAATGCTCTCATCAAGTTTCCATCAGTGAGAAAATGTGGGTACTTAATCAATTTGTTTCCTAAGGAACTTTGAAGCTGGTTCATGTTGATGTGATTTTTATGACTAATATATGCTTTCTTGTGTTGTATTTTGTTGATGGCACGATGAACAGGCCTCTATACTTTCAGCATAATGGTCATTCAAGGACAATTGTTGGCATCCAAGTGAAGAAGGGAACACAAGGAATGCCAGATGTATACAATCTCCTTGTTTTAGATCCCAGTCAGGCACGTCTCTATTACTGTCTTCTTATTATTTAATGCTAGGATAAGATGCATAAAGAATGTAGAATATATCATTTACAACTGTTGAAAGTAGCAATAAGATTTAACCCTGTCTTGGGATTGAGTGTTCACACGTAATGACTCGCTATACATCAGGTGAATGCATGTATATGTCTAATAATCCATGCAAGGTACACATCAATTTATTAAAAAAGTATTTTAAAACAGACAAAATCTAAAAAATTATGGGTCAACTATTTTTTATTTTTTTCATAAAACTCATGAATTCTTAAGCCTTAAATCGTCAACAACCATTGTTGTGAAATTGCCATCAATCATGTTCTTCTTATTCTCTCACTCTTATACTATTCCACTCCTTTAAAATGGCTGGAAAGGGTTACATGCAGTGTGAACTGCACAGAAACGCGATTTCCCTGGAGTTGACTTCTGGCCTATGTATCGATTTCTCAGCAAGTACGGGAGATCCGTCTGAATCTTGGGCATCATCGTCCTCCTTTCGCATCAGAATGAAAAAGACCTAGCAACTGTTATGAGTGGATCTGCTGCTATCCTATATAGAGTTGGGAAACTAGCTTGGAAGCATCTCTCGCAAAACATGGCTGAAATACAGCTATTCCAATCCTTCCGAAGTATAACTCTTTTCCAACTGTCTTCCTGCCATCCCTAATTTCTTTCTTTGAAGTATACTTCATCGCACCTTGGAGATATCAATAGAGGCATTAAGATGGAGGTAACAAACTATGTCTCTTCGTAATAATTCTGCTCAATGTTCCCCTGCCTATCCCTCTTCCTCTACCCCTAATGTGCACATATTTGGCGAGCATTGTCAAATTAAAGTCTTTGACGTTGAGTATTCCTACATATTTATTTGTTTTGGCCTTGCACACTCGCTCCCCAATTGACATCATGCCAATGGTTGCATCTTCCATCACGACCCTGCCTGAATAAACTTCTCTGAACATGATACCTTTCCACTCTGCCTTCAGATCCTCTCTTTCATGTTTGCTCCTACCTTGCTTCCCCTAAACACATCAGGACCTTCAATCTGCTGCAGAATCCTGCCTTTTTTTTCCTGTTTGATCATTTCGTTGACCCCACATTTAGCCAATTATTGTGCTGTTCTTCAAAGCATTTTGGTCAACGATGCCAGAGCCGAACGCCCCCTCAAATCATCCTGATATAGATCATCGTTGCCATACTCTCTTGCCCAAACTTGTTCAAGTTGAAAGATCCACCTTCTCCCATTCACATTTCTGGCTTACGTTGAATTAGTTTTTGTGGTCTTTCTAGACAAAATCCTTCTATATTTGGGAACTGTTCCCAATGAATTGAAGCCAGTAACATGTCCAGCTTAGAGAAGGATTAGCTTTGAAAAAACATCCAATGAAGGTGGAGTATGAAGAACAAACATCAACATACATAGACTGTCTCAGAAGGTGGAGTATGAAGAACAAACAGCAACATAGACTGTCTCAGCAATGAAGTTTTAGAAATCCCCCTTCTCTCCCTCATATATTACATCTCTAGACCACTCAGAAATGGGCATATATATTGCATTGAGAGTTTTATCCTCTCTGGTATGGATCAATTTTCAGGTCTTCATTTAATTGGGGGAGAGATGGAGATGGAGATGGAGATGGAGATTGAGATTGAGAAAACGCAGTTCCGATCCATAGTTTAAAGTATACATGTTATAATTCCATTCCCTCTTGTTTAGGGAGAGTGTGGGGGGCTCGTGTGTTTGTTCAACTCTATCTTCTCAGACATTACTCACTTCTAAAGGTGAAAGGTTCTACAGCTTCTCAAATTCTCAGATTGTTCAGCTCTTCTCATCTTAACCTCTCTGCATTCTAACAGAATACAGCAGCTCTAGAGAGATCGCTCCTGGAGAAGAAGGGATGGCAACAACTGATTAAGAGGGGATTGCACACTTTGAAGAAGACTCAGTATCAGGTTATTTTGACTTTCGTAGCTAAACAAGCTTTGACTAGCATCTGGTAACAGATCTCTATTTTTTCTTCTTCTTCTTTTTTGCTTTAGTTATGCTTCGTTGACATTGGGATTGCACATGGAGAGGAGATAGAGCGTATGAAGCTTCTGGACAGTGTGCTCATCAAGATCTAGATTATTGTAACATTATAATCGATTATCTTATACCTTGAGAGATCAGGTAACCATAATTCAATTTTTTTAGGATAATTAACTATTATTTCTGTTCGTCTTTATTATCACTGTTCTATTGGCTGACTGTCCCTTCTCCCTCTTCTGACCAGATTGAATGAGGGAAAGAAGGCTTCAAAGTCTCACGCTGTAGCAGGTAACTTCCACCTTATTATGATCATGAAATTATGATAAATACATGATATTATGATCTTCCTCTTTCACACATTTGACCTTTTTCATAATTTTTTTTTCTAACTTTTACCCCTCATGTTTCAGTCTACATGCTTGGTATTCCCTCTTTTCGTTTCTGAGATCTTCTGGTTTGCAGCATACCCGCAATCCATTGACCTGAAGTATACTGCTTCTGGCGCAGGTCAACGGATCATTGAGCTGTTTCTTTCTTGTTCTCCATTCAATCCTCATCAATCTTGTGCAGGAGGCACAGCTTGTGCAACCGGAAAGTAATAGACAACGAGTCAACTAGGTCCATGCATTCAGCCAGAATGCAACGCCCCCATCCCTCCTATGAACTCCTTCATATGTTGCATGATCTCTTGATGGCGTTGACTTCTGCTTTCATGGGAAGTCACTGTGGCTGGCTGCCTCCTTTTGGAACTGTGATTCATGCATGGTCGCATGGGCTTCAAGGTTCCCTTAGCTGAGAAGATGGCTGCTTCTGTAAGTCACTTTTCACCTTGTTCTTCCATCTCTTGAGTAAATGAGGGCTCTCAAATATGGGCTTTTATGTCCTTCAAGATGTCATACTGGGCTTGATTTTTTTTTATTTTCCAGTTCGGATTTTTCTCCCAAATATCTTGAATATATATATATATATAGATATATATATATATTATGTATTATATTCCGCGTAATTATTTTTGAGAAAAGACTTGACTACAATATGTACCTTTTATTAGCTATGAGGAACATTTATCATTAAATATTTTACTAATATGAGAATAATCTCATTTTTTATGTGAAATATTTGTGAAATATTTTCCTTTCATTTTTTTTATGTGGCGTATTTTTTCAAATTTAATTTTTGGATATATATTATTTTGATTTTCTAGGTGCGTTTGTGAGGGTAGAAGCTTGGGGCCCCGGATGACATAGATCAGAGAAGAGAATGGGACCCGATCCACTCCGCTCATTTGGGCTTTTGAGAGATCCGGCCCAGAGTCTGCCATGTGGCTAAGCTACTACCTTCGATTACCGCCCCGTGAAATCCGACGGTGAGGATAGTTCCACGCCTGAGATCCATCGATGGGGGGGGTGCTCTTAGCCCCATGATTAAGACGGATCGTAAATGCGCCGTGGGAGGTCGCGACGTGGATGTATAATATACCGTAGATCTAATGAGCCCAACCCGCGAGGAGTCGGGCCGACGCTCTCTTTATCGCCGCGTCGGATGACCGACCCGGCTCAGGAATCTGAAGTCAACCCGGTTCTGCCTCCGGTCCGGCCGGGCCCTACCGTTGGCGTGGCACCCATTTGAGTTCTGCATTATTTGCGTACGAAAGCTTCCTATTTCATTTTTATCCCATATCTTAAGGATATATTAATTATGTCCTCAGCGTTCGTCCACTTTATTTAATAAATGTATCCTTACTTTATCTTCCAAACCTATAATAAAGGGTAATTTAACAAGTTTTTTTGGGATTTCGTTAATAATTGGTATATTTCTGGGGTATAGTTTAGTTATTGGCCACCGTAAGGATGTATCGATAAAGTTCCTGAAGGGTTTCTTCAGAGTGATGATTGATGTTAAATTTTGCATAAAACCCCTAAGAGGAAATATAATCGAACATAAAGCTTGATACTCAGGATATTTATAAAATGACATTATATTGGGTATAATGAGTATATGAAAGTTTGTAGGGAAAGATTACACTCCTTTTCTTCCGGTGTCTCTCTTCTTGTTCTTGTTCTTGTTCCTCCCGTCTGGTTCGGCTCAGCTTTTCCCTCCTAGCTTACGTCTCCTTCGCCTCCATGGAGGGGGGGCGTCTCTGGCCTTGGCGCCGTCGGCAGGGATGCGGGTTCTCCTCCGTCTCGCCTGTCTAGAGGAAGTTGCTTAAGGGGGAGGGGAGGGGGAGAGGAGGAGGAGGTGGTTGGGAGTGGAGGGAGATGTTCCCATGGGACTTCGCCAAGTCGGCGGAGGCGATGCTGTCGCGGTGGGCGATCAAGAGGATCTGCAGGTTTCTTCTCAAGAAGAAGAAACTGGGGGATTACATCGACCTCGACCAACTCGACGTCCAACTCGCGGAAGGCGTTATCCAGCTCAGGGACCTGGCTCTCAACGTCGACTTCATCAACGAGAAGGTTGGATGTTATTTTAGGGCCTTTTTTCGACAATTTATTGACTTCAGAGCTCGGCATGAACCCGGGGCTTCTCCCACTTGCGACGGCTCTCTATTTTCGTGTCCAAGTCCTCCTTTCTTCATCTTTTGTTTAGCTCATTCTTTTTATCAGGGGTTCTATCTGTGCATGCTCTGATATCCTCGCCATTTTTGACTTGAAGTAATGCTTCCGGGAAATTCTCCATTTCCGGGAATTATATCTTCTGCATTGCATTAGTCTGGGCAATGAGAGCGGGCAAGATTTTTGCGCTTTTTTCATAAAGAAATTTATTGAATCAGTTTTACCACTGGATTTCGTAATTCTTTTGAAATATGAAATGTGTAGGTATCAAATTATTTGATTACTAACATTTGTCAATCGGCTGTGAAACGTGTCTTATTTATCAATAAATTATTCGAGTAGAAGCCTCTCGACACGTGTGGGTGAAGAAGAGATTGATAACACCCCTCAATAAGCCAACGAATATTTTACTTTGCTCCCCACTAAATCAATCTTTGTCGCAATCTTTGTATCGCTAGGAATGATTGGGAAAGATATTGATTCAGTGGGACAAGATAAACGATTCATAGGCTTATTGAGGGTGTTATCAATCTCTTCTTCACCAACACCGGCTGAGAAGCCTAGCATTTCTCTGCATCCCAAGTGTTACATACAAGTAGAGTATTGTTATTTCGCCTTGTCAGAAATGAGATTCTCTTGTGACCATCAAATGTGCCACTTAAGGTATCTGTGTGAAGGCTGTCGTGAGTGCATCTGATCGTGATGGTTTTGTTGATCTGATAATACACATGCTAAAAGTGATTAGTTTCATTGTTGTAATTTCTTGATTCTACAAGTTAAAACATTGTTTATTTTTGCTTCTAAGATGAAGCATTCTTACTGTTGGTTTCACCTGAGATCAAATATTCTTTTGTTTTAGTCGTTATTCAATTGAACTATAGTCGCATTACCCACCTAAAGTCAGTTATTCTTACGTTGCATCGGCTGCATACCTTATTTAAGCTGTAGGAGGTGAGAGACTGCGGGTTTTCATTTGTACTTCTTGGTCAATGTGGAGAGACATTCTCTTTCTCTTCAGAATGGCTACTTTTTTAAGTTTTTGCACGCACCATTCTATACGACTCTGAGAGATGCACTTTTGTCAAACATTGAATTTTGGCAAACACATTGTTTTAATTTGTCTATTCGGGACATTGAAAATTAGATTTTATCTTTCTATACGACTCTGAGAGATGCAATGTGGAGTGTACAGATGAACTAACAATGACTATTTGCTGAAAGCGTCATCCGTTTCAGAATTTTGGTGATACCTTGATGCTCCTAGAGCAGGGAACTCTCAGTTAATGGAGCATAACGTGAAACAAAGAAAATGAAATTGAAATTATAAATTTAATCCTATTGATTTATTTCTTCAGTGAACCTGCTTCATAATTACTTCTGTTTCCGTTTGATCAAAGAAATCCTAACTTATTTTATTCATTTCAGCTGGGTGATTCACCAGTATTTGTAAAAGAAGGAACAATTCTTTCTCTATCCATTAAAGTCCCCTGGAAGATGAAAAATTGCCAGATAGAAGTTGAAGACCTTGAGCTTGTAATTGCTCCATGCAGAGATAGCAGGTTACCTACTGATAAAGATGTTTGCTTCTTAAGTGATGATGAAAAGGAATCCCAGAAGAATACCCCTGAAAAACTTGACCGGCGAGTTTCATCTGGTAGCTTGTCTTCTGCTTCTCTGGATGTTCATGAGGGGGTCAAAACAATTGCAAAGATTGTGAAATGGTTTCTTACGAGCTTTAATGTAACGATAAGAAATCTAATCGTTGCATTTGATCCATGTTCAGAAAGTGATGATAGTTCCTCTCACAGGAATTTGGTGCTTCGGATTGCTGAAATGGAGTATGGGACACGTGTCTCTGACGACGCTAACTTACAGCCAAACAGCCTCTTAGGCATTGCCAAATTAACAAACTTCATTAAATTTCATGGAGCAGTGATTGAGTTTCTTAAAATGGATGAAACATGTTCCTCAGAAACAAGCACCAGTGAGAATTCTTTTAAAGGCTCACCTTCGGGTAGCACATCACCAGTTTTCACTGGGGCAGCAGGTGGGTTTTCAGGGATCTTGAACTTGAGTATTCCGTGGAAAAATGGATCTTTGGATATTAGCAAAGTTGATGCTGATATCACTCTTGATCCTGTGGAGTTATTGTTACAGCCAAGCACAATGAAGTGGATCATGATCTCGTGGGAATCCCTTAAGAAAGTTGATAAGGATGGAAGAAATCATGTCAATTTGAGCAACACAGATACGGTTCATCCAGTTCGTACAACAGGGACAGTTCGTCCAGACAATAACAGGAAGACATCTAGTGAAGGAGTTTTTTCCTCCTGTATAGATTCTCAAATGAATCAAGGTTCCGATTTATGTGATTCACCTTCTCCGCCATATATTATACAGAACTGGGTGACATCAGACAGCTTGAAAGGCCCTGCAGAACTGGAGGGTGATTATGGAATGAGGTTCGTCTCTCTTTTGATTTTCCCTAACTATGCGATATTTAAATCCCTGTCCCTGCTGTATCGGTCTTTTTCGATTGTTGATACTGATTGGAGGATTACAGATCTGTTTTCAATCGAAGCAATGTAATTTTTCACCCTCTAAATTTGGGAACAAATATTTGCGCTTTTATAATATAGGAGTATAACTTTTATGCTGCATTTTAATTCTTCCTCCTCTGTTTTGAACTTGCGAAATGTGGTATACTTGTATTTTTTTCATCATAAGTACCAATATTGAGCTGAAGAAAAAACTTTCCTGAGGCATGTCATCATGAAATGAGTGCAAATATTAATAAATTAATATAACTTTTATATCTCGAATCAGCGATGATTTCAATGAATTTTTCCTATTCCAAGATGCCCATTTGATATGGTTATATGATTTCAATGAATCTTGCTACCTTGAAAAACTCTCTTGATGCAAGGTTATTGAAACCAGAAAATTCCATATCAATAATCAGCCCGATGGTTCATTTTTTTCTGGATTTATGGTCATGTTGATGTGCTGAGGCATACACGGCAAGAAGGTCTGAAGTATCATACTTCTTGTATTATTTTTAAGTTTCTGTTGGGATAATAGAAGGACAAAGAAAATGTCACCCAGTATCATACTTCTTCTTGCAACAATTTTTTTCGGCCTGTATGAACCAGGAAGCCAAGAAAAGGTCACCCATTATTATATTGGTCCCAGGTTTTGTATGTTTGAATCAGACCAGTGAAGAACTAGACTAAAATGATATATGGTTGTTTGTAGGGCCTAGGTTGATTCAGGTACTAAATAACTCTGAATCAGCGCACCTGAGCTGAGACCACTGCTGGTTGGAGTGGTCAATCCGAGGTTTTTTAACCGAGTGTTTGTTTTTGTATGCAGCAAGCTGTTAAGTTATTTAAACAGAATTATTATGACATATCTTTATTGTTAAGTTAGGAGGACTACAAGGGCCTCGTAGTCAACAAGCTGTATTTTTCATCTATTTCTAGTAACTATATCAGTCAAATCCATTTCTTTAAACAGAATTATTATGTCAGTTGTGAATTGTGAAAATCAGAGGTCACACCACGAAAAGCTGTCGTTGTGTTTGGAGATGGTGATAGTGCGTTTTTTCTTTTTTGTTTATATGTGTGAAGCTAAAAAGCTGTCTGGGCTAGTCAGTTGTAAACCACGAAAGTAGAGCTTGAGATGGGGAACAAAGGGAAAGAAGAAATTTGGTGAAGAGGGGATCTTCAAACCTGAAGAGAACATATGAAATGCCCTCATGTTCGAGGTCATGGTTTTCCCATTACACACTTGGTTTGTCTTGTGCTGTAACCTTGGAGGAAAGAATTAATAGCTTTTGCTAAATTGCACCAAACTTCAAAATAGTTGCTCCTCTGCAAGCATAGAATAGGAATTTTGTTTCGAAAATTTGTTGATCTATACAAGAAATGCAAGATTTGAATCTTCTAAGCAATGTGCTTGACAGTAACCCTTTTTGTGCATGCGTACATACCTATTCCTGAAAACTATATTGAGCTCTGACATTGTACAATTAAAATCGTCATGTATGTAAATCTGACACGTTCCAAACTTTATATGGATATTCATTCCCAGATCCCAAATCAAAGAGGAAACATGAAATATATATTGACAAAGCGCTTGTGCATACCTATTGTCACTAGACACCAACCAACCACCCTTTCCAATTTTTTCCCCATGTCTCGACTAAATTCAGATGGCACAAGAAAACTATTTGCTTCCTTCCCTGCGCTCAATGGAGGATAGAGGCGTCTATGCTCTGGTTATGTACAAGTAGGAGCATGGTTCTCTTTCCTACATAAATGGAAGATGTTGATGAAGTTGATGTTTGAGATGATTGTAATATTTATCACTTAATTTTAGTCAGGATCTTCATCAGTACTCTTGTTTTTCTTTGCCTATTTCTGACTATAACTTTCATGAAGGTCCTAATCCATTTGATGTATTGCTCGGTATCTTCTTTCAGCATAGATCAATTCTTTGAATGTTTTGACGAAGTAAGAAGCTCCCGAGCTAGTTTAGGCAACAGTGGGATATGGAACTGGACTTGTTCAGTTTTCAGTGCTATAACAGCTGCATCAAGCCTTGCTTCAGAATCAGTGTATCTTCCTTGCGGTATGTTTGTATGACTAACTAATCTGTTATTTTCCGTGTATATGAAGAGCAGAAGTTGAAGTTTTTTCTCTTTGCGTACTCAGAAATGCTAACTGCTGATGTGCTTGTCAAACATTTCATCATTCGTTACATACATGAAAAATGAGCCTATCTTATTACTCCAAGTCGTTGTTTGCAATGTTGAATATTCAAATTAAATTTCCAAGGCTAAAGACTGTTTTATCTGACGTAGCATATTACTTCAGAAAAAGGGAAAGTCGAATTTGTTTTGACCCAAGTGGCCTGAAAACGTAAAAACATGGACCACATAAAAGTGTTGAATTTTATCAACTTATCCGATTTTGGAGAACAAATTCGGTCTCTTTAAAGGCCTAAGTCCTGTAACATGAAGGATATAAATATTACGATTTTTCGTTCTCGTTGTGAGATTTCTGAGTGCTTGTGGATTCAAGGGACGTTACTTTGATCCTCATGGATTCAAGGATCGTCTAAACGAATCCTTGAGGATGCAAAGATAGGAAAAATTCGTGTCTTATGGATTCAAGGCCCAATACTTCGTTCTTTACCCACTCCATATTTCGTGCCTAGTGGATTCAAGACCTGAAATTCTATTTTCTGCAACTTTTGCTGCATCATTAAGACATCAAGTCTGTTTCGGATTAGTGCAAGGCTATTTTAGAGCTGATATGATCACCAATAGCCTGACTGGGCTACCTCTGAAACTGACTGCTTCATCTCTGAAACTGACTGCTTCTACGAGTCATTATGTGACACATTTAAAATGATTGTGTTGGTAATTAGCCTGAGAAGTTTTTCTTAGGAAGTAAGGTCCTGGTTTCAAAACGCGTTGGTGCTCATAATTTAGGTGGAACATGGGTAACTTGTGATCACTTCGGGGGTTTGCCAGTAATAACTGGTGGTTTCCTTGTCACCAGAAGAAAGCTTTCTACAGGTAACAGGGGATGGCTGACAAGGAGAGAACACATTTTCAATGACGAAAATTGAAAGCTTGATCATTGAAGTAAAATCTATTACTTGAGTCAAAGTAGAGGCCATTATCATTGAGTTCCAACAAAATCAAAGGTCAGATGTAAGTGAGGCTGATAGTTTTCATTATGTCAACTTGTAGCTTGGGATTGTAGAATTGGCAAGGGAGACAGTGGTAAGGTACCATGTTTCCCAGTGGATCTCCAAAGGAGCTCAGTTGCTCACAGGTTTTGAATACTCTGGGAATTAGATCTGTCGTTTACACTTGCTGATAAAGGATTATTCTTGAAGTATCAACAATCTTATGTTTCAAGTATGAAAGATGACTGTGGCAACCATAGTCAATTATGCTATTCATGGCGATGATTACACAATTCATCAAGGAGATTATTGATCCGGGAGGCAAATTGGAGATGCATTATATTGATCGGATACATTATGCTTGATCCCAAGAATCTATAATTAGGAAGGAAAAGGCTGCCGTTATATATGAATTGAAGGTTGGATTTGTCGAACTGATGAAGCCAATATCCAAGGCCTCAAAAATCTTCCTGTAGTTTTTGATATCTGAAATAAAATGAAGGAAACTGAGAAAACTGGAATTCTGATATATGGATACAATAATTCCTGCGGTTATCTCAGTCATAACTCAAATATTAAACAAAGTAAAGTGGTAGTATGCAAGACGTCCATTCATCTAGAGGTTCGTCTTTTGAATTTGAGTAAGATATGATACCACATTTTAAAATCTTGGGTAGACAATAAACTCCACATCTCACCAATAGTGAGGTTTATGCATATTTAAAATTTTAAAATGTGGCATCATTTGTCACTCATTTAAAATTCCATGTCTGTATTTTTTCCACACTTTCTGCCTTGACTTTGGTATCTCTCTCTCTCTCTCTCTCTGTGGCTATCTATCTGTTTTCCCTCATTGCTAGATGCATTGAGGTTCATAGGCATTTAATACTCATGCTTACAATTCATAGAGACCAATGAAAACGTACACTATCATGCACTATCTATGATCAAAGATTCTTGGATGCACAAGGATATTCAAACACGTACACACCAGACCTGCTCACAATACACCCATCCACGTGCTTACAATCCCACGAATATACTCATCCACATTGGGAGAAATACAGATTGAGCACCTCTATCATGTACACGAGACGCACACAGCATGCAGACTCGTACAGACTGTTTGACACTGATATATTACCACAATGTGAACACACATCCATACCCCAGGCCCCTCCCTCTCAATTCCTCTCACTCTCTCTGATTTACTTCTTTATAGGCTAGGGTTTTCCTGGACAGGTGACCTATGCTCTTTGTTTTCTTCCATCTCGTCCTTCTCACACCATTCACTCTTCTTTTCTCCTCTTCTTTTTTCTCTTCATAAAGTAGTGGGAAGGGCTAACCACATCTTCCTCTCCTTCCACTGGGTATCAGGATTAAGGTTTCTGAAATCTTTCTTCCTCTTCTGTTCTGACCACTCAATGAGAAGGGGTTGACGTCAAACCGGGATTTCTCCACTGCCCGCTCCTCTCTCATATTTGTCTGGGGTTACTGTCAATGTCATGGTTCTTTTGCTTTCCATCACTTTTAGTCTTCTCCTTTGACTCGTTACAATTGATTACAACCCGAGGGGATTGACTGTACCTTCCTCTTGCTACAGCGGCTAATAGCAGCAAGGGGAGGCTTTCCTCTTTTCCTCTTTTCCCTAATCTGGTTGGGCCTATTACTGTGGATAGTGAATTAGGCCATACTGCGAGTGACAGCGTACACCCCCCTCCCCCCTTTCCCTTTTTCCTCCTCTCCTCTGGCTTCAAATATTTTGATTGAACTCAATGAAGTTACCAATCAAATGCTGTTTCACCTTGCCTTTTGGTCATTCTATAAAGTTGGTTATCTTGCACTTGTTGTTGATACTTAGAATGGTTACATTTCTCCATAAGTTTGAACAATTTCGTTACACACTGTTTGTTTTTGACAGAGCAACAGTACAGTGAAACCAATTTGAAGGCTAAAGTTTCTGCATTTTCTATTATTGTTTCCTTTGATGACGAGCTGAGTTATTCTGATCATACAATGATGCATCGCCATAGACAAATGGAAGGCCTGCATGGGACTACATATGAATCCTTATCAACCATTCTAATTCCCTCTGTACATCATGTTGAAATCAAGTGCCAAGACCTGCATCTTGCATTGCAGGTAATAATAACATGCATCCCTTTCTTCCTTTATCTTTTGAAGGTTCCTGTCTCTGTATGATATACCTTTCTCTTTAGTCTTCTGAACTTTACTTAAAAACGAGTTAGTCTTGTTGTTGTGGACGTATTATTATGATGAATAATTTTGGACCTTTTTAAAAAAACGCAGATTTTCCTAGATGGTACAGAAGTGGAAGCAACAATTAGGGAAATTAAGATTGATGACACCCTTGATATTGGAAATGAGGCAGAGAGATTTTTGTCCGAGGTCAGTCGACTTCAAGCAGGAGTTCTAGGCACACTTCCGGCATGCCCTTTTTCTAATTATGAAATGAGTGCCAACTTTATTTATTCCCCTCCAGATACACAACCACGTGATGAGAATTTTATAGGGAACCGGTGTAAAATTATTCCCAAGGGATTGGTCAACGTTCAATTGCTAAAATCTTTTGGAGCTTGCCGCTTCAAATGTTCTCTCAGTTCCACCAGTCAAAATAAGCAGTCATCAGTGTTATCATCCTTCTCTGTATATCTACCACAGTTTACCCTATGGGTTGATTTCTCTTTGATAACTATGCTCCTGGCCCTTCTTGAGAAAGTTGGAAGTTCGTTGAAAGGCGGTGAAATAAAAGATTCTGCATCTGATAGTTTTGACCAAAAGCATAGTGCTTCTCAGGGTGGTGTACAAAGGGTTTCACCTGGAGGAAATCTTCGAGGGGATATTTTCCTTTCAAGAACCAGGATCGTATTGTGCTTTCCTTCTGAAAATCTTGGAGATATGAAGGGGCCATTCTGTTGGAGCAGATTTCTTGGTCTTGATTTTTCTTCATTACCCTATAGTGCTGATAAAGGTCCAGCAACAGGTCATGTTCAGAAACAAGGGTACCTGAAGGGTCGTTCCCATTCACCATCTAAAGTGCTGCATCTTCATAATGGATCCCTGGACGCATATTTAATCACTTCCTCAAGAAAGAATGTTTCGGATAACAAGGAAAGTCGTATATCACAGCCAGACTTTGTTTCCAGGATGATTTTGTCTACAACTGGGGGAATGGATGGTCAAAATCCTGGAATTACTATGCTTTGGCAGAACGGTCCTGTAACTGGGCCTTGGTTGTCAAAAAGGGCATGGGATTTAGCTACCTTGCATGACCTAAGGAATAAGAGAAATGTAACTGGAAAAGGGGATGAGTTTTCATCCGTGAAAAGACCAGAAGATGAACGAGAGACGAGTGGTCAAGTGCGCCAAGAAATGATTCTCAGTTCTTCATTTCTCACACACATTCATCTTCCTCAGGTCTTGATTGATCTTACTAGTCATGAGTACAGGCTACTATATAGGCTTCTAAATGAAGTCAAGGATGGGTTGTCCTGTCTTCATTCCAAAAAAGATGATTCTGTTGTTGATGAAGGTTTAAAGAAGGAAAAGACTTTCGAAATAGATGATCATGGGTCTCAAATGTCAGTGCTCCTGGAGTGTGATATGCTTGATATAAGGATCGCTTTAGATGATGTCTTGGAAATCAGTAATTCACTTCAGAAAGAATTACCTGGTTCATGGAATAGTCTGAAACTCGGAATCCAGAAATTTGAGTTGTTATCTGTGTCAAGTGTTGGAGGAATTATGAGTGACAATTTTTTATGGTTGAGCCATGGTGAGGGCGATTTGTGGGGTTCTATGGTTAAAATAGATGATACATCGACCCAAGATTTTCTTCTTATAACTTGCAAGACCTCAGCAATGAAAAGGGGTGATGGAGAAGGCGGGAACATCTTATGGTCTGGAAGTGCAGGTACTTCAATTACACATGTGGCAAATCAAGAGCTTTCCCAAAGTTTCACATCTGTCAACATTCGATGTGCAACAATCAATGCACCTGGGGGCCGTTTGGATTGGTTCAATGCCATGTGCTTATTTTTTAGTTTACCTCCTCATGAAGATGAAATGCTTAATAATACCTTAGAACATGATCTTCCTGAAGGTATTGGAAGACGTAGGCAGCTGTTCTTTCTTGATTTGGTAGATATTGCTCTTAACTATGAGCCCCATATAAGATATTCAGGAACAAAAACTGTTGCTCCTGCTGCATGTAATAGCTATCATAAACCCAATGATGAGTCTATGGAGAAAAAAATGGCATGTCTTCTGGCTGCTGCTTCTTTAAGCCTTTACAGTCAGGCTATTGGAAATGCTACAAGCAGTGATTATAATATTCGGCTACAAGATATAGGGTTGCTTGTATGTGAGAAATCAGGGTCAAAAAATGAGACAGATGGTTACAGTGTCAATTATCTTCTTGAAAGTAATTATGTTAAAATTGCCAAAGAAGCTCTAGTAAATGCTGTTTTGAGAACCAATTGTGAGAATGGCCTGCTGTGGGAGCTTGAATTTTCTGATTCGCATATTAGTATGGGTACCTGTTATGATACCACTTCAGGCCTTGTTAGGTTGGCTGCTCAACTTCAACAACTTTTTGCTCCTGATGTGGCTGATGCGTTAGTGCATTTGCAGTCTAGGTGGGATTCTGTCAAACAAACAGGTGATGAAAATGGTGGAACTTCTGCAATGAATTGCAGCCCCAGTGTATTGGCTTCACATGAGAAACCATCAATAAATGGTGAAAACAGTGCACATACTGGAATTATGGATGGCATTCTTGACAATGCTTTCTGTTGGCAGGGAATCCAGACACGTGAGGTTGATTCTTGTGGCATGCAATCTGATGCTTCGCAGATGCAAAAAGTCAGGTACAATCTGGATATCAGTAGCCTTGCAGCTGGTGATCTTTCCCTTCCAAATGTCTCTTTAAATGGAGCAAGTCGTAGATTTACAGAACCAAATGTGGGCTTGCCCCATGTAATTGAAAGCTACTACGCATCTGAGTTACAATCTGGCAGTTGGTCATCAAATGAAGCGCTCACTAGTCAAGTCAATATTTCAGCAAATAGAGATGCTGAACTGGGCAAGGGTAGATGGTTTAAGGAGACTCCCTTGATGATTGTTGAGGACCATATTTCAGATGGAACTAATGATATTGGAGGGAAACAATCTCACCAAGAAAATAAGATTCCATTTGCTGAAAATGCTCCTGAAACTTGCATGGCAAGGGGTAGGGTATTTGTAAAAAATATTGACGTGATATGGATAATGTATTCAGGATGTGACTGGCCCAAGGAACAAAAAGATTCTCAGTCTGGTTCGAATTCAGGTGAAAATGGAAGAGGTGAAAATGTATGTTTGGAACTGACTCTATCTGGGATAAATCTGCAATATGACATTTATCCGGACGGGGAATTATTTGTGTCCAAGCTTGCACTCTCTGTTAAGGACTTCTATCTCTATGACAGGAGCAGGAATGCCCCTTGGAAAATGGTAAGGTCATGTTAGTTAGTTGCCATTCATTTCTGCATCTGCCTATCGTAAATAAGTTTACCCATTTAATATTTGCAATATCGTTGATTTGAAAGGTACTAGGCTATTATAATTCTAAAGATCATCCTAGAGAATCCTCAGCTAAAGCCTTCAAGTTGGAATTGGAATCTGTAAAGCCTGATCCGTCAACACCTCTTGAGGAATACAGGTACATAGACGATCTTTTTTCTTTCTTTTTTTTGGTTTGAGTGTTTCTTTAACACTTTTAGCCTATTGGGGATCTCATTTTTCAACTTCGTAGACTGAAAAATTCCTTTGGTAACAACTGTTTTAGGTTTAACATCTGGCTAAATCTCCTTGGATGACTCTTAATGTCATTAACTTCGTAATAGGAATTTATTTAAATGCCATTCGGGAAACAGTCAGAAAAGTTGTGGAATTTCGGTGGCTGGAAACTGTCTTTCTCTGAGTGGATGGGACCATGTGTTCACTGAAATCTTAGACGAAAGATAATTACATGTATAGTCTAACTCTAGAAAATTCTCGTGCAAAGAAAAGTTAGTAGGATTCACGAAGATGGTGAAGGCTATGCTGACCAAATAGTCATTCCAGAAGCAAGGAGTGTTATTCTTCTTTAGAAAAAATAATAAAATCCAAATTTGACAAAGGAATCCTTATCCCTAGGAGCATCTGAGAATAAATGGCCTAAGAACTCGTCCCCTCATGACTTATATGAAGCCTCATTCATCTCCGTAAAGTGAGGTAGGTAATCATCCTTTGGATGACTCCTATGTAAGATTCTCCTGTTAAAATCTTCCTTTTCAATATGAAGCTCTCGTGGCTTACGGCCAACTTCCAAATCACCTCAGTCCTGTTGACATGAAAAAACTTATTATCATGATGCTAAAGATGAGTCACTCAAAGAAAAGGTCTTTCATCCTCTGGTTTCGTTTGCCTGGTGACCCTGATCAGACTTAGCTGTTTTCTATTCTTGACCTTCCTGGAATGACCTTGTGTTTACTTCATGGATGGAGAATGTCACCTCATTTTCATGTCCCTTCATTGCCTTAATCAATGATGGAGTTAATAGTTTTCACCACCATCTAGGAGATCCTCTTAACATCAACATTCCCCTTAAGTTGTCGCCATCTCTTTGTGCCATCCAAATCAGAAATGTCTCTTATGTACTGCATACCACCACTCTTGTTTCCGTGAACTAAAAAAAAACACACTTTTTCCCTCTAAAAGCTCAAGTAATAGTTTTTTTCTTATGGTATACCTGACTGGGTAGTTCATGACTTCGAGAAATGACCTCCCATGAACAGTGGCGACGCAAACCCTAGGAGATAGAATATGCGAAGGAAAAACTCACTCAGTGTTCAATAGTTGACTGTTATGTACCAGTACCAAGGCCACAAAACGAGGAAACTACCTAACATCTAGGAAACCGAAAAAATAGGAAACAAACAAGTTATACTAGGAAACGGTTCAACTACATATAGGAAACAAACAACTACCCATTTTGTTTATTGATCATTGCTTGTAGTTTCTCCCAAATGAGAAACACACTGTTCCAAATAATTATTCTTTGTTCATTCATGTTTAACGTTATAAATGTATTAGCTTTTTACTTTATTTTCTACAAGACCATAAACCTTTCATTTAGCGCATATAATAGTTTAGAAAATAAATATTTCATTTCACATTCAATTGGTTTACGAAGCATAATTTGTAATCGTCCAGAAAAGCATTATAATTGTTCTTTTATTCCTGCTTATTTGTAGTCACCTCTTCAGTTAATTTTGTATCTTATACCATTAATTGGATTCATATATACTGAAGTATGTCTGGATAGCATCAGAGTCGAGCTGTTATTTCAAAAAGTCTCTCAAATACGAATTTTTGCACCTTCTCAGGCTGCAGTTTAGTTTTCTACCCATGAGACTGCATCTTCATCAAGGCCAACTTGACTTCCTCGTGAATTTTTTTGCCAACGATTCTTCAAATAGTAATTTGGGTGCACCACAAACATCAATGAAAATGGACAGAAGTTTTGAAGGACAATTTGTTGCAGAAGAAGCATTGCTTCCATTCTTCCAGGCAAGTGCAGCTGAATGTTTCTTCTTAGTCTTCATCGTTTGAATTACATGTCATGTACATCGCCAAAGTACTTGATCCTATGGTTTATCTGAACTTCTATTTCTATTTCGTGTACCCGGTCCCAATCCTCTGACCACTTAATGGACGCAGGAAGTTATTATAAATATTCCTTGCTACATTGTGAGATGCCATTGTATTTTCTTTTCTGACATATTTTCTTAAATATCGTCTATTTTACTATTCACACTATGGCTTTAAGATAGTTATTTCAGATATCTCAACTGTAAGAATAATCATGTTATTTTTTTTCTTGTCCAGAAATTTGACATATACCCTGCAGTTCTTCGTGTGGATTATATTCCTCGTCATGTTGATATGGCAGCATTGCGAGGAGGGAACTATGTACAACTTATAAATCTTGTTCCGTGGAAGGTATCTTTGGAATTTTGAAAAATCATTGGTGTGCTTTTGTTCAACTTGTATTGATCTCTAAAGAACTTTTATCTTGATGATTTAAATAACATTCATGCTGTTTGATTTTGTGCTTCATATTTGCTTTCCTGTGTCTTTATCTCTATATCTCTTCAAAGCATGCTTTCTTAGTCTGTGCTTGTGTACCTTTTCTAAGTGTATTCAGCATCTTCGTCAAATCAAAATTAAAACCTTTTCCTTTACCTTCTCACGTTTCCTTGTATTTTATTAGTTTGTGAGAGAGAACGGAGTTACTAATGGATACTTTTGTGTTTTTAGGGAATTGACATACAGTTGAAGCCAGTTCATGCTGTGGGTGTATATGGTTGGGGAAGTGTATGCGAAACAGTTATTGGGGAGTGGTTGGAAGATATTTCACAGAATCAGGTTTGGTGTTGTTATGCCGTGTTCTGCGATTTGATTTGATGAAGACTATTAATGATGTGCTGAAATATTTATTCCCCATGACGTGGATGTCATTCTACAGATTCATAAAGTTTTGAAGGGTCTTACGCCTGTGAGGTCATTGTTTGCTGTCAGTTCCGGTGCTGCAAAACTTGTTTCATTGCCGGTCAAAACCTACAAGAAGGATCATAGGTTGCTCAAGGGAATACAAAGAGGTAACTACAAAACTTTTTCTTGACTAACTGCTTTCGTCATGCGATATTTTTTAACGGGGAAATCTTCACATTATTTTAGTTCTTCGAAAAGTTCATTTTTCTGTTAAACCCATTCGTAGTCATTCATGAACTATCAATGAACCTGCTTGAGGTTTGCAAGCCTGAAAGTCCTGTCCACACTTCTGAGGTGATATTTTTGTTAATACATATAATTGTTAATGTCTTGGACTGGAAAACGCTTGAATTGGAAGCCAGAAGCATAAAGGTAAAATGACGAAGGCTTGCCAAAGAGATAGTCTGATTTTATCCCAAAAATCTTTGTCTATTCCAGAGTCTTTAATTTAGGCAGTTTACGAGGGAATTCCACAGAAGAGATAAACAGAGATCTTATTCCTAATTTTTTTTTTAGCTATTTGGATGTCAGAAAATAAACTACTCTAAGCCATAAATATCTAGAAGACTACAATAGCCATGCTGAGAATGGCTAGTGAACAAAGAAAGACGTGAGTATTGTTTCCTGTCAATTCCCTCCAAATCAGTTGTTGACCTGGATTGTAGCCCAGAACTTTCTCCACATGTTTTAGGTATGGAAATCAGTAAGACTAGTTAGGTTCAACAACTGAACTAAAAAAGAACGTAATTAATCCTTTGCAGTATTCTCTTTCGTTTGGTAAACTGGAAATCAACTTTGAAGTGGCGTGTGGCTGTCACCCTCTGTAGAGAAAAATCTCCAGGACGAAATTAGCTAGTTATATAAATGGTGAAAGGTGTTGGTCTTCTACGTGAAGTCAAGATCATAAGATACCAGACCCAAAAATGAGACAAATAGATGCATGAAAACACAAGAATATAACCTAATCTCCATTATGCATATAGTAGAGGTCGCATTTACAGGAGTTCGTGAAAATCGCTTGAAACTATTTAGAGGCCTGCAAAGTAGACCGGCAGGAGCTCATGTTTTAGATGTTGACGTCCTTTTCGTTGACATTTTTGAATGATTTAGGAAAAAGGTACAGAAATTTATTAGTATGTTTAACATAAAATATAAGTATGCTATACCATTGTAGGATTTGGTAGAAATCATGGTGTTTTTCTGATGTTAGAGATCAGCGTTGACAAAATATCTTATCAGTAGGTCACAGGGCTATACATGTGATTTTCTGACGGCTGAAGAATGATTTTCTGCACCCCTGCCCTCTCTATCTCTGCCTATACCTGTGATTTTCTTTTGCTCCGAACCTGCCTTGTCCTGTACCTTTGTCCTTGTAGCCTTTTGGTCCAACAAGTAGGATTATGTGATTCAAATGTCATTGGTGATGTAACGGGGTCGAAGTGTCTTTAGACAGGTTGTAGGCTATTCTGATTTTTTTTCTCATTGAATTGAAGGACTGACATATACTAGATAGTTAATTTTTTTTTCAGTTTCATGAGAATTTTTCAAATGAATTATGCAAATCTACGTTAATGCCCTGTGGAGATGACTTCAGAGCTGAAATTTCGCTTATTCGATAATTTTCTTTATCCAGGAGCACTTGCGTTTCTTAGGAGCGTCTCCCTTGAAGCCATTGGCCTAGGTGTGCATCTAGCTGGCGGGGCACACGAGTTATTGCTTCAGACAGAAAATATCCTAGCCAGCGTTCAACCTTTGGCACCATCATCTCGAGATAGTGGGACTGGAAGTGTGAGGTGTAACCAGCCCAAAAATTCACAGCATGGAATTCAACAGGTAGCATTAGTACATAGGATTGCGTTATCTTTTGCATTTAAACCTAGTGTTGATTATGAAGCATTTGCATTCCCCTTCTTTGTGTACCTTTCTGAGAGATAGGAACTCCTGTCTTTGGGTTCTTGAAAACGGCATACCTGAAATGCTAGTAATTGTACTGACTAACTACCTCATGCAGCATATCTAAATTTATTTGAAAGTATGATCTATTTTTTAATTTAGAGAAAAGAAAAATACAAAAGAACGAGCCTGTATAATTGGGGCTTGCTCAATTCATTGTTGCCACTGATTGTCTTATTTAAGACTACTCATGAATAAAATATAGATGAACTATACTCAGAAAGAAAACTATGGTAAGAACGACGAAAAGATGTAACATGATTGACAATGTCCTGTAGAAAATATCTCTAGTTGAGTTAACTAGGTTGAATCCTTGAAACATGCCAAATTCAAAATCTGGTTTCCTCATGCAAATAATTAAGTGAGCCTCATTTTTCTTTCCAGAATTTCTTATAGATTTTAAGCTTTTCTAAATGCAAAGAGGGGTTTCGACCCTAAAATCATTCCTCGTAAACTGATTATTTTTAATTTCTTTTTTTCCTCATGGCCATCTTTAGTTCTAAGGTAAACGTCTATAGTCGCCTTGGATGGTTATTATATTGAGTGATGGTAACCAATGTTGGATGTCGTCATTTTGGAGCTTAACGTTCTCTCTCTATTTTGTCCTCCACTAATGGCGACTGAGTTGTCACTCAGTGTTCCAGTGAGTAGAGGTCGAATGGTGGTGGGATTCATCGAAGTCATCTGTGATGGTAGTAATGACACAAGACTTCCAGTGTTCTTACTCTTCTCATCCACAAGAAGGCTGTAGATATTATGTAATGTGTATAGTGAAAGAGTTACAGAGAGATACCTCAGTATTAGGATGCATTCGTCATGAGACAAGTGACTATTTCAAGAGCTCTAGGGATCTGAGACATGAGAGGACCCTCTTCCTTCTTGTGGGCCAGATTCTAAGTTCAACATAGAACAAGGTGGCACTTGGAACATTACATGAAGGGATTCAAGTTGGCCGAAAAAACATACCTACTACATGTCTCTAATTTTTGGATGATACAATCTTTATTTAATAGGGCGATGTGGGGAAAATTCAAATGCTCAAAAGGCCTTGGCATTACTAGAAATAGCCACTTTCATCTGGGTGAAGATGGATTCTCTCAAAGCTGCATCTACTTTGGCCATTTATTTAACGCCCATTTTCTAAATACTGAAATATGTTGTGAAGATGATTGGGCCCAGAATAACCTTATTTTATTTTATTTAGTGAGTCGATTAGTAAAATAAAAGCTTCCCACTTAATCGACTGGGGCCCAGAATCCAAATCTTCCAGCCTATTGTCCTAAAAAAAAAAACTATCTTTTGTTTCTTCCATGGGGGAAAATGGAACATCTGCTTGTGAGATCAGAAAACAGAACATGCGTTTCACGATTTGCACGAGGAACCAGTGGACCATTTCTTTGGGGCATGGAATTATTGATGCCCTGTGAAAATTTATCTCTGATACAGTCTGGATGCCAATTAAGGAATTACCAAATTGGCCCTTTTTTTGGTCATATATTGCTGATCTTGACGGGTCGATGGTGCTTTCAGTAGCAGTCCTTTGTGCCATATGGGATGGTAATAAATAACATAAAATATCTATACATGTTCGATGCAGGATTAAGATGGCTCTGCTGATTGTTTCCAAGTTTTCGTGAGCAAATAACATCAGAGATCATCTTCAGCTGGGTTCCATGGTTATGATCTTTGAAAGGAAAACCTTGTGCTCCAATTACCCTCCTTTCTGTATCCCATCTGGGTAGAACAGAAGAGGATCGATCTTCTTGGGCTTTCCCCTCTTATGTAGTTCTTGTACTGCATTCAAAGCATCTGCATGTCCGATCCTCTTCTTCTTCTTCTTCTTCAAACAGTGGCACTGTGCATTCTTGTTCAGATTCCTCTTTCAGACTATCAAAGTTTTCTTTTCCTCCTGCGAGCAGGCCTTTGAAAGTCTAAGCGACGGCTTCGGGAAGACCACCACCGCTCTCGTTGGGACCCCTCTGAAGGAGTATCAGCGTGGTGCCGGCACAGGGTCGGCATTGGCCAGCGCCATCCGGGCGGCTCCGGTGGTGGCCGTCGCCCCCGCATCTGCTGTTGCCCGGGCGGTGCACTGTACTCTCCTGGGAGTGAGGAACAGGTACTCCTTTTCTGGATAATCAACAGAGAAAACCAGAGATTACTATAAAAAGATCGAACAAAGCAACCCGTTGACTCCATTCCAGATTGTCCTTTTTTGGCCTACCCAGTTAGAGTCAACGATCATCATTCGATTGGAGTGGGCAAAACGCTGCTCTTCTAACAGGCTTGGTGGGTCTTCTGTGCAGCCTTGATCCGGAGCACAAGAAGGAATCCATGGAGAAATATCTTGGCTCCTCTAGATCTCGAGAACGATGATCACGGCGTCAATCTGAGTGGTATGAATTTCTAGGTGGGGCAATAAGGCAGGGATTTTTATCTCCAGCTCCGAGGGATTCTATACATTTTATGAAAGCATGTATGTTTATTTTTGGCAGGGCTATTTGAGCAGAGGATGGTGATCATCATGCCAAAGCGAAATGGGTCTTCCTCCCAGCCCCCGGTGAGAGGCCGGGCTCTCTGTACAGTGGTTTTGGCTCTTCTTTCCCTGATCCTCTTCAAGGGTGGTGGTGAAAAGTGTACATATATGTGAATAGATGGCCTCCCATATTGTAGGGAAGGGTGTGTATAGATTTTGTGCGCATTTAATTTATTAGTTAATTATTATAAATAATATATATATTTCTTTGGCTCCCATTTGACTGAGCCATTATGGTGTCTGATTATTCGGTTGTGGGGTTGAAGTGATCCAGACATCCGTGGAAGATCGATCGGCTCTCAATGAATTTGTGATTCTTTTTTTTTTCTTTTCTGCCCTTTTGGGGTCCTCTCTCTCTCTCTCCTCTCTCTCTCTCTCTCTCTCTCTTGTTGATTCCTCCATTGGTTTATTCACTTTTTGTTCTGCCCATTTGGGGTCCTCCCTCAATTCTCTCTCTCTCTCTCTCTCTCTCTCTCTCTCTCTCTCTCTCTCTCTCTCTCTCTCTCTTGTTGATTCCTCCATTGGTTTATTCACTTCTTTGTCAGGGTGCTGTGGATCTGTTGATTACTGGATCTGTTGATTACTGTTTATTGGCGGCTTTGTCGTTTGCGTGTTAGAACTCCCCGAGGAGGAAGATGCTCTCTCCGCAGTCACTCATCAAAAGCCGTGGAGAGTAAGTAAGAGTTTTCAGTGGTCCCCCGGATAGAAAGCCCGTAAACCGGTTTCGGGCCCGACTCCTCGAAAAGCCCGGGCCCAACCTGTCCTACCTCTATGAGAGCAAGCAAGAGAGAGAGAGAGAGAGAGTTGGGCTTTGAAGCTAATAAGACCAGACCTTCACAGGTTCTTATTTGGGTCTTATTCTTGGAAAAATATATACCCGTAAGTAGATAAGTCATCAGCAGTATGCTTCATTATTTAGATATTTCCTTAATTACCGCCAAGGGCTTGATAAAAATATATATTTTAAATAGTATCTGAATTTTGTCAGGCTTCCTCGCCTGATTTTATTCGTACATAAATACACTAAAAACATTGGAAGTTTTAGCGAGCGCAACGTCGCCACCAAGAATTTTCGGATATTAGGGCAAAGAATAGCGATAGACGAAAATATTAGGGGGGTAATCTGCAAAAGAAAAGAGTCACGTGATCTGACGAGCACACGTGATGATGGTGTAATTATTAGATCCTATACTCTTTTTCCCTTAATTACCCTCCCCCTCCATTCAGAAAGGTACATACGGCCACAGGGGTATTTGAGTCCTTGTCACCGTCTACTGGACTCACATAAATACCGATAAATAAGTTAATTTATTGACAACATCATTAAACCTTAAAACCTTTAACCGATGAACAACGCCATAAAAATTATTATTTATTATTATTATTTATTATTATTAGTGATCGACGACTGTGATGCTCTTCTTCTTCTTCTTCTGCTTCTTCTGCTTCTTCTGCTTCTTCTTTCTTGTTCTCTCTGTGGTGGTCGATCGCATTGATGGGGAGGAGCTGGCAGGCGGCGGAGGCATGCACGTAGGAGGAAGAGAGAGGGGAGGACGAAGGGGGCGGAGGGGGAGACCACGTGAAGGAGGTGGGGAGCGGCGGAGGTTGACGGGGACAGCGATGGCCGCGGCGGAAGAGGAGGGAGAGAAATCTTCCCTCCGCCCATGGCTCTTCTTCTTTCCTTTCTTGGACCAGATCTTCCCTCTCTCCCTCTCTCTCTCTGTTCTTGTTTGGGTCGGTCTTTCTCTCTCTTCTGCGAGGAATCTATATAAAAGGGTGCAGGTGCGCCGCAGGAGGATGAAGACGGAGGTTGAAGCGTGCGTGGCGTAGAGAGAGAGAGAGAGAGAGAGAGAGAGAGAGAGAGAGAGAGAGTGATACAGCTGGGAAGGAGAGAGAAGTGGGAGGCCTGCGCGAGGGAGGGAGGAATCGGGTTGGTGGGTTACTCGTCCTCGTTTTCCTCTGCTGCTGAACAGAAGCTAGAGAGAGAGAGGCAGAGAGGCGCAGACGAAGGAGCGGGAGAGGCGGCGTGTGACTCAGGTATGGATGTTTCCTGCCGGCCTTGGCAGGAGTTCCTCGCTCAAGTTTTGCATTCCTATTGTGACGATCTTACGGCGAGTAGAGCCCCGTCTTCGCCATTAGAGCTGCTGGATCTGCTTGTCCGACGCTGTCCATGGCCTCCTCGACTGGTCTCCATCTTACTATACTCCTCGATAGCATCTCCCCTCCATGCTTCCTCTCCTTTGAAACTCTTTCTGGGCTGAACAGGGTTTTCCAGGAAACCAGAGGATCTAGCTGGTGGTGGGCCTGCTCGATCTGTCTCTCCCCTCCCCCCCCACCATCCTTCCGCCATGGCGGCGACGAAGATTCCGAGCTCTCCCTGTTGTCTCTCTCTCTCTCTATCTTATTGTCTTCCCACCCTTCGCTGAGACGCCATCAGTGGGCATCCTGTGGTCCCGCCGCCGCTGCCATCACCAGCGTCGTCGTTCTCCGGCCTCCGCACGTCTCACTCTCTGCAACATTCTGCAGGCGGCTCCAATGGCGAAGGAGCATTCGGGCTCGCCGAAGCTCCTCCATCTGGAGCTGAAGAAGCGCCGCCTCACCTCCGTCCTCGGGGTGAGCGCCCTCTGCGTCGTCTTCTACATCCTCGGCGCCTGGCACAACGCCTCGTCCTCTTCCAATCCCCCCGCCGCCGCCCTCTCCAAAACCGGCTGCCCCACCGCTACCTCCTCTTCTTCCTCCTCCTCGGCGGCGGCGGCCGAGGTGAGCTTGGACTTCGCGGCGCACCACATGGTGGTGATCAACGAGACGGCCGCCGCCTCCGCCGCCGGGGAGTTCCCCGCCTGCGACATGAGCTTGAGCGAGTACACGCCATGCCAGGACCCGAAGAGGTCGAGGAAGTTCGAGAGGAGGATGTTGATTTACAGGGAGCGGCACTGCCCGGAGGAGGAGGAGCGGCTCCGGTGCCTGATACCGGCGCCGCCGCGGTACAAGAAGCCCTTCCGGTGGCCGGAGAGCAGGGACTACGCCTGGTACGACAACATCCCGCACAGGGAGCTGAGCATCGAGAAGGCGGTGCAGAACTGGATCCAGGTCGACGGCGACCGCTTCCGCTTCCCCGGCGGCGGCACCATGTTCCCCCGCGGCGCCGACGCCTACATCGACGACATCGCCGCCCTCATCCCTCTCGCCAGCGGCTCCATCCGCACCGCCCTTGACACCGGCTGCGGCGTAGTCCCCCCACGATCTCCATCTCCATCCCCGATCTGTCTTCTTCTTCTTCTTCCTGCAACTCTGAACTTTGTTCGCAGGTGGCGAGCTGGGGGGCGTATCTGCTGAAGAGGAACATCCTGGCCATGTCCTTCGCGCCGAGGGACACCCACGAGGCGCAGGTCCAGTTCGCCCTCGAGCGCGGCGTTCCCGCCATGATCGGCATCATGGCCTCCCAGCGCCTCCCCTACCCCACCCGCGCCTTCGACATGGCCCACTGCTCCCGCTGCCTCATCCCCTGGTTCGAATACGGTGCCAATCATCCTCATCTCTCTACTGTAACTTCTCTTTCTCTCTTTCTCTCTCTACTGTAACTTGCTCTCTCTCTCTCTCTCGCTCTCTACTGTAACTTGCTCTGCAGAGGGGCTGTACCTGATGGAGGTGGACAGGGTGCTGCGGCCGGGGGGGTACTGGATCCTCTCCGGCCCGCCGATTCGGTGGAGAAAGTACCACAAGGGCTGGGAGAGGACCCCCGAGGACCTCCACCATGAGCAGGACAAGATCGAGGCCCTCGCCCGCCGCCTCTGCTGGACCAAGGTCGTCGAGAAGGACGACCTCGCCGTCTGGCAGAAGCCCCTCACCCACCTCCTCTGCAACTCCTCCAATTCCCCCCCCTTCTGCTCCTCTGACGCCGATGCCGACGCCGCCTGGTAGGAGCCACCCACCCATCCTCTTCTTCCTCCTCCTCCGGCGCCGGCGACGGCGACCCACCGTGGTTTCTGGGTTTTTGGGTTGTTTACAGGTACAGGAAGATGGAGAAGTGCATCACGCCGCTGCCGGAGGAGGGCCGCGGGGAACTGGAGAGGTGGCCGGAGAGGAGCAAGGCGGTGCCGCCGCGGGTGGTGCGCGGCGCCGTGGCGGGGGTTACGGCGGAGGGGTTCCTGGAGGACGGCCGGCGGTGGGCGGAGCGGGTGGCGTACTACCAGCGGCTGGCACCGGCGCTGGCGGAAGGGCGCTACCGGAACGTGATGGACATGAACGCCGGGCTGGGAGGCTTCGCGGCTGCGCTGGCGGCGCTGCCGGTGTGGGTTATGAACGTCGTCCCGGCGGGCGGCGCGGAGGTGGCCGACACCCTGGGGGCCGTGTTCGAGAGGGGCTTCATCGGGACATACCAGGACTGGTGCGAGGCCTTCTCCACTTACCCCAGGACCTACGACCTCCTCCACGCCCACCGCCTCTTCTCCCTCTATCTCCACAGGTCAGAGAACAGCACAGAAACAGAAACAAGAGAGAGAAACAGGAGAGAGAAAGTAGACCAGACCCTTTTCATGTCTTTGCTCTCTTTCGTCCGTTGTGCAGGTGCGAGATGAGTGAGATACTGCTGGAGATGGATCGGATGCTGAGGCCGGAGGGGGCGGTGGTGGTGAGGGACGAGGTGGCGGTGCTGGTGAAGGTGCAGGGGATGGCCGAGAAAATGAGGTGGAGGACCCAGATCTTCGACCACGAGACCGGCCCCTTCAACCCCGAGAAGATCCTCGTCGCCGTCAAGACCTACTGGACCGGCGGCGCAGCCCGCGACCCCCTCAAACAGTAGCGACTCCCGGCGGCGCCGCCTACTCTCTCTCTCTCTCTCTCACCCTTTCGGAGGCGTCCATTGGCAGGGTAGAGGAGGAAGAAGGAAGTTCTCTTGTACAGAGACTGCTTGGGGTCCTACTCGGAGATGGGCGCCTGGTTTTTTCTCGAAGGCCGGTGATTGCTCCGGCATGGTGGTGGAGAGAGAAAGGGTCTCATTCTCCTCTCTCTCTCTCTCTTCTTTCTCTCTCTTGTGGGATGAGGTACGTGCGATTCGGTTCTTCGGGTACCTGTTAATTAACTGACCGGGGGTCAGCGATATTATCTTGACCGAATGGGGGTTGGTGGAAGTTTTGTTCGTGACGGGAAAAACACGTAATTCTCTCTCTAAGAAAGTCAACGGCTCCACCTAGACAAGAATCAACGCGCTCCACCCTGCCGTCCCTTGCAGTTTAGGGTTCAGCATCTTCTGACGTGGCGTCGTGTGCCAGCAGCCAAGACCACGTGCGGGTAATCGGTGTGTGGTCCACGAGCAACCCAACCCTAATCATCCACCGCAACCCCCCTAACGTTTGACTGATAGAGAGTCTCCCGAAGTACACACTTCCTCATGTTCCGCCGCCTCTCTCTCTCTCTCTCTCTCTCTCTTCTCTCTACCCCAACCTACCGCTGACCCTAGTTAGAGACCATGACGATCCTCTGCCCAACCCTTTTGTCAAGGAGCCATCTGACAGAGAGGGAGGGGAGGGGGAGAGAGAGAGAGAGTAGAGAGAGAAATGAGCGGCGGAGTTCGAGACTAAAACGGGTCAGAGCCCATTTCTCTCTCTCTCTCTCTCATCAGGGCCCAGATTAGATTAAACCCAAGAAATCACCATAATTTTAAGATATGGCGGCAGAGCTCATCGTGATCAAAACACTCGAATCGATTTACTCTGAGATCGCAACATCCAGTACATGGACGAACCGCCGCAAAAGCGGAGAGCACATACAGGCGCAGCCGACTAAGCGGCGGCGGCGGCGGCGGCCGGCGGCAAAATGAGGGGAGGGGCAACCTGGGGCGGGGGAGGCGGCGGAAGAGAATTCGCAGCTAGTGTGACTCGCCGGGGCTATACAGAGGTCTCGGCAGGGGGCGGCGGCTGCGGCGGCGAAGCCAGCGGAGAGAGGGGCCGGTGGAGGGGGTGGAGGTTCCGTCTATACACGGCCGCGGGAGCGGCGGCCGATCAGGCGGCACTGGTCCGGGAGCAGAGAGCAGATCACCTCGCCGTTGACCCGCACGAGCTCGCCGTCTATGCCGCACCCGTTGTGGCAGCCCTTCACCGGCTTCACCCTCACGGACTTCACCTGAAACGGGCAGAAGAAGAAGACGACCTTGAAGAAGGAAGGAAGGAAGGAAGAAGGAAGGAAGAAGAAGCAGTGTATAATAAATACCTTGAGGTACTCGACGTAGGGGAGGGAGAGGTGAGTGCCGCACTGGAGGCGGAGGAAGAACCTGAGGAGCCTGAGGCGGCCGCTGCCGTGGACGAGGAGGAGGTCCAGGCTGTTGTCGTCGTGCTCCGCGTGGGGGGCCACTACCTGCGAGCTCAGACTCTGCACCGTCCTGCACGAGTGGTTGCACACCAGAACCCCCAGGAACCTCCCCTTCCGCACCACCCACCTCTCCTCCTCATCCTCCACCTTCTTCGGCGGCGCCGCCACCGAGTCGCCGTCGTCCTCCGCCATCTGCTGCGGGGGAGGGGGGGGCCTCGAGGGGAGTTCGATGGGTTGGTGCTCCTGCTCCCACTCGGCTTCTCTGTCCCACTTGGGCTCCGAGTCCCACAGCGGCCCCGGGTCCGACAGGGTCGACGAGATCTCCTCCCTGTCGTTCGCCGCCGCCCAGGAGGACCTCCCGTCGTTGCTCGACGGCGGCGCCGCCGCCGCCATGGTGGCGGCGCCGCCGCGGGACTTGGACCTGGTGCGGGGCCAGTTGGGGGTGGCCGAGAGGGACACCACCTGCGGGCGGAGGACCTCCACCGGCTCCGGCTCCGGGGTGACGTTGCTCCTCCCCAGCGACAGCCGCTTGATCTTCGGGTCGAGCCCTCGAACGTAGTCGGAGGGCTCGCGGCCGGCCATCTCCAGGTCGCCGGTGACCCTCCCCGGGGTGACGATGGAGTCGATGCTCGAGAGGCTGGAAGCCCTCTGGAGCACGCCGCCGCCACCTTCTCTGTACGACCCCCGCATCACGTCCGTGAACAGGTTCGCCGCCGTGACCTCCTCCTCCTCGTCCTCCGCCGCCCAGCCCCTCTCCTGGTTCGGCGCTACCGCCGCCGTGGGGAGGCACTCCAGTTCGTAGGTGTACTTGGGGAGGCAGAGGAACTTGTGGACGCCTGCGACGAAGTAGCGGAGAGGGCCGAACCGCTTCTGGTACTTCTCCGACAGCTCCAATACTGCAAATCCAAGATTCCGATCTCATCAACGATGCCTCCCCTCTTTGCACCAGTTCTTTCCGGATCCAGAAACACGATGAACTGGAGTACCTCCCCACGGCGGAGGAGCAGACCCAGAATTCCTCAGACCAACAGGAAGAGCAGCAACTCACCATCGCTGAGGAAACCGAAGTAGGAAACCGTCGATCCGAAGTGGATGACTCCCGTCTGAATCCATTCCACCGCGAACACATCCGTGGGTGTAAGCCCTCCCTGCACTCACAGAGAGAGAGAGAGAGAGAGCGCGCAGTCAAACTCCTCCCAAATGGCAGATTACAGGATCTTGGACATAATATGGCAGAGGATCTAGCGAGGACGGCTCACCTTGACGATGGTTATTGCAGCAGAGACGGGATCTTTAACCCCAAGAACAGTCCAGACAAGCGAATTGTCAGATCCAGCGGGAATGATGCCGATGGGAATCGAGATGGCTTCCTTCTGGTTGCTCCTCCCCAGTAGACCGTTGAGGACCTACACCAAAATCATCCGAACAGTGTAATATGGAATAAAATGGAATAAAGTCAAATAAACCGGAAAAAATAAGTTGACCCACTAATTTTTTATTAAAAAATAGAAGAAAAAGAAGAAAAAAACCGAGAAGTGGCACTGAATCATGGTAAGAATCTCATTTAGTCCAGTAGAAGTGACAAACCTCATTCACAATTCCATCACCTCCCACACAAATTATTCCTGCACAGAGAGAGGCAGAAGAGAAGCGTGAGGCCAGATGGAGTTGAAAGATCAATTTTTTTTCCCTTTCGCTCCTCACACAGCCATGTAGCGAGATGTCATACCATCAGGGCATGTGCTGAAGTCAACGGTAGAAGCAAGACTTTTGGCATGCCCAGCCGAAGTCGTGTTAACTATCTCCATCTTGAATCCTGCAAGCTGCCATCATTTTACACATTAAAATACACACACAAATAAAACACAAATCTAAAGGGCAAATAATCCCATTTTTAATCCTCACTCAGTGAGAAACTTATGCCATCAGTTAGATTTATCCAAGGAAAACAGTAGCTCAAAGGAGTAAAAACTTAGTCAACGGTGAGGCGCAGCATACCTTAAATATAGGTTCAACCTTCCCATGAAAGACTTTACTTGATCGGCCGTGCCCGGAGCGCGGATTCAGTATAACCAGAACCCTCTGGGTACTCTTCGATTTGATATGGTACTCAAAAAAGGGATCATTAGAGAACTCATCCGGCCCGTGCTTGTTGGAGGTCTCCATGGGGTGAGGTAAGAGCTTCACGTAGCACTGCTGGTCCGCGAAACCAGTGACCCATTTTCTGGCATCCTCCAGAGTAGTCGCCAAGAAGCGGAAGTCCTTTTGTCTCCTCTGTGGCTTCAGGAAGCAAGACAGACCCCAGGACCTTTTTATCTGAGGATAGGCGTGCACAGTGAAGTGCCTGAGACCAGAACAGTAGGAGACCTGTACAGAGCAACGGAGGAGATGATGAGAAGAGATTCATGGCCCGAATCACGGGTCAACCCAAAGAAGCTCACGCGTGAACTTACGGATATAACATCCTGAAGACGAAGGACGTGAGATCCCCAAGACAACGCCTTGGTGGTAAGTCTGGCGTCGACACTGTCCTGGGTGGGTTCTCCGTCCTCGACATCAGGGTTCTTGGGTCTCTTGTCAAGGGCCAGCTTTCCTGAGAAGACCTCGCCGCCCAGCAAGTCACATTGCTCGTCGCCGATGTCGACCCTGTGCTCGTGGGCCTTCACTTTAGCTGGATCGCCATTGGAAACGTCGGCTTCGCCCTGCCTTGAGGACCTTACTTTTCCTGGACTCTCCGAAAATGCAGCGGGAGAGGAATGCTGCACTGATGCCTTCTGAGAATGATGTCTGCTGCCCATCAGGCGAAGAGGTTGCTGCGGAAACAATCTCAGCGAATTCATCTTTTGTGACAGATGCCCAGATTTATGTATCTCTGACAAACAGTCAAAACTTTGTCAAATAAGGTCTCACGAGATGGATAACAAGTACTCACGATAGTCTTCATGAAGATTTCAGCATGGTCGCAAGCCTGACCTCTGAGGATAAAAAAGAACAAAAAACCGATAAAAATGCGCATCCATGTTACCAGAAAAATGCAGCTCAAATGCATGGTGGCAACTCCCCAGCCCTCGCCTAGTCCTATATCATGCACCCACTGTCAAAACATGGTCTATATGTTCACGGGTCAGCCGAGTTGCAGGTTTCTGAAACTTTAGACGAAGGCTAATCTTCGCTGGAGGTGTGGTGTTGGCTGCCACAGGTCCCCCCTCCCCCCCTTAGTCAGTTCCAGGAACCATGTTCTAGAGAATGGATTCAGCACTCCTCATCATGCGGGGCATCCCAATGGCCATCTGATGATTCTCTCAGGCGGCTTCGAAGGTTTCCGGTACTGAATCGGAAATCTGCCAACCAAGGGGGTGGGAGTAAGGCTCGAGGAGGGAAAGGGTGATGGAAGAAATGATCCAGAAGCAGGGCGGTGCAGAATCAGACCGGATGGGAAGGAGGTTAGGGAAATCCTCCCGACGACAGCTATCGATTCCGGTTTTTTCATGGCGGAAACGCCCACGCCCAACCCCCTCCCTCATTCAACACAAAGAAAGGGGGCCAAATTGAATCAAATTTTTTTAAAAAAATCTAGTGCTCAGAGAAATTCTAGTCGCTCGGGATCTCCATCATCGAATCGACATTTTCCCCCGATTATGAACCATGAAACCTATCGAGACCAGTCCAACCCCATCCACCCCTCGGAATCTCCCCATGCCGCCCCCGAACACACACCATGTAACTCGTCCACACCAATTCCACAGCACCGCCGCCAGAGCCGGGATCCGAATTCCCGAGACAAGAAACGTCACCACCGCCAGAGACGCGCTCAAGTCCATGAGACACAAAAGAAGAGAGGAGCAAGAACGAGACGGAGACGGGAGACGAAGCCTCGAGGGCGATCGGCCTACCTGACGATAAAGCCTTCCCGGATCCCCAGATCACCGCCGGGAACCGATGAGCGAGCAGATCGCCGCAGCCAGAGCCCGAGGAGGCCGCCAGAGGGGCAACAGCTGACGGGGAACCAACTCCAATAGCGACCGGAAGGAGGGGGAGGGAGGGGATGGCGACCTGCGGGGGAAGGGAGAAGCTCTCCGACGCCAGCATCCACAGAAATTTATAGCACAGAGATTTATTTATACCGGCGACAGATCAAATCCCACCTCCCCCTTCCCCCATCTCCCCCTCGGGTTAACCCCAAAAGGTCAAGAAGATTAACCAGTCGACAGACGGGAACAAGATGGCGGCCACAGGGCCGCCCAGGGAGGAAGAAAAGCTGAAATGACGATGACACATATCATAATTACCCCCCCAAAAATCTATATATATTTTTAAATATACTTTTTTCCACTCTCCCTATATATATATATATATATCTCTCTCTCTCTCTCGATATTTTCTACTATTTTATTTTTATTTTTATTTCCGGGGTTTGGTTAACACGTGGAGAAAAGGATGTGTAGGCGCCGCCTTTTGTCGTCCGTGCGCCGCCATCGCAGGGGGTGCTGATACGACGGAAAGCTTGTGGGGCGTCGTCGCGATGGTACGTTGTCTTGTGCGCGGACGTCGGTTAAGCTAAACTGCGCTCGCCGTACAATATCATCTTCCCGCCAGCCAAGGAGCCGAGATAATAATATAAAATGATGCTGGGCTAATTATAGTAACGTTTAAAATTAATTTGACAGCTCTCGGAGGACCGATTCCGCTCCCCAAATGGTATTTTCTATATTTTAAAAATAATTAAACCCAGAAAATCTCTCTCTCTCTCGCTCTCTGTCGCTCTCTCTCGCTCATACGTACGGCTACGTACGAGGGGGGGCTACCGGACCTGACGTGATCCCCTGATTCAGAGTTACGAGGCGACATCGCTTCCGTCCAGCTGTCAAGATGGTCCCTTCAACCCTGCCGCGACGAAAGTCTGCCTCTGTTTGGGGAGGCCGATGGGAGGGATTTCCGAAATCGATTCCCCTCTGCCGGCGCGGCTGGGTCGGGGCGCCGCTGGCCCCACGTCATTATCACCTGCAGGGCCTGGCAGAGCAATTAAGTAGGAGAGCGCCAAGCATAATGGATTTCCGAGAGACGGAAGGAAAATCATCGGAGCGCCTGGAGGAGATCCTTGATTTTATTTTTGCCCCGGATTTTTTGACCCCAGGTACGAGGTCAACGCGAAGGAAGAAAAAAGCCCAGAAGAGGAGTCAGCTGAACCGGTCAACCAATGCAGGGTCTACTGAAAGATGTCGCCGGATGGTCTTGGGGAAGAAGAAAAAAGAGTGACTGTATCATCATCCACGGACGGATAAATTAATGAACAACCAGACGCCGTATGCTAAATTTAGAAACAAAAGATGACAGCATTTCCGCGGATTTTTTTACCCCAGGGACGAGGTCAACCCGGAGGGAGAAAAGAGGCCATGAACAGGGGTCAGCTGAACCGGTCAACCAATGCAGGGTCAACTGACAGACGTCGCCGGACGGTCTTGGGAAAGAAGAAAAAGAATGGTTGCGTGATCCAATCAGACGCTGTATGCTTAATCTAGAAACAAAAAAGATGGCAGCACAAGAGCATTCGATAATCTGACATGATTTTCAGGAGCCAACCTGGGAGTAGAAATGAAGTCAATCATTGATGATTCACAAAGATTATCCGTGGAATCAGGGAAGATATAAAATGGAGAAGGAAAACCTAGTTTTCAGACATCTATCTCTTCGTTGACATTTCTCCAGGCTCACAAAGCATTTATAGTAATAACCAAGTCAAAACAAAGCAGAAGACAGGATTAGACGACGCATTATGGAAGAGGCTCCCGCCATTGATGCAAACTCTCGGGATCGGTCTTATTAGGCTCAAGAACCACTCATACATCCCCAGTTTCAGTACACTAGATCTTCTGTCTTTTGTTGCAAACTGTCACCATTCCTGTTAATTTTCTGCCCTTTGGACTGTTGACTTTAGCTCCAGGTCATGTTTGCGGGGGAAATTTTCCTTTCGTAGTACTATCCAGAGAAAATTCCCTTTTGTAGAAATTGTATCAACCGGAAACAGTGGGTTATATAATACCTTGAGCCCTGGTTTAATTTGCCAACCAGGCAACCTAACTCTTCTCACCCAAGGAACATATCAAAAAATTACAGAATTGTGGGGAAAGAGCATGGTCCAAAATTGTAATACCAAGAACATCTTGAACACCAAGGAACCAAACAGAGTTTCATAAAATCCGAGAGGCCATGAGAAATCCATTGCTTTACGATTTCTACTCGTTGACTTGCATTGAGTATTTTCTCATCAGTTAAGTTTGTGCATTAGTCGTCTGGGTGGACTGACATGATTTTTCCTTTATCATATCTCGTTTCAATGATATCTTCACATTTACGTTGGACATTTCAATTACTTCTATGAGTTCGGATGATGCAGAACATGGCATGTATGGTAGTAATTCATGGGCTATCTATATATAGTCTTTCTTAATATGTTTTCATTTTTTTTATCCACCCTTGTTCTTGGAAAAACCTGATTCCACAAATCAAGCCATCATTACGTTACTAATCTGCCTTTTACCTTGTCTTCACATGCACCTCGAGCAATACACAAAACATGTCTCACAGTTGTATACCACATTAGGCAAGAAACACGTTCGGATAGCATATTCACGCATTACAGAGTAAAATATGTATACTACACAGCATCGCAGAAAAGATACAATTTAAGAAATTCGTGGATTTGGTATCAGATTACCATTGTTAATCCAGCACACGTGAAACTGCAGGGATCACCCCCCACTACGACGTACCATACACAGATCTTGCTGGAGCCTTTCCCCTAGTTTCTCCTTCTCTTCTTCTCCATCTCCGTTTTGGATTGTTCAACAACGACGACAACCGCAAGACATAGCCAAGGAGGCTCCATCAGCAGCGACTTGCCGGATCAGCAGGAAGGGAACTACCTTCCCTCCTCCGGCTGACGGGAAGAGCGAGGCAGAGGAGTGATCCAGCATCGTCCTCCCCTCTGCAGCAACAGAAACAGCCACAGAGGGAGATTCAAATTCAGCGAACTGCCAACGGCGGCTACTCCACCCAATCTTTGCCACTCCCTCATTCCCTCCTTCAATAGAGGCGAGACGGCGCCAAGCGCGCAGGAAGATCCGTCCCTCACCTTCCCCTCCTCTTCTCCGAATGCAGCCAACTATTCAGAGCCGACGAAGAAATCCTCAGCTCCAGATCCCACTCCTGCTCCGGCCAACAAGCAAGTTCAGCAACGACGTAGAGTTCTCCTCCCTCTTCCTCCCCGCGCGAAGAGGACGGGGCCGATCGGATCTGGTTTCCTGTTCGTGCCTCCCGCGAAGCAACGTGGAGAAGGAGAGAAGACTGTTACCACCTCTGATATATATTGTTTTTACATATAAATATATATTATATTATATTATATTATAAATCGTAGAGCTACCTTAATTAATCGTTTCTAGAAAATGTAAATAAATATTTTTTTAATGAGGGAAATCTTGTATGCACGTGGCGCTTGGCGATGGGAGAAGGACCGCGCGGTCGTTAGGATCGGTTTTTTTAGTTGATCCCCGCTTTCTATTTTCAGACAAGGCGGGTGAACTGTGGGCCCCACATCGCCGAAAGGAGAAACGCTCCGCTTGATCTTCCTCCTGCTTCCTGCGCCTTCGAATTTCAAACGTCCGTCGCCGCCGCGTACCGATCGCCTCGTCTCGTCCGGCGGTGAGATGCCACTGGATGTCACCGGAGATGATGACGACGAAGCCCATGCTCCCAAGCATCATTGCCGCCGCCGCCTCGCCCAGGCGATCCTCCCACCACCACCGGCGCCGGCGAGGACCGAGGACCGCCGTCGCGGCGGCTACTACCCTCGCTCTTGTCGTAGCCACCTCCGCGTGGTCTTCCCTCGTGTTTTCCTCTTCCAACGCTCTTCCTCTCCTCCTCTGGCGCCGCCACCATGGGAGTTCCCCGTGGTCCTTCCCCAAACACCCTGACGTGGTCCTTCCTCCTGCTGCCGATGATGATGCCAGCGGGTCCAGCGCCATCTCCGCCTCGTCGGGGTCGCAGACCGGAAGGTCCCCCGCGAAGAGGGATGCTCCCCTGTCGCTTAACCACATCGTCTTCGGCATCGCCGGCTCCGCCAACATCTGGCACCGCCGCCGCGAGTTTCTCCGCCTGTGGTGGCGCGCTGGCGCCATGCGCGGCAACGTCTGGTTGGAGGACAACCTCAAGCAGCAGCGGCATCAACCACTGGGAACCTTAAACTCCACCAATCTCTCGATCGGAGGTTCCTCCTCCTCGCTTCCTCCGATCCGCGTCTCCGAGGACATCTCCCGCTTCCGCTACACCAACCCTACGGGCCACCCCTCGGGGCTCCGCATCGCCAGGATTGTAGCGGAGACCTTCCGCCTCGGCCTCTACAGCGACGCCCGGTGGTTCTTCCTATGCGACGACGACACCATTGTCAGCCCGGACAATCTGGTGGCGGTGCTGTCCAAGTATGACTGGCGGGAGATGGTCTACGTCGGAGGACCTTCAGAGAGCCACTCGGCCAACACGTACTTCAGTCATGGCATGGCCTTCGGTGGTGGCGGCATTGCTCTTAGCTTTCCTCTCGCCGAGGCCCTCACGGACATGCTGGATGAGTGCCTCGATCGGTACCCCAAGTTGTACGGGAGCGACGATCGCCTCCATGCATGCATATCAGAGCTGGGAGTTCCACTCTCCCGTGAGCGTGGCTTCCACCAGGTGGATTTCTATCGATTCTCTCTTCAATCCGTGCTTGCATTTTTCTTCTTCATACTTCCACCCGCAGAATTTGAGGAGCATGCAGATATTAAAGAACGTATTGATCTCTTGTTCTTTATGTCGTTGTCCCATTTCCTGTATCCCATATATCAACTGCTGTATTTAATTGTTCAGACTTCTCCGTTCAATCTCCCATGCGTGGCACCACTGCTAGTATTTTGTTTCATCCCTGAAATTTGAATGAATGAATGGATGTCCGCCTCTACTCCAGTTAAACTTTTCTCAGTCAAGCTCTTAATTCTTACTTTTCTGTCAGTGGGATGTTAGAGGAAACGCTCACGGTCTTTTGGCTGCTCATCCGATCTCTCCTTTCATATCGATACATCATGTGGAAGCTGTGGATTCTTTTTACCCTGGATTGAGCCACCTAGAAAGCCTTGAACTATTTTCTAAGGCAATGAAGATCAATCCTTCAAGCTTTCTGCAGCGCTCCATATGCTACGAGAGAAGAAAGAAGCTGACCTTCTCAGTCTCACTGGGTTACGTTGTTCAAGTTTTTCCTTATGTTGTTCTTCCCCGAGATCTTGAGCGCTCTGAGCTGACTTACATTGCGTGGAACAATCTGGGAAACAGAAATGAGTTTGATTTTGATACAAGAGATTCATATCAACCATTATGTAAAAAGCCAATTCTCTTCTTCCTGGATGATGTATGGAAAAATGGAAGTGTCACTGGTGGTTCTTACCTGAGAGCCAGAGGGAAAGATGACTTTAAGAGAAAAGTTCTGTGCTTTCCCAGATCTTATCCGCTGCCTTATGTGAAGAAAATTCATGTTCTGGGGAATTTATTAAGTGATAAATGGCACTTGGTTTGTTCCTTTCTCCCATCACTTTTATGTTTGTCCCTCGTAGCTTCTTTCACATTGCAATAAAATATTTCTTTTAAAAGCATCTACTTTTTTTAACAGGTTCCACGACGATTGTGCTCCAAAATTAGTCATGCAAGTGATGACCTTCTCACCTTAATGGTTGGACAATGTGAGAAGGGGAGTCTTGGGTCTGCTGCTGATTCTCTGTAGTTTCAGACAACATGTTGCGTCTAGTGTCGATTCTCACTTGTAAAGGAGAACCCATTTTTGTGTCGTCGTTGCTCCTTCTTACTTCCATTATACTGTGGTGAGCTTGAAATCAATTCATCAAACGAATCAATGCAATTTTCATTAAGCCTTTTTTGAGGGCCTTAAACTGGGTTCGGAGTCTGAGATATTTCATCAATAAAAATTGAGATGGAAGCGCAGAAAAATTGATGTATCAACATGATGTAGTCATAGATTATTTTCCTTCGGATATTACAAAAAATATCATACGTTTATGATCTTGAGGTTCTTGACTGATGAGTGTATCCTGAAATTCCTCTTCTTATCTTGAATTCACATCGTCACCTGGGGACTAACTATGCTACGTATACCTTCTTTATTATGTTAATTGTACATTAAAGATTTACTTTTCGTTGGTGTAGTTTTGGTGCCACGAGCTGATGTTGATATTTCAAGTATTGACATTTTTTTAAAGATTCCTCCTGATTTTTTCTATGAAGTTGCGATTTTCTTTTTCATCCTAAAATTTATGTAGATAGTACATGGTACACTCTTTCCCTCATATTATGTTAAGGTTTTATGGTGTAAAGTTATGCATAAAGGCTCCATCGCTAAACTAACTTTAGATCGGAAAGTTATTAGAAACTAGCGGACAGTGCTTCCTCTGGGAATGAAATACAAGTTATATATAGCCAGTTGAGGTATTGAGTTCGAAGTTTGATTGGCCACCATGCCCTGTTGGACACTTGAAGACCTGTTTCACCGATCCCCCCGGAGTACAGTCTCCAGTCATAGATTATTTTCCTTCGGTTAAAATGGCATCGTATGGTAGCTATTTTTGTGCAGACTGTTGAAATATTTGATGACCAGATGAAGTCGAGATCATGATAGTTTTCTTCTGAATACAGACAAGCAATGTTTGTCTTCATCAGGTTGAAGCTTGAAACTTCATTCTGTAACCAGCCTCCAAATGTTCCTAGAAATGCTGCATTTAAATATTCCATTTTACACGAGATACAAAGGTTTATCAACTGGAAAACTGTAGAACATTATGTTCTGTATAGTTGTTTCTCGTACCTTTATTTATATTTGCCTCATCAGTTTGTGGATGCCCGGGTCAAATAATTTTCAGCCCCTCCGAGTATTCAGAGATGCCAAAGATGCAAGTGTAGCAATGCCGCACGGTGGTTGCTTGCTAGCTCACAATTACAGGTTCAACCTCTAAACCATTACTTTACCTATAGCGGTCAACATAGTGATGGCTGGAATCATCCTTCCTGACCAGTCTTCTATGATCTGCATTATATTTTCTGTATGTTGAATTCCTTAATAAATTTTTGCTGGATGGTGTGGCTTCCTAAATGCTGTTTGAACATTTGAAACCAAATTTAACCATTTCAAAGCGAAGGCTATCCTTGCATGTGCTTTGGAAACAGAAATGTATCAGGGAATATTTCAAGACCATATGATACACATTTTAAGTGCCTGCTCATACTTGAATACATGTTAAGAATAGTAGAATTGCTTTTGTTTCAAGAGTCTTGATCGATCCGTAACCCAAAGAAATGTGATTAGGCTTCTTCTCACAGCCTTTAAAATGAATAATAGTCTACTCAACAAGAGACAGAAGCTTCACATGGTGGTCTCGAAAAGGATGTCAGATCTATGTGGTCTTACCTGGAATCAGGCAGAAGTGGGAACTACTGGCTAGTTTTTATGGCAAAAGTTAGAGATCATACCGTGACCTGAGAGGTTGAAAGGTTCTTCTGTTTCCGTTTTCAATCTACTATCACCTGAAATGCATTATTGAATGGATTTGGATTCTTAAGGTGGGCTGGTGTCTTCAGACGACCCGATGTAGGCGGCCACTGCTGCTTGACAAAGGAAACACATTGTCTTCGTCTGGGGTCTTTCAAGGGGCATAAGAGGTCCCTTGGAAGCTCTTCAACGGGGATTTTTTCAAACTTCCAACTCCTGCGTCTGTCTCCTACCTGGGCTCTTTCACTTCAACTGCTATGACTTATTTGTTGGGCTTCAGTCCTCCCGCTTCAACTCTGGTGTCTTTCTAGTCGTGTTTCCTATCATGGTTATATCGTCAGCCTCTACAGCTATGATTTCCCTCTTACTCTTCTACTTCGACTCTACCTCCGAACTATACTACTGTGGATTAAAATCCATTATTCCTTCTAAAACCTTCTGTGGGGCTACCTGTCCAAATCCATCTTTGGCTTCAATGCTGGTATTTATTTCGTATTGCACGTGTCATCACTTAGTTGTGATTATATGCGCCTTGTGTGACAGGCTAGAGTATTAATGAGTCCAGTACAATGTAGATCCAACAGGCCCACATTCTCTCGTTCTAGGATATGGTCTTATAGCGTAGCGTTCCTTTTATTTTATTTTTTTCGCTAAATAAGTGCACTATAGGTGTTGAGAGGGGGAAGGGGTGGGGCAAGATTTTTGATCTTAAACCATAACTAATGGATGTCAGTTGATTAACTACTTCATATACTCACTCTCCTGAGTATGTATGGCTTAGAATGCTCATAACATGTTATTGAGCAAGATACCAAGACTTGTATAGCTAGAATATAATTCACATGATGTAAATCTGTGATGATACAGTGAGAATCTAGCAACTGTGGTAGAATGTGAAAGCTCTTAAGAAAATTCTCCGACAGTCACTCGGGACTTCCGTTGACTATGGAGCTACTCCTGATGTGAGCTTGTTGAAAAAGAGAATTTTGGGTGAACTGAAGAACAAAAATGCTCCATTGGGCGACAAACATATTATATATGAAGTATGATCTGTGCTGTGGATACTGATATGGGCATGCTGCTGTTCTTACAGCAGACGGTAGAAATAGAATAATCCTGGGCATATCATATCAGACTCAACATGGCATAAACATAATGGAGGGATCGGAGAAGCTTCTTGGACCTTGGAATCAGAATCATGACAAAACCCCTTTAGACTCTTAATTTATTTATTTTTAGAAAAAAAGTCCTTTGAGTCATGAACTGTCAGAAAAGCCTATGACAGTTTCCATTTATAGAATTCTTTTCCACCATGAAAATAAATAAATGGTTCTTAAATTTCATGAAATTTAAAAGATAGTTATTTGTAGATCTTTATAGATCTGGTTGAAAGAGTTTCCAAATTTTTCTTAATAGCATCAGTATGTTTCAATTTATTCATAGTAACTAACGAATCGAAGATAATGTTGAAATATTTGATGATGCTTAGCAAATATCTGTATTTTTCCTTTCCCAGTTCACATATCTGAGAATTTCTGATGAATTGACCATGCTGTGCATTCTTGGAGACGGTGAATTTCATTACCATTAGCGGAAAATTTCGACCCTGTGTAGGTTATATTCATACCCAAGATAGTAAGGAACAAGAAGAAAAAAATAGTTTTTTTTTTTTTTTTCTACTCCTCAATCCAGGAAAACATTGACTGGTTGGGTCCCACAAAGGATGACAGTCAACAGACTGATTAGATCCCACCCACCCTCAGCTTTCACCAAAATCACCCAGTCTTCCGCTTCTTCTCTCTCCTTCTCATCTCTCAGAGTGTACAGAAGTAGCATGGCCGCCGAGGAGTAAGCCCTGCCCAGGTGGTCTGCTGAGGTGGCCGTTCCACTTATAAGCCTGCACCGGTTATTTACTCATCGAATCAAGGATGCATTAATATTTCCAATTATGTGGATGCGTAAATACGAGAAACCATAACTTCTGGCTCTCATCATTCCATTCATTTCAATGCTGACGTAGTCAGATGTGACCATGATGGGCCGCTTGGTCATCCCGTTGACCCTCCTCCCCGTTCGCCCACTTGGCATCAGCAGGTCCAGGCCCAGCCACTCGGGAGGTATCTTCACCACAAAGCTTATTGTTCTCCATCCATATCTGCTTGCAGCCCTACTACAACCAGCATCAAGGGCAATTACGTCCTGCCCCAACCCCTCGGGTATGTTCATGCGAAGCTTATCACTGAGATTTCTTTATTGCTCAGCCTATCCATGGCCGCCATCGCCCCCACAAGGGAGAAGGAACACTGTAGAAGGAAAACAACCAGCATCAAGGGCAATTACACCATGCTTTTATGTTAGGAGATAGAGAGAGAGAGAGAGAGGGAGAGAGAGAAGGGGGGGCGCAGACAGTTACAACCACTTTGAATGGAGGTATTAATTAGCGGGGTGATGGTGAGAAATGGGGATGAATGGGTCAGAATCTATGGCGGTGAAAGAGAGGCGGGGAGTGACTGTCTAGAGGACCCAGATGTGTTAATATCTTGATGAGGAGAGGTGGTGGTGGGCAGGGTGATTGAGATTGAGGGAGAGGGGGCTTCCCTTTACTTGTGGCGAGGGGTTGGCCAACGGTTTTTGTTGGCTATAACTCCCTTTATGGCCGAGCATGAAGGGCATGCGGAACTCCCTTCCCCTTGTTGATAATTATTGGGCGGAAGGGAGAGAGAGAGAGAGAGAGAGAGAGAGAGGAGGGCATGTTCTCTAGGGAGAGTGGAGAGTGGGGGATGGGGGGGGTGACCACCATGTCTCTTCCGGATTTCCTTTATAGAAAAGGATGAGGGTAATCATAGAAGATGGTGGCACTAGGGTTTGGGTTGGCAGAGGGGAAAGATTTTCCTCATTTTTTGGTCTCAAAATCATATTTTTATTGATAAATAACTCGACCCAGATCTTTATCTTTACTGGGTCCGACCTTATAGTCTTGTCTTCCCACATGATGGTGATGTAGTTACTAGTAAAAACTCTCTCTCTCTCTCTCTCTCTCTCTCTCTCTCTCTCTCTCTCTTCCTTTCTCTCTCTTGGATTGGTGAATACTGGGTGGGGGGCCGGGTCTATCCGGTCCGGACCCACTATTCATAGTGGTCTAGTTCTCAGTATGCTTTCAGACTATTCTTTGGGGTTGGGATCTACTTCCGGTCATCCACCGGCAGATGGTCGACTCAGCCCGGCCCTCTCTCTCTCTCTCTCTCTCTCTCTTGTGAAGTGCGTATAGTGGGGCGGGCTGGAGATGGGTCTGGCGGGCCGGGCCCGGCCCCGGCAAGTTTGGGCTTTTGGGCTGTTAGATGGTGGGATGTTAGATGGTTCGGGCTGGCAAGCGGGCCCCACGGGAGGGTGGGAGTCGACGTCCTGTGCAAAGTTCCACGTGAGGCGGGTGGATTATTGGGTGTCATTAGCTAATTCTGCTTCGCGAGTGACAGCACTCGCTACCGCCCACGTCCCTCCCGCCGTTCTGAAATGTACCAAAACACCCCCGAAAGAAGGCCCCCTTTGACGGATCTTCAGGGGTGTTTTAGGTATTCCACCCCATCCGGTAATTACCTGCTGGCCTCCTTATATCCCCTTGGTTGCTTCATTAATGGTGCAACTCCGAAGATTCTAACACAGGGTGTCATGCACATGCCGCACATGCCCCCCCCCCCTTCTCTCTCTCTCTAGAGGAAAGCAACAGCGTAATCACGTTTTACGCGACAAGTTCTCTTCCCTCTCTACCCTCGTTCCACGGGGGGGGAGGGGGGGGGGGGTGTGTTTGGCCAGGAACAGCTGTCGCAGAGTGTTTCTTTCTGCGGCCGCCCCCTCTCCAAGCTCCGGCTTTTATTTTCTCTCTCATCTTTTATTAATCTCTGAGATCCCGGCTCGTTGCTTCTCTCTCTAGCTCTTTTAACAGCGGGGATGCTGCGACCACGGGGGCATTATTCCCGGCGGCTCCTCGGAGTCGCGATCTGTGGGGGCGGCGGCGGCGACGGCGGTGGCGGCGTGGCGGTAACCGCCGCCGCCGCCGCCGTCGCGGCGTTTACTTCTTTTACGCCAGCTAACTTCTACGGCTCTCTCCACTCCACGAGAGAGAGAGAGAGAGAGAAGCAGTTTGCGAGCTGTCCTGCGCTGGGCTGTCACTAAGGAGTTAACGTTCTCACTCCTCCCTAGCGTCCGTCGTTGCTCATGCAACACATAGGGGTACGAGTGTGCCCCTTTTTCTCTTACAGCTAGATGCTCGGGGCCACTCTCTCTCTCTCTCTCTCTCTCTCTCTAGATTTGTATACTTCATTATCGTTTCCTCTTCCTCGTCCACTCTCTCTTCATGATCATCGCCTTGGGTGCTTCCTCTCTCTCTCTCTCTCTCTCTCTCTCTACACCTATCCACCAATCTTGGACACTAACCTCACTCATCGGCTTCCTTCCCCGTCTCTCTCGCTCCCTCTCTCTCTAATTATATAACTAAGCGCATGTGAGTAAGTTACATGTACCTACGTCCCGTTATTTCTCCTTCGTCTGCCGAGTCTCACCCCCTTCTCTCTCTTTCTCTCTCCTCTCTTCTCTCTCCTGTCCAGTTGGGTTGCCCCCTTCTTCCGTCCTTTTCACCTCCTTAATTGTACTGGCCTCTCTTCCTGGCTTCCGAATTCCGCCTCCAAATTATCAGGCTGCTGTCCCCTCATCTCTTCCTCCGCCATCAGTTGCAGACTCGCACAGAGAGGGAGAGAGAGAGAGAGAGAGAGAGAGGAAGGGGAGAGGGAGGGGAATTCGAGCTCAGATTTAGAGCTGCTACAGCCGGCTGACGGACTCCTCCCAAGAGAGAGAGAGACTGTTGAAGGATCAGTGGGTCCGTCGGAGAGAGAGAGAGAGGAGATAGATAGAGAGAGAGAGAGGGAGAGGCGGGGTGGAGATTCTTCAGTTATGCAGCAGGGGGGATCCCAGTATGGGGTTCCTCCGCCGGAAGCCACCTCCTTCCCCGGCTCCGATGAGCTCCCGCCGCCGCTGGCGGAGGTGGCGTCTCCGATCAGCAGCCTCCCTCCGTCACGGACGCCCGGCAACTTCGACGAATTGGCCGCCCCCGCGGCGGCCGGCGGCTTCCCCGGCGACGACGACCTCGCGGCGGCGGCCGGAGACGACGCCGAGCGGGGCGGCGGCGGCGGCGGCAACCGGTGGCCCCGGCAGGAGACGCTCGCCCTGCTGAAGATCCGCTCGGAGATGGACGCCGCCTTCCGAGACGCCACCCTCAAGGCCCCCCTCTGGGAGGAGGTCTCCAGGTAAGCCATCCCCGCCGCCATTCGAGGAATTGCCAATGCACCCCTTCTCTCTCTCTACCTCCTGAATTCCCCTCTCTCTCTCTCTCTCTTTCTCTCCCTCTCTCTCTCTTCTGTGGATCTGCGGTGAAGAAGCGACATCAATCAGCTCTTCTGTGGATCTGCGGGAGTTCTCCAGTGACAGAAACAGTAGAGAGAGAAAGAGAGAAGGAGGAGGGCGAGGTTTCGAGCGGATAACGGTTTCCGGCGGGTCGAGGAGAGCGAGAAAAAAGATTGAATTGTGAGGAAAATCTGACGGGAAGAACTTGCAGAAGAGAGAGGAGAGAGAGAGAGAGATGGTGGCCAAGCAGCTCCGTTTTCGTACCACGGATTTCGAAGGAACTACTGTTGATGATGGTGCGTCTCTTCCTGTGATCAGTCAGTCGTCTGGGAAGCATCTTCATCGTTTCCGGGGAAGACCCAACGGGGAAAAGCTTCTCGTGTGTGTCTCTCTTCATCGATCCGTCTGTTTCTCTCTCTTCAGTAGCAGAATTTCCCCTTCCTCGGTGGTTCTTCAGGCCAATTATACCCTGTCGGCTTCCCCCCGTCCGAGAATTTTGTCGTCCGCCTCCTTCAGATCCCTTCGCGCATTCTCTCTCTCTCTCTCTTTCTCTCTCTCTCTCTCTCTCAGATTATTTAGATGGGAGAGAACTGGTGGCGCTTCTCAGCGATCCCCGCCGTGCCATCTCTCTCTCTGCACAGTGAAGCTCGGCCTACAACCCGCAGGCTCTCTCGTTCTGGATTTACTTGTTACAGGGATCGGCGAGCTGAGCACAGCGGGGATGAGTGAGAGGCTGCGCGCTGCTGCTGCTGCTGCTCTCTCTCTCTCTCTCTAGATTATCATTATTAACAGGGGCGGCGATGTGATTTGCAGGAAGCTGGCGGAATTAGGGTACAATCGGAGCGCGAAGAAGTGCAAGGAGAAGTTCGAGAATGTCCACAAATACTACAAACGCACCAAGGAAGGCCGAGCCGGCCGGCAGGACGGCAAGAACTACCGCTTCTTCTCCCAGCTCGAAGCCCTCACCTCCCCCGCTCCCCCCCAGGCGGCGGCGCCGCCTCTTCCGGCGGCACTGCCACCCCCCTCGGCGGGGAAGCTCCACCCTGCTCCGCTCAACTCCATCCCCCTGCCCTCGTCCGCCGCCGCCGCGCTGAGCTTCTCCGACACCTCCACCTCCTCCGATTCCGACGAGTCCGAGAGAAGAAACCGCGGCGGCGGCGGCGGCGGCGGGAGGAGGAAGATGATGGCCTTCTTCGAGGGGCTGATGCGGCAGGTGGTGGAGAGACAGGAGGCCATGCAGCAGAGATTCTTGGAGACGATCGAGAAGAGGGACCAGGAGAGGACGATGAGGGAGGAAGCATGGCGGCGCCAGGAGATGGCCCGCCTCGCCCGCGACCACGATGCCGCGGCCCACGACCGCGCCGTCTCCGCCGCCCGCGACGCCGCCATCATCTCCTTCCTGCAGAAGATCACCGGCCAACCGCCGCCCCTCCGCGCCGCCGCCCCTCCTCCACCTCCTCCTCCACCACCGCCGGAGATGGCGGCGCCGCCGGCGGAGGGAGTCGTCCCCTCCGGCACCGGCGACTCCGCGGCGACTTCCCGGTGGCCCAAATCGGAGGTGCAGGCGCTGATCAACCTGCGCGGGGAGCTGGAGACCAAGTACCAGGAGGTGGGTCCCAAGGGCCCTCTGTGGGAGGAGATATCGGCGGCGATGCGGCGGTTGGGGTACCACCGGAGCGCCAAGCGCTGCAAGGAGAAGTGGGAGAACATCAACAAGTACTTCAAGAAGGTCAAGGAGAGCAATAAGCGCCGCCCCGAGGACTCCAAGACCTGCCCCTACTTCCACCAGCTCGACGCCCTCTACCGCAAGAAGCTCCTCCTCACCGGTGGCGGCGCCGCCGCCGCCGCCGCCGCCACCGCCACAACCACTACCTCACCGCCGCAGGCGGAGGCAGAGAGCACCACCGACAACGGCGGCGCCGCCGCGCAGAAGGTGAGTCACCGGCTCTACCCTCCTCCTCCTCCCCCCGCCGCCGGTTCTGATCATCGTCCTCGCGTGGGTGAAGCCAGGAGACACTGTGATGGAGATGCCGGGGAGGCAGGAGCAGCAGCAGCAACAGCAGCAGGAGGAGGCAGAGAAAGTCAACTCCGAGGAGATGATGAGTGACGAGGGGGAGGAGGAGGAAGAGGAGCAATACAAGATCCAGTTCCAGCAGAGCTCGAGGGTCAACGGCACGCCCAACGGCGGCGCCGCGGCGGTGGCGGCGGGGCCATTTATGGCCATGATTCAGTAAAATTCAGGCATAAAGATCCGTCCTTTTCTCCGTCCTTCCTTCCTCTTTCTGCTTGCCGGGTTTCCTCTTGTGCACAGTACGCGTCGACCCCCTCGGGGCTTAGAGTGAGAAACCAGCAGTAGGAACTACCCAGATCCCAATCTCTCTCTCTCTCTCTCTCTGATCCGAGCTGTCGTCGACCTCTTTGGATTTTTTCGATTAATTGGCCAATAAAGCTGCCCCGCACAGGCCAGGAGAAGAGAAGGATGTGAGAGGAAGCTGGAGAAGAAGCTCTCTTGCGAACGTCGTCGACCAGGGCAAGCCACCTGTGATCCTGCCGTCAACCAAGGCAATCCACCCCCACCCGCCCCCCTTCTCGGCGCCACTGTTTCCCTTCTCTCTCTCTCTCTATACCACGACGTGGCACTTGTTATTGTAATGTTGGACAATAAGATTTACGAGAAGAAATAAAACGCAAAGATGGAGCTAAGCTCTCTTCTTCCTCTCTCTCTCTCTCTCTCTACGGGCTCTCTCTCTCTAGGGGCCCTCCGATTTGACCGGCGGCCCGCACAGATGGAAGAGGAGAGAGAAACAGTGAGGGGTTGGCGAGAGAGTAATATTTGCACGAATACCGGCCGATAGTTTTATGTGTATTTATTTGGCTCCATCGAATAGAATATTAAATTATTTATTCCTTCTCGACTTTTCACTTCTCCGTTTCGACCCCCACCCGGTAAACAAATTCATTTTACAGGATTACTCTCTACATAATATAATAAATATTTATAAATATATGGTTTATTTCCTAGAATTTGTGATACTTCCTCTTCTACTTCCCCTCTCTCTCTCTCTCTCTCTCTCTCTCTCTCTTACAGTCTACCCTTTATATAATACAATAAATATTCATGAAATATGGTTTGTTTTATATAATAATGATAGATACTCCTCTATTACCCCACCCCCAGTGCTCTCTCTCTCTCTCTATTATCACTCTCTCTCTCCCCCCCCCTCTCTATCCATGTATCTCTATCTGAAGGCGGAGGAGCGGAAGAAGGTTACCAATAAGGGGATGAGCTGACGAGCGAAAGAGAGAGAAAGAGAGAGAAAGAGAGAGAAAGAGAGAGAAAGATAGAGAAAGAGAGGGAGGCATGAACGTAAATTGGAAGAAAGGGAAAAGGGCGGGTAGGCAGCGCCAGCAGGCGGTGGGGGACAAAATGAAAGAAAAACAGCACGTGCAGAGAGGCGCGGTTTTCCAGATGTGGGGCCCACAACAGCGCAGTAAATCCTATCCGTCCGGACATTTGGCGGGGAGTTGCGGCCTCTTTAAGGGCCTCACCATCTACATTCTTCCCTCAATACATCTTCGAGCTAACTATTTATCCCATAAGATCTCCATTTCGGGCACTTTTTTAATTCTGAAAATCATGGGGGCCGAATAATTCTCTCACATAAACACCAAGGACACCGAGCCAATTTTCCATATTTTTTTAATATTGAATTTAAACGAAGAAACCATTTTTCAAAGAACATATCGTCAGTTTAGGAAATAAATCCTAAATTATTAGTGGGGGAATGTAATTGTACGTCATTGTTCCTTTTTTTCTCATCATAATCAGCCCCCTTACCTTCTACGAGGGAAGTTAGAGAGAGGAAATGCATACACAGAATAATAGAGAGAGAGAGAGAGAGAGATGAGAGTTGTACCCAAAATATAATCTTATTGTTGCCCAAGTGTCGCTTGATTCCCACGTAGCCGTTGGCATTGCCCTCTCTCTCTCTCTCTCTCTCTCTCTCTCTCTCTCTCTCTCTAGAGATATATATATATCTATACACACACACACACGTAGATATTTGGCATAGTTTTTGTAGGTCAAAAGCAAATGATTCATGCCTTAGGATACACTTGTACAAGGCATGTGGGGTTGACCCAGAAAAAGGTCGGTCCAAGGAGGAACCGGAACCGCAACCGCAACCAGAACCAGAACCAGACATGCGGGATATTTTATTATCAGACTACTCGATGGGTTCTCCGGTCCCAATCGAAAAACGTAGAGAAAAATTATTAAAAAAATCCTCTTGAAAGCGAGAGCGAGAGCAGAGAGCCCGGGAAAAAAAAAAAGAAAAAAAAAAAAAGAGGAGAAAAATCCCCAGAGGAACTTTATTGCCAGCTAGGCTATCTAGTCGCCATCCACCGACCGCCTTAATTTCCTCCTCTGGATGTTTCCGCTCCCGGGGGCATTATCAAATCAGCCGTCACTGACTTGGGGAGGTCAACTCCTGGTCAGCTCACCAATGGCAGAACGAGAGAGCTGAGGAATACGACCGTTTTATTTTTCTTCTTCTCTCCCTCCTCACGTGGGTTTTTTACCGGAGCATGAACGCTGCCTCCCAGCCGACATGCCGAGATCTTGACGTTGTCGGACAATTCCGGTAATAATTTACGCCCCGGAGAAGATTTCAATGTCTTACTACGGAAATGACACCGGCCGCTCCCGTTGACTTTCCGGAAAACGTGCGTTTCTACCCGGTCAGAACGGGAACAATTGATTGGTTTTCACCACCAGGGAAATCCCCCCGCCCCCCCCTTCCTGACCATATTAATGAGGAGCATACCACATAATTTTTAATGACAAATAGAGCCCTTGTTCTTTGTTTTCTTCCCTTTCTACCAGCTCAGATCGGTCATTAAAGAACGGATAAGAGAGAGTGTGAGAAGGGCCAAAAAAAGAAAAAAAAAAAAGGGGGGGAGGCTCCTTAATTAGTGGGAGCACACTAGTATTTTAGTGCCCGAGGGCATAAAGCTTACTACTTGCACCTTTGCACATGCATCTCTCTCTCTCTCTCTCTCTCTACTCTCTCTCTACTCTCTCTCTACATAACATGTTATGCCCATTCTGCTCATGTGGGCATCACTAGAAATGGCAAGGGTGCCAATGGTCCCCCCCCAACCACAGTGAAGAAGAAGCCCAGTTCATGGAATTACCTTAATTAGAAGGGGGGAGAGAGTGAACAGTAGTAGAGGGGGGAGGGGGCGTTGCTTTAATTGCCATCTCTCCCCGGCACCAGTTGATGAATCCATTCAAGTCTCTTGTGGGGAAGGGGGGGGGGGGGAGAGGGCGGTTTGAATGGGGAGGGATGGATAGTGCCCCACAGTTAATATGAGGGAGGAGGAGAGCTGGAAGCCCAATGGATGGGTCCCACCGCTCCTAGAACTGTGTCACCATCTCCACCGCCCAAACCCTAATAGCTTTGCTCGCCCTAATTGATTGCCCTGTAATTTTCAGATCACATCACAAAACAATTAAGTTATAAGGGGAAATAAATCTGCCCAAAAGGAGTACCCCAATTTTTTAAAGGGGGAGGGGGTCGGCCAGAGCCCTCAAGAATGTTTCCTCTCTGCTTCTGCTCCTGCACCTGCTCCTGCTGCTTCTGCTCTCCGAAAGGATCAGAGAATGTTTCTTCTTGCCGTCACAGATCAATTTTATATAAATATGGGGGACCATTGCAAAAACTCGAGTATTAGTCAAATAAATAATAATAAAAAAGTTAGATAACCTCAGGAAGAAAGCTATCTATCTATCTATCTATCTATCTATCTATCTATCTATCTACCTATCTATGGTTCAGTAGCTCATGACGACAGACGCTTGGCTGAGAGGCTAGCTAACTAGAAAAATCTGTGCGATCTGATGAAGAACCAAGCTCAAGCGTTGACTTTTCTGGCGATGGGTCAACCGCTGCGTTGACTTTCTGAAAAAGCCCAGCCGTTGATCATATGGTAATATATCCTGCAAAGTTGATGACGATAGAGCTTTGCTTCAAGTGGAAACATTTTCAGGACATTCCCTACCATGTAGGGCTATAGATTGAAGGGGAAGGAGATGTAAGCGTTTGGAGAGAGACTCGGCCTACCCAGTGTGAGCAATGAAGGTGGGCTTGTTTCCTCTACGAGCTCTCTGAAGGTGAGGGCGTCGGCGTAGCCAAGCGGCTCCTCACTTCACTGAGGCAGGCTGCAAGATCCCTGAACTCGTCGGTATCGGCGAAGTCAACCCCCTGGGGATTTATAGCAAAAAAAATTGAAATAAAAATTAAACACCTCGATGACTTCTCTGCTCAGAATTTCTACCCAGATGACCCGCTTTGTCCCCTGGCGTCTGTGGAATGGCTCACCTGCTTTACCGTGTTCTTCAGATGCATCTCGGCAGTCATCAGCTCTCGACGTTGCCCGGTGGATGAAGCAATTTCCATGTAAACTCTGCAGAGCTGCAATGAGGCATGCGCAAACTTCCCGAACCGGTCTCGGTCGTGCCATAAATCTGATCCCTGAGACAATAATTTCATTGTAGAACGGCAAGATTAATGACACGAGATGTGCATAAATGCTTCAGAAAGAATTAAAGTAGAGGGAAAAAATGTGCCTCATAGAAGGTCTAATGTCACATTGGTGCATACCAAATAAGATTACGACCATATTAATACTAAATACCATTAAATTGCATGTGTCAAAATGGCAAGCACCAGATTAAGTATAATCAGGGGCCATGATCCAAAGATGAGTATATATCAAATACGCCCAAAAACAGAAACTTTTAGTTATCGGATTCAGATAACTTCAGAGTGACTGCAACCCAGTATTTATTTTTTAAAGAAAATAGTTGTTATAGGGTCAGAAACCCCACACTTGACCAGAACCTGACTCTGATCCTAATAAATCAGTCAGCTTCAGAGTCAACTAGTCTTGAAAACCATGACTTTCAACAATTCCAATGGCCAATAAGTACTGAGGCCAACTTGATGCAGCCCATTTAAGGTCTGTATCAAGTGGAGCAGAAGCACAGACAGTTTAAAGACCCATTTAAGTTGAAGTTAACCCAATCACGAAATTGGGCCTATAACGAGACACATTTAAACAAGTGTCCATATTTAAACTTCTCTTTTTATATTTTCTATTTTTACCCTCTCCTATTTTTAGCTCTTGCTATATTTATCTTTTTTTTTATAGTTTTAATTATTTTCTACATTTAGACCCTTACTATTTTCATTCCTTCTTTTATTCTTATTTCCATTTTATTCATATTCTCATTTCTATTTTTATTATATTTCTATTTCCGAATTTCATTTAAGATTCAAATTTAGGTGTTAAAACATGAGACTTCGGCCTATTGAAAGGCACCTCATGTAGCCCAAGAGTCATTCTAGTTTCAGTCAATGAATTTTGTGAGTTTCTTCCTCTCAAAGGTACTCTTCATATGCTGGTGGACTCCAGCATCCTTGTGGACTCAATGAGTCATTTTTATCCTACGGACACAAGATCAACCCCTTGTGGACTCAAAAGGACGAAATCTCTACGTCTTGTGGACTTAAGGTCGTGATTTTACTTCCAAAATACTTCAGCAGTGTTGAACGAGATCTAACAATTTGTTCCTCCAGCTTCTACAATGTCAAATAGTATCAGAACAACGTCAGTATTCCAGATCTTATTTCAAAATTAGAGTTTGCTGATTTCAAGAATCATATAAAACAAAAGTTTGAAGATTTGAATGACACATTGAAAGAAATTTTGGCTCAAATGCCTGCAATTGAAATTAAATCTTATAGTCAAAATATTCAAAAATAAAATAATTTTAGTCATTCTACCCAAAAAAAAAGTTCAAATGACACAAGAAGTTCAAAAAGTAGATCTGATTATGATGATTGCAGAGATTTTCGAATGAAGATTGAGTTGCCTAGTTTTAATAGACATTTGAAAATTAAAGAATTTCTAAATTAGATTTCAGAAGTAGAGATTTTTCAAATATATGAAGATTTCTAACAAAAAAGGTGAAATTAGTTGTTTATAAACTCAAAGGTGGAAACTCTACATGATGGGATTAACTTCAATCCAATTTTGCAAGATCAGGAAAAAATCAAGTTTAAAGTTGAGATAAAATGAATAAATTATTAAAATTTAAATTTCTTCCTCTTGATTATGAATAGATTTTATTTCAATAATATCAATTGTCGACAAGAAAACAAATCTATAACAAAATATGTTTATGAAATTTTATAGATTATCTTTTAGAGTTGATTTAATTGAATTTGAATCTTATATGATATATAGATTTAAAAGTAGGCTTCGACGGGATACTGAAGAAAAAGTGAACTTACAGTCATTTTTCAAGTTAAATGAAGATGAAAAAAGGGAATAAGTCCGTATGATCTTAGTTAAAATACATCTTCCCATGTCTCCTCTAATTCGTGCATGGACCACTTCATAGTGTCCTAGAACCCAGTCGTTCATAATCGTCACAAACTGGAGCTTCCATACAATTCAAAATTCATTAGAATTCATTTCATGAGACCCATGCAGACTCATTTTAATTGAATAGGGAAATGATGTTTCAATCCTCATCAAAGACGTCATTACATCAAACATTCACCAAAAATGGACATCCACACCATCTCCATAACATCTCTTAGAAGAAGGAAGATGACAACTAATATCTAGAATGACACCCATGAATCAATCATACACAAACAGTCTAAATAGGCCACCATTCCAATCCGGCGTCTAACTGATAAGAGTCAATTATAAACTCGGTTGGGATAAGCATGAATACTTGGCCAAGAATCATCTACATATCTACTGGCCTTGTTCACCCTGCACCAAAGTTATCAATTAACAATCTCAAGAATTTATCCTTCTATATTTTTTTGAATGCAAAAGCTGCACTCGACAGTTTGCTTTTTCAAGATGTAGAGTGTCTTTGATAAATCATATTAGCCCATATTTGCACAAATTTAAGCATGTGCAAGGACGTGACTCAGTTTAAAACTACCCAATTCAGTTATAGTGCTTGGGCAGGAAAATGATATAGCATCTGAACAGATACAGAGGGGCACACTAGAACCAGGCCGACAAGAAATCTCTTGAACATCTGAATGCAGGAGTAAATAAGAATACGAGTGAGAAGCCTTCTGAAACTTGACTAAGCACACTTGCAGTTCTGAACTACGGGTGTTTGACGTTGAAAGTGCGGATTGAGTGCATATTCCCCTTTGAGGCACGTTGCTTTCAGCTACCTATATTTTTAAAGCAGGACTTTGGAAGTGCCACTCAATTTATTCATTTCATCAGATAAATGGATGGGGATATGTTTATTTCCCCTCTGAAATGCGACCAACTTCCTATTCAGCTTCAAACACAATGCTGCTGTATTGAGTAGCATTTTGTCTTTGAAAAAAAAAACAAACAATATATGCTACATTCAATACGGCTGACCAATCCGAAAAGTAATAGAACTGGGCCTGGTAACGATCCGCGCTTCATTGCCAAGTTTTTATAAGACAATTATCGACCATCAAAATGTTCACCGTATTTTATAATAATGACAAGACATGGATGCAAGAAACCAAAGGAGCTCAGAGAACCTGTTCTACACTATTGGTGTGGACCACGGACGGAGAACATCCTGTGCTAATCATATCAAAAGCATTCAGCATGTTCTCCATGAGTAAGGAACTTTGTCATGGATATGGCCGTGCATTCTTCGTATTTGTTATAGACTGTACTTGTTTTCTTTCTATTTTGTAACAGCGCACTAAATTAATCCCTGAAAACATGGTTGCAGTCCATACTCCTTAAAAATGTCGCTAACTAGACCTAGATGCCCTCAGCAGAACATTCCCCAAAATAATTTCGCCTGCTGCACTGACAGAACTGTTGCTTGAGTATTTTGAATATTCAAACAGAGTTGTAACAGATATAAAATGAAAAAAATAGCATAACCCCAGTATTATAATGACAAAAAATAAACTGCCTCCTTCGTGATACCTGATATGACCTGACTTGCTTCAAGAGAGCTTCAGCGCTCATGGCAAGGTCTCCTTTAATTTTATGCCACCTCGCATACAAACCCCACACGTTTTCACAACCACCTTTCCGAATAATCTACAGAGATAAATGACAAAACCGAGATAAATAAGATTTTTCTTTTTCTTTTTCCGCCAACAACTTGTATAAACTTGAAATTCACGGAAAACAATTCCCAGAAAATCCAATCGAACATGAACTAAAAAGTCCGAAGAACATAAAGAACGGGAAATAGATATACGAAAAAAAAAGGATTTTGGTCGCAGTTAAGTCTAAAAGTGACCATCTGACATCTGACAAATCTGGGAAACTTTTTATCAACCATTCATCCACCTTGGAGGGGGGTTGACGGTGTTTGATGAGTTGTGAATATATCTTGTTGTTAGACACGGTCAAACATTAAAAAAAATCATGGACTCACATAGGCATTTACGAAAAATTATCAACAAACAAGTTCAGCTCAGTGCTTTATTATCCTACAAAAAAATCACATAAAATAGTAATGTGAAAACATAAAGCATACCTGTTGAAGAACGTTTCCAATCATGTTGACCAAGAACTCAGTTTCCCTTGATCTCTCATTTCCTTCTTGGGATCCAGATTCATAAAGGGATCTGTTGTGTGACTTGTCCACACCATTATGACACTTATCCTCAGGTATTGAAGCCCTATCCTCAATTACGAGCATTATTTTCTCCAACAATTCCACATCAACTCTCTTACTATCACTCAAATCTAATACCATTTTGGTCGCCTCAAGTGCCTACAGGAAATACAGCAATCATGAGAGCAGTGTCAGAGACCTCAACAACACTGAGCCAACATAAAAATGAGAGTATCCACAAAAACCTAAAACTTTCATATGGGAATCACATTATCAAACTTTCACAAATGTGGAACAGAATGGTACCCGTAATCAGGCATAACCAATGGAGATAAGCATATTCATATACATATGATAAAATGATATGATACTTATGACGCTTGTTAAAAAAATTTGGCCCTGAACTTTGTCAAAGTGCAAGAAAAAAATATAAATGAAATGAAATCCTCAAATATCAGTGTTTCTTAAAATATTATGTTTAGTACATCCAAACAAAATAAGAAGATAACCTTTATTTAAGGTAACCGGCATAAAAAAATGATTGGTCTACACCTGGGCCAACCCACAGTGAATGTTCTTTTCAAATGCCTTTGGAAAATTCACATGACTCACATTTTGGAGAAAAAAATGTTTTAGGAACCTCAGTAAATGTATAACCTTTCTGTTGAATACTGTAGGCCCATCTAGGTCATGGCCATGTCGGCCCATATGGGTATGGGCCCTGTCGGCCCATCTAGGTCCCTTGAGTCTCTGGTATAAATACCAGAGTCTCTCGATTAGGGTTTGGTGTCGAGTCCTTTCTCTCTCCCTCTCCCTCTCTCCTTCGTGTACTCTATGTTTCTACCACTTTCACAAGTCCCAAACTACAAAGAGCACGCAAGAAAATTAAATTAATGGAAACATCGAAACAATTACCAAAAAGGACGATCAAATATAAAAAGAATTGGGAAACGGGGAGAACTTTAGAAGGCAAAACACAGAAGTAATTCATGAGGTCTGTATGACTGCAAGCAATGTTTTAGAAAGCCTGGGCAGGACATTAGAACATCAGATAGCTGGGCAGACAACCTAAATGGGGCATATGGATTGTTACAGAGAAGCTCCTTTTGTTAGCGTTGTAGAGGATAAAATTTTGACCCATTTCGGATGATGCTAGTCATGTTTCACCGTCCTGGTTGATGGCTAGAAATACGGGTTCATACCATCAGTATTTTCAAGCAGTCATGAATGACAACCTCGTCCTTTTATCTAAGATGTTGGGAACCAATGCATTTCAATAGACAAACTTCTATGACCGATGAATTTTTTTAAATACGAACCTGATTTTCTAAAACAATCCCCGGCAGTATGAATAAAAGAGAAAATAAGAGAAAACAAATAAGCAAAAAACGAGAACAAAAAAATTAATGAGCACACAATATCCTATGCATCATGTGGGAGGATAAATGAATGTCTGTACTGACTCTAAGTATGTATCCAGAACAGCAGAGCCCAGTCCCTCCTCTTCGCTGTGCGCTCTTTCAGTAGGGAGGGGGGATTCAATGCTCCATTAGATATTAACAAAGTCACAAAATCAGGCTGAAGAGGATGTTTTATGGTCTTGGTTGAAAACATATGCCGTTTCTGGCCTATCTGATTAAGTCATACAGGGCCGGTTTGATAACCGTTAGGACTAACTAGGTTAACCATGCCTCAGTTCCAGACTCTAATTATCTGACTTTCATTTGATAAACTCTCCCTCTCTCGTAGGTTAACAATGGTTAATCTAGTTATTTACAGTACTGACGAATTAAAAACCATTCTCGACAAGAAATGACATTAATGTAACTTCAATTAGTAAAATTTCATGAAAAGCAAGAAAAAAAATCTTGATTGACATAAATAATATTTAGATTAGTGGTAATATTGTACCTGGGCAACATTTCCAATATCCATTGCAACATGACTGTAATTCTCCCAAAGCTGCCAGCTAGTTCTCCTGATAAAAATACTAAATTAACATCGTAGTCAACTTATGAATATAAGAGAAAATTGACAAAAAGAAGGAATAGAGACCTGAACTTTAACGCCTCCTTAAAAGCAACAAAAGATTCTTTGCTCCTCTTCTTTATCATGTGCCTTGTAAGAATAGTTTAACCAATAATCAGTGATGTCCCAGCTTTCACTTACTTCTTTCAAAAAGTATCTAGATTTTTCCATGAATCCAATGTTGGGGTTGCTTTCAAAGTGAAAGAAACAGTGGAAAAGTAAAAATCATATTTGAATAATTAATTCACATGCAAATAATTAATGATGGAAACTATGCCAAAATTTTAAAAATAATTAATGTCTCTTTGGAAATAAATGTTAGATAATAAATAACAAGAACAGCATTGGTAGACATACAAGCAAGCAATATTATTCCATGCTTCCCCATTGTCGGGATCAAGTTGCACTGCACGAGTAAATGCATCAAGTGCTTTGTCGATATCTCGGGCCTGAAAAATGAATCATTAACCTTAGTACTCTTTACTTACCAGACAATCAAATAGATAAGTTCTACACATACTTCAAACACGCATAGAAAATCTTCATCATTGAGATTCTTAAGCATTTTTAATCTGGACTCTTTTCAAAACAAGTGCATCCTGGAGGAGCACGGTTCCCACTTGCCTATGAGCGGTCCATCTGTATAGAACTCCATCTTTTAAATGCAAGACCAGCCATGGAGGAACCTTACACAAATCTATAATCTCTTTTTCCACTGTAGCCCTTTAATTGATAATACGCATGTCCTATCGTCTCTAACAGTTGTACCATATAAGAATTTAGTTCCAACTACGGTCGATCAAAGCTATGTTAAGAGATCTTGAGTAGATGTTCCACAAAACCCAATAATTATTTCATGGAAGAAAACCAATACAAGAATGTCATGTAAGAGGTACATTAGTTGCAGTTGAAAACATTCCCAGGTTACCCCACACATTCAGAAACATGCATTGAAAAGGTATATAGAAACGAGAACAACAGAATAAAAATTACCTTCAATGCTGCTGCTCCAAGGGCAAACCATCCATCTGGATACAAAGAGTTTACAGCCATTGCAGATTCCCTGGAAAAAATGACAACAACCAAATTTAAATAACTTCTAATTCTTTATAGCATTCGAATCATACAGTTGATTAAATTAGCTAACAATCACTGACAGCAGTTTACTCAAGCAAATAAGCAGCAATCTGGACAACACAAAAGTTAAGGAAAACATACCAAAGAGTCTTAGATGTCTCATAGTCACCTCTGTTGTACGCACTACGTGCCAGAGATCGCTGTCAAGAAGGTAAGGATTTTGAGAGACAATAGAATAACGTGGTGACAATATGACAACATTCAATGTCATTATTATACCTTGGCTCGAGCAGATTTATTGTTTGAAACCTCGAGTGCTTTTTGATAGTGAGCATCATTATTTGTTACATCGCCAAGTGAACACCTGAAGAAAACGCATAAGTTTAAGTCAAAAATTTCAGGATTAAAACGGCCACTTGCACAAGCAATTAAGATGAACAAAATAAGAGCATTATCTGACACAGAAAGATATTTGCGCATAGAAACATGTTTATATATTTACAAAGGTCTTACTAAACATTTAATCAGGTCCGTACCATAATCTTGGATCATCAGGTGTCTCATCAAGTCGTGCTCTGATGAGGTCAACAGCAGCAGATTTCTTTTCCAATAATCTTCAAATAAATAGAAATTTATCAATTTCTCCACACCACAGAAAGGCTTGACAGAGAGACATTTACAAATCGCATGTTTAAAGTGATAAAAACACCATACCGATAGCAATATATTAGATCATCCCATAATTCAAGATCCTCGAAAGTCTTAAGTGCCTCTCCAATCAAGCCATTACTTACTAACAGCCTCCCGTACTCTCTGAAAGATGACGGTGAAAAGAATGTGTTGGCATCCAATATTGGGGAATGCGGGAACTAGGCTATAAAACTGCTACAGAACATATTCACAGGTGAAGCATACTTTCGCAATGCAGGGATAGTTGGCACATAAACACCAAATGAAAAGTGAATTCTCTCTACCACACCAGGAAATGCTCCACAAACACGGTCAACCTTGGAATACAACAAAAAATTGCTTAGAAGTGATTCCTTCTGCACCATATCAGCAAATAGACACCAATACTTATATATATTGATAGAGCAAGGTCGTTTTATTTATGACTCGTTTTTACCATTCCCCTCGAAAGTAAAGAGGGAAGATCCCAAAATGTAACATTAAAAAATAAACATCCATTAAAAAATATTCAATTACCTTAATGCTTTCCAAAATCAAACAAAAATCATCCAGATGATCAAACTTGACAGACCTGACGACAATCTAACTTATCATCAATTAAATTAAGTGATGGTGTATGATTATTTATTATTTTATAGAGGAACTAGATGCCACCAACAATTCGTTCGTAGAAAAATGCATAGTTATTAATCAAATTTCAAAAATAATTTCACATATCCGTTCATCATTTCCAAGCAAAAAATCAAGAAAAGATCAAATGTATTGCAAACCTCTAGCCATTTCAGTAATTGATATCTTCATGGGTCAAGAAATAACTGTCTTAATAACCGCCGCAGGTGCTTGAGAAAGCACAGATAAGTATTGTACTTTGAGCTGATTCATTTTTATTGTAGCAGACAGTTTTCTAGATATCCAAATTAAAAGTGTATCAAATCACCAGGGGTTCAAACCTGTGATTCACAAAATAGAGGAGAGGAAGAGAACGATGGTATCACAAAAGAAAGATAGATTGATGTGTAGTGCTCACCAGAAGGAGGGACGATTATCTCAACACAACACAACAGAGAAGGTTTCTTCATAGACAGGTGTATCAGTATGTGGAAAAAGGGAGACGGAGCATAACTCACTGCGGGCTTGATCTTAGATAGAGATCTGATATGACAGAATTCATAACCTGGTAAATAAAACGATTCCCCTCGGAATCTTCCTGCAGAACAGTCGGGTTTGAACAAGAGAAATAACGATTGTCATGATAGAGGGAAGAAGTCGCCAATATGTGATGTGTTGCTGGATCAAGGTGATGGTAAGCCCGTAAAGAAATAAATTTTGTTTGAAGAAAGACAGTTCAAGCAAGACTCCTGTAAGACCAAAAATGAGGAGAGAGGAAGGAAGAAAAAAAAGAGTGGGGTAGTTTTACCAGTAATAATTGAAGCTTTCCAGGGGCCAAGTAGTAATAATTTTCAAGAGACATGGTCTCTTTTTGTAATTAGCTTGGAGAAAGAAAGTTATGTTGTTGTAGCTTCAGATGGTCCTATAATTTATGACTTTAAGAGAAGGATATAACAGATATAATGTGGTAGCTGGACCTGGAATCTTTGCATACAGCACAATTGGATGAGATTCCCGTTGCCAGATGAGAGGGCAAGGGTTGCAAGGAGAGTAAGTAAACAGGTTATTACTCTGCTAAATAAAGGCAGACCCCAGTATTGTGAATTCTATCTCCTCTAACTCCCTTAAAAGTTTGTATGACCGGATGTCCAAACTGTATGATCCCAAGGATAGAAAGGACAGACCCTACTTTAAGCAACACAGAGGAGACAGTGTGAGAGAAATTTGAATAATACATAAACGGGAGCTGGATGGGCGGTTATGATTTCGAGATCACTGAAAATGGATTGCCTCAGGTGCTGATCGAAGAAAATGTCTCCCCAATTGTTGTACGCCCAAAACCTACTCCGGAATGGGAAGATATGATTCATCAGATAGCAATGAGGAAAGAGTATTGTGAAGATGTTGGGCTTTAAGTGTGGTCCAAACCAGCTGGGTGTAGGATCTTATACACAGTTGATTTGTTGAGAGTTCACAAATTGCACGTACATACTTTTATCTTTTAAAGATTATACGAAACTTCAAAAACAGCATTGTGCAGTATTATTCGACGTAGAGGGCATGTAGCATATTCCCTTCCAATGACAACGAAAGGGTACATGCCCAAGTAATATCGATACTTCACTAGGTGCCCGTCTAGGGTTGGCAGAAACCTAGGGAAAACAGTCTGAGAGTGTTTGATGATATGCTCTTGAGTGGCTTTAAATAATATTTAGTTAGGTTATCATATGTACACAGAGGAACACAATCTCCATGAACGATCGTGGTATTAATAAAACAACAAACGTCAAAAGTTAATCTCTATCTAATATTTTCCTCTGGGACAAGATAAGCTTATACGTCGTAACTTTCAAGATAACAACCCTAGATATAACGTTTGGTGACAATGAGGAAACCAAACACTTTTCTTTCTTAAGGTAACCCTCCTTAAAACAGCCAGCCAAGGAAATCTTATAAATCATAGCTTGTGAGGTGATGAGCGGATTGGTAGATATTGCACCGATGAAAGACAAAACGGTTTTTGACCAAGTCAGTTCAACTTACAAAATCAACAGCAAAACTCCGAATTAGAGTTAGTTTTTTATGAATTTGATGGGTACCAGACTAGTGTTACCCATACATAATAACAAACCATTCAGATTATGTCAATGCTTTTGGCAAAGAATTTCTAACTGAATCAGACAAGGACCTAGCCTTACTGAACATAAAAGCAAGCGACTAGAAGACTAAGTAAAAAGCATTAAGCAGTATTCGAAGTGCAGATATAACACGAATCTAATAAGCCAGGTATATACGATTGAAGATTCTGAAATGAACTATATAAAGAGAACCCTTACCAATTTATTCATCATCAATAATGCCCGTTGCTTTGTACGACCACGCGTAGATTCCCATCTTACACGTAAGATGTCACATAAGCATTGAATCTAAATAACACAGGGCAAGAGTAATGAATCAATCAACAAATCTCAGTTCACATAGCAGCAAATGGAAGCAAACAAATATAAACATAATTTCAAGCAAATCAGCTAACAAGGTATTTATATTCTCTAGTAGTTTCTTTTTCATTTTGTATAGTAAGCACATCAGCACATCAGCACATCTCAAAATTAGTACACAATTGGCGAGCAAAATCACCCTACATCAGAATTAACTATTGAGAATTGATCTTGATTGAGATTCTTGCAACTTGGAGAATGATAGGAGTTGATCTTCACGATCCTCGTCTTCCAGGAAGATGAATCAGTCACCACTTCATGGAGCAGAGTTTCCACAATCCCAAAATCTCTTGTCATTTATCTTGGTTTCCCGCTTAAGTACAGGTTACATGAGTTAATCGGTCGGCCCATTACATTAGTCTTCAAGTGGAATCGTTAACAGTCCAATTGATCCACTTAACGTAGGGAATGACAGAAAAGGACGAAAATACAGCGAAAAGAAACAGATAGAAAGGAAAAACAATCCTAGAGAGTTCAACATTAACTTTACGCCAATGCCATTTAAAAACCTACTTTACTATTTCGTCTATCATATCAGTCAGTGAGAAAGATAGGAAAAGAAAAATTTACAACAAATCACGCCACAATCATGGGGTCATTTTCAGGTTTCACAGAAAGAATCAGAATGCACTGTGCATGTTTTTTCTTCTTTAGTCCTTTAATTCTAGTGTTGAGGGGAATAGATGGAACTGGGGTGATTATAACAGATATTGGAAACTGATCACGATGTTCGTTTGCACTAAATCCGGTTAGATCCAGCATGCATTAGTATTTAAATTATGATTACCTGATGTGAGATGTAGAAAGATCACCCCTCTATTCAGCAGTGTCAGTAGCCGCATTGTATCTAAAATAAATTGAGCATTTCCACGAATATGAACTACCCTCAACCAATGAATCCTGTCATCCTGGCCCTCTTTATTTGTTTTGCATGGTAACCTATTAACTCGAGAATTCCCTGGGTGATAGGATAGACAAGATCAGAGAAACTCAAAGGTCTATTTTATCCATTGAAGGTCCTCAAAATTGCATTTTTTATTCAAAAGTAAAAGTGTGCCTTTATATCAATAGATCAGTGGTAGACTAGAGACAAGAACCTTCAAAAGGTCACGACTTCTAGAATTTCTTCTCCAAACCTTGAGATGAAATCAAAGACACCATTAGCAAGCTAGAGTCTGGCAATGCTTATCAAACAAACTGGTTCCCAAAACCAGAAAAATATCTGATGAGAGCAGGTTGTTCAAGATTCACTTTTGCAACTTTTGAAGGGAACTAATTGAGAAAGAGTTGTCTAGAACAAAGCCACAGTACCCAGTTCACTTTGTTATGAATATGAAGATTGGCGCACTTTTCCCTCCCTCAGAAGCTGTTGATAGAATAATCCCTTAGTCGATAAACAATATAATAATTATGTTACTAGGCCATTCAGCTCAAAATCAATTAAGTTGTGGAGACCTCCATCTAAGTAATAACAAGGTTTTTACATACTCTGATGATGGATTATCCTACCATGCGGGTAACAGAAACGGAATGCTTCCAACACTAACAACTATAACAAAACCAGAAAAAAAATCAAAATATTGAGTCATTCAACTCGGTCGCAATTAACAGTGAAGCCCATCTATATAATAATATTTTGCATATTTATATCAATTTTCCGAGGGTACCATTCCTCACATTGAAAGAAGTATCAAAAATGGTGTATCAAGCTCTAATCAAATCGCCAACCAAACATGATCTCTTCTAGTCACTTTCAGTGAGGATTTTTAAGAAAAGCCATCCTAGAACATACGGTGCTGCTCTTACAAATCATTCACTGATCTAGATCAGTGAAGGCATTAATTGATCCCAATGCCAGTATTTGAACCTGCTGATCCTAACTCAATTTTCTTCAGTGATTTGTCTTCGAAGTCAACAATACAGTTGGCTGTACTAGACCAGCGTATGCTTGTACTAGACTAGTTATTTTTTACTGCATTGTAAACAGCCTCTGCCACGTGAATTTTTCATTTCATCATCTCTTTAGTCCCAAACGCCTTTTCACTTCCCTCCTTTTTCACTATATGAATCCAGCATTCTCCTTCAAAGTGAAACCAAAATAGGAACAAAAACTGGAACAATGAGGGGTCTTGATCATCTTCATACTTCAGTGTAGTAAAGTTGCATTCTCTTCTAGGAGGCACACACATTAATATCTTCAAGCCTGCTACTCATGTTGAGATCAAAAGGATGCAATTCCAATCTTAAAATCAAATGTAATAACCAATAACTGAACTGTCTCAAAAGGATCTGAACCCAATTCACATATACCTGAGCTGAACAACCTTTAGAACAATACTGCAGCTATAAGATAAAAAGGGCCGATGCTCAGGATGCAAAATCTTCAGATTGGTTTAAAAGTTTTCAGAACATCAATTTCTTACTTTGTGAGACCTTTACTTGTTTGAAGATGGCCCTGCTACATGGCATCATCAATTTCGGTGGAACAAAACGCATCCTACTCTATTACTTGGTTTCATGGAGGAGACTAGTAAATATTTCCGAGTCTAGGACAATGATATAAAACAATAGTCATCCAGTCACTCTTCACCATGACAGCTTAGAGAGCTTTTCACACCCTTCAAAACTCGCTTTTTGTTACCCTTACAAAGCGAAATATCATCTTCTCCAAGTTAACATCACTCAATTCACAAACTTAATATCTTCAGTAAAAGCATAAGAATGTTGGTCATCTCTTTCAACAAATCCTTAGTAAACTCCAGAAGTCTATCGCAGTCCAATGCAGTATTTAAGTCACACCTAAATTGTACGTGTCCAACACACCACTCGTAGCAAATAAATATTCTATGACATGTGGTCCTAGTGAATTTATTCTACAGGAACGAAATCTACCAAGATACACCCCATCCAATGCTATGGGCCGCACTTGTGAGCTTATAAATAGGGTAACACCCTCCAGCTTCTCGATCGGATCCCTTACCTGACAAGCAAATTGACGTGAACAAAAGAAGAGAAATGTAGTTGTCACAGGATGGGAATATTTACCATGATTTCGGAACCAATAGCTTTGTTTTAAGTGAATTGCACAATACAGTCATTAAATAAAAAGATAATATGCACGATTTTGTGAACCTTGGACTGTCAAAAGCCTCTCATGCATCAGTTTTGCCCTCTATAGACATGATATAAGACAATTAAATTACTAGCAACTTCAAAGTAACAGAAACCCATCTAGCATTCTACAAAAATCTTACTCACTGATTCATCTCATTACAATCTAACGTAAAAACCTTATGCACTACAGTTTTCCCTCCGAAGAATATATCTGCTTCCGTCCAGATAACCAAGAGAATTGAATAAGCCACCAACGTTTAATCTAACTTTCCACAGCCACTTTCACCTCAACCCAAGCTCATCAATCTGACCTGAGTTTCATCACTATATATTCACTTGAATATCCAAACAACTACCAAATCTCCTGAAAGAATGGGCATCCATGAAACAAGTGTTCCATAAGTTTCTCGTTCAACCCTAAAAGCCTACAAATAATGTGGAAGATTCCGATAAAAGTAGCTGTGTAATACTGATTAAAAATACGACAAGAAAGTGGTATGGTTGACAGAAAGTAGCTACATTACAAAAAGGATGAAAAAAAGTAGCAAATAATTCTTAAAAACATTAAATAAAGTTGCTAAAATAGCCTCAGTGATCTGTAGATGATGCAAAAGGTGAGCTAGCAGGCGAAAAGAATAATGAGAGCAACCAGTAGGATAAGATGATACTTACAATGAAATAAGTATGCTGTTGAGAATCAATGGCCTCAATAAAGGGGGCCATTTCCCAACCTGCAATATTGATATCCATATTTTAAACGCATGGTCACTCAACTCAGAGAATCCTAAGAGTACCAGTTCCTATAGTCGATGGGCAGAAAGAAAACTTGCATATTGTCTCCAATGAAATCATAAGCTGTTTACGAAAATCCGAGATAATAAAACGACGCAGGCATGTATATTCCCAACTTAAAGAAAGACAGACTTCAGAATTGTGAACAACACGCATGAATCTACAAAAGAAAAAAAAGCCACAACAGCTTTAAAAACGTTATACGAAGATTGAATATATACGTACATACCAATTCACAAAAACTCCTTAATAAACATATAAAAATGAGAGGTCTGGCCAAGTTAATATGCAGATATCTATGTCAGTACCCACATCTATTCCTCTGCAACATAAACATCTTTCTCTCAGGTGACAGAATGAAGCCTCTGATGCTTCTGAAGTGTTATGAGGATTCTAGCTTTGCGAACAGGTAATTCTCAAAGTCATTGACCAGAGTTATTTTCTCAGCTGACGTCACCTTTTAATCCTTTGATTTGCATTACGTTTGCCTCTTGGAACAGCAAGACAAAGCCATTGACAGTTAATTGTTTTTTCCATGATGATCATTATGCATCATCAACACAATACCAACTTGTTTAATCCATGAATGACGCAAAATTGAGGAGTGAAAACCTGTTCAAATACTCAACTGTTGTAAAACAGTGGTAACATGAAAGAAAGCAAATAACATTTCGGGTAAATTTGGTTCCTTTCTTCAAAGAATGACCTTCAGGATAGGAAAGTCGCTAGATGATCCAAATTTATCAGTACGATTCCAAGTTATATTGAGTAATCAAACAGTGGTAGAGACAACATCAATGACAGTATCTGCTCAACATCAAGATAGCTCCTTTCCTCTTACTTTTTTACCAGCCCAGTTCCACCATGTGTATCAACAAGTAAAAAAGCGCCGAAGAATTATGAGGTCTTTCAAAGACCCTGGCCTAGTTGGAACACAAAAACTCATGAATAATGTACCAATATGATCTGATACAGCTAGAGTCTTTGGGATCTTGAATCGGATGCTGGGTCCATCTCAATCAGCCTTGCTACAAGGTAAACCTATCATGATCTACATCCTCTCATGCTGTGTTAAAGTCCAGTCCGTGATTTTTGTCTCCCAGTACCTCCTTACATCTATCTTCATCTCGCATTTTTTGTATCAGACTTTATCTTCATTCAAATGCATTGATTCCTATCACTCTATCTAAACCGAAAAGTACCATCCTAGGATTATAGCTCGGACTTTTCAACGAAGTTGGAAAGCAAGAGAAAAAAACCAATCAAAACCCTGCTTCTTATGACAACAGCAGGAAAAAGCAATCACTGGTCCATCAGCATTAAGTTGTGTAGGAAAACAATAAAGAGGGAAATTACTAGTAACATTTGAACAACATTAACTCACAAAAAAGGAGAGGACTCGTTGAATTACCAGAAAGTTCATCATCAGGATTCTTCTTCTTAGTGTGAAGGCACTGAGCGAGGATGACAGTTTGCTGAGCATCTGTAAAGGACATTTTTCTAATCCCACTGGGATTTCCGTTTACTTTAGCATCACCATTACTTTCTAACAACCTTGGAGTCATCAATATATCACACTCATCATAATTTTCCAGAGATTCTGAAGCTCCATGACTTTGAGCAGCCGAGCACTTTTTTAGGATCTCAGAGTTATGAAGCAAGCTACACTCACTACTTCTCTGTTCTTCCGTTTCAGCAACAAGTACGAGCTGGGACTTAGCGTTCACCTGCGTGAAAGCATAATTAAGAAAAAATAAGAGCTTATTCATCCGTATCTCCCAAGGACTGCCTCGTCCTCAGTCTGTAAAAAGAGCCAAAAGTACCTGGTGGATTGTTCGAAAGCCAAGAATACCAGTTACAGAAAGATGTAAGCCGCATGCTCGTTCAGCAGTATTAAAATGCACCCTGAGAGAGGAACTCACAACTGTTAAGAACATATCGTAAAATTAGAGAATTACTTTACCATAGAGGAAGATTAAATTATGATAGCATGCCACTTTTCAATACATACATCTTACAAATATTGCATGTTAAACTTTTATATACATGTATCAGATGAAATGCATCACAAGCATAAAGATATCACTTCCTAACTAAACAGGGATGCACTACAATAACATGTACCAACAGAAGTAAAGTCTGTGAACCATACTTCCACATGAGTAAGGCCTTCACATCCCTTTGATAGTCCTGTCAGATAAATCCATAGTGTACATAGTCTCGCATTAATCTCTTATTAAGCGTGAAAAAAGAGGGTTGATTGCAAAAAAATGATGTATATCTATTAACCTGCACACTTTTAGCTAAATGCTCCAGTTACGATTTGAGGATTGAGCAAAAAAACACGTTTAAAACACCTTTCTTTCTCTACATAATAATCAAATCTCAATAAAAACTAAAGTCCACATCCTATGAGGATGTCATTCTAATCCGGAAGGGCAAGTCAAGGTATTGGCCCTGGACACAGTCAAGGATATGTTTACAAGGAGAAATACTTCTCAAGGAATATAACAAATCTAGACATTGTAACCTTAAAATGTTCTATTGTGGCTGTCTGTTAGTCTGCATATTAGGATCGGTGATAGGTCCACCAAGAGGACTCCGAAGTTTAACATTGAACTGGTTTCAGTTTGTTTCATGCAAGTTTAGAATTTCCTGTTCTGGCTTTGGGATCGACGATAGGTTCAAGCCTGGGTCCAAATGGGCTTTAATCTGGTTGTGGTCAATTTCACTTGCTGCTCTAAGTTCAATCCCAAATTGACTCACAAATGAGTCTCGAACTAGAAAAAAATTACATGACAAAGGCAAGGAAGTGCCGCCTAACATCATACCATTCATAAAACTTGTACATTCTCGGATCAATGCAGCATCACCACTTCATAGCCCTATGCAGGTGACACAGACAAGTTCTCTCTAGTCTGCTTCTATTGCAGGGAATGGCATCATAGTTCCAAAGTTGACATGCAAGGGTTGCAAGAGTGGCATCACGTTTGCGGGAAGCAGATGAGTAGGATGCAATTTTATTTTGTTCTAGACAATTAACGAAATGTCATATATCACCTAGCATGAACAAAGAATTCAAGAAATGAAACTAACAACTAATTCAAGCAGAGGACTTCAAAACAAGAACCTATACTAAATATCCTAACCTAGAAAACACAATCAAGTATGGAATGATTACAGATTCACGAATGATGTAGTTCAAAGAAACAAAACTAACCCAATGATAACACTAATTAGATCACTGAATGTGCCCTCAGGTATGATTTTCACCATTTTAAGATACACTGCATTTCCTTTTTCTTTTTTAAAGAAGAAATCACTATTCTCCAAGAAGATATTCAAACAAACATCTAGTTTTGCCTTTTTTTTTTGTTTGAATCACTGATCGAAATCTTTTACGTTGTTTGGAAAATTTGAACCTTTTACTGAAATGCACGTGTAACACGAGGATGGCACACTGATAAATAATTAGATGAAGCAATATAAAAGTAAGATTCGAGAGTACTGACCCTGATGAATCCACACGACCATAGGCATGCGCAACTATTCCTGCTTCTAGATGTACCATTGACACAATTGTTAAAGATTCTTCCTTGCATAACTGAGATGCCCAATACATATTTACACTTTCCTCACTACCAAATTGGTGCAAAGTTTCAGTCGTGAGAACTTGCAATGAATCATATAATGAAGAAGATAAGCTATCTAAAATCCTCTGTTGAATGAGAGTAAGTCTGCACAACCACCAAGAAACACTTCTAGCTTCAATTTGATGGGAACTTCTTCCGTCCACAGAGATGTTCCTGATATTATTTAATAAGATTCTCGCATAAACAATGTACTGCAATATGAAAAAATGTTTAGTTTCTCACATGATTTGATCAGAATTCAGAATAAATTTCTGCCACGGAACTGAGAAACGAAAATCAAGGAAAAATACATTCAACAAAATAATATTTTTCACTTTCAAGGCTCATGCTTATAAAAGAATAGCTCTAAGATTACTCTATACACAAAGAAAAACTTTGAATCACATATGAAGTCAATCAACCAGTAACAATGCGTTTTTCGAAACATGAATCCATTGGCCTAAATTTTAAATATCCGAACAAACTTTGGTCTCGAGTCCTTTGCTTCCATTTAACCTCCTCCTTCAGATATCAATCCTTCTTCACTACCTTATGTTTTTTTTTTAAATGCACTGAACCTCCTAATCACAAAATAACAAAAATATTGGGGCAGGATGTACGAGTATGTGCCTCATAAAATCACCTTCACATCGATTATGTACCACAAAAAGATGCTCTAGGTCATATTGGCAACCAAAGATAGCATATTCTCGCCATTCTTCATTACAAAAAGTTCACTCTTGACTCTTTCATGCATGCAGTTAAACACCCTATCAACTTAAAAGCTTGGCATCCGAAAGATACACATGTTTGTATTGCTCATGGATAACCAAAAATCATCTATATAACTCGGATACTCTCATTATATACCTAATAGAAAATAGCCTGTAGCAGTCTCATACGAAAAGATACTCCACTCCTAAGGAACATATAGTGCAATGATTTGTCTTCCTCCCCATATAAGTTGCCTGCAGCGTGTATCCTACCAAAGACCAGCACATTTATTAGAGATGAAGGTTTCCAAACCTTGCTGTATTCTCTCTCCATCTACGATTATGTGTCAAGCCGACTATACTCTCAGCCTACCTTATTTCTCCCAGCTATAGTGTCTCTTGAGGTTTATAAGCGCTACTAATGACCATAGCTCACGTCCATACTGTTTCCCAAATCCTGAATCTCCTCTCTGAGTTTTCTTTTAAACCTTGGATCCTCATTGAGATGCCACGTAATTACAAGTATGTGCAATAGTGATGCAATGATGTTAAGCATAAAACCAAAGTTTTTGATTAAAATTTGACGTTGCACATCACCTTCGTTTCCAAAATAAGGTTCTTTCCCTAGGCTTATACAAATCTCTGTATGTATTTTCCATCACTCGTAGTTTTTGTTGGCCAAGCTTGTGAAAACAATTTTACAATGTCCCAGATTACGTTCTTCTCCCTTTGGTTAGTGTGTAGAAGTAAATGAGGATATGAACTTGTCCTATTCCTTTAAGACTCCGTGATGCATTTTCATTGCAAAGATTGTATGATCAGGATTGAATCCATGCACAAAACCCCAAACTGCCTTCTTCATGTATCAAAGTAGACACCACGTGAATAGAATGTGACTATCTAACAACTCTCTACAAGACTTCTACTCCATAATAGCGTCCTGGAAGGCAATCATAACTCCCAATGTATAATAAAGGAAACTCAAGTTCATCTAGTAATCAGTACTCTATTTATATCTCGTGATCTTACCACTCCTAGTTGTATGGATTGCTATTTATGGGTTGGCGTATCTTACATTCTACATCAATATTATCACAAGGAGCAAAACAACAAGAGCATAAAACTTATTTTTTGTTCACTGGTCTGCATTTTTTAAGTGTATAAAACGTCTCGAGATGTGAGATAAACAATCGTCAACCAGGATTCTTCTGTTAAGTATGCACATGATAGCCGTGTATTAACTTTCCACATGTCATAACTAATGCACATTGACATTTTAACAGGAACCTAGAGTCAGAAAACCCATTTCGACTGTTGTCATTATATTTTTTGCTGCACATAACTAGAACCCTCTATGCAAATAATTAACAAGTGCGCACTAAAATATTATCATATTTTCGAGAAAGATACCAACATCAAAAGAATCGTGAAAGATAAAAAAACAATGAAGCAAAGCATGGTCTAAGACAAAGAACCCATTTGATCCCTGATATTAAATTCATAGCCAAATTAATGCAATAGCTCCATGATGATTGGCGCATCAAATGGTAAAAAATAACAAAAACAATTGCCCCTATATCAGGTAATAATTGGAGGGTAAAGCATAAATCCAGTCTATGAAGGAAAAAGATGTGACGCAAGTGCACATTGCTACGATATTCATAAACAAAAACCAGTAACAAATGAGCGAGAGAGAGAGAGAGAGAGAGAGAGAGCGCAAATACCTGTAAAAGTGAGAACTTCCCAAAGACGTCAGAACCATCCAATGTCAATTGACCGCGAGCCCATGCGCCCCAATGCCCGTCGTCACGGCTGTTTTCTTGCCTCGACTTAGGAAAGGAAAGAGGAAACGGAGAAATTTCCTCTATTGGCCTAGAATAGCAAAACAGGAAAGAAAAAATCACGGAAAAGATTTTCCCCAACGAAACGAAATTTCCCTGTCTTATGAAAAAAAGGCGCAAAACACTCTACAGACGCTCACCCCGTAATGTTCCGCTGAACGAAAGTCAACAGCGCCGCCACACCAATGCACAATACGAGGACGGACTTGTATCCCACGTCATATTCCTCTCCTCCATCCGCATCCTTTCCCGTATCCAAACAATGAAGCCAGAAGTCCTGCTGGCGGCCCCCATGAAGGAACTCGGAGGCGCGCCCCTCCACCTCGCCGTAGAACCTCTCCGCGGAGTCGACAGTGTCGGCGAACTCCCACGAGTCCGAAAATGAGAATACCCTGTGGACGGCGTCCGATGTCAGCGCTTCGGCGTAGTTCCCACGCTCGATGGCGGCCACCAGGGACTCTATGACGGGGCACAGGGAGCTACTCCCGCGAGACGCTGGCGGCTGCGGAGAACAATACGACGGCGGCGGAGCGACCGACTCCACGACGGGGGAGAGAGTGCAGCGAAGGAGACGGAGCTCCACTCCCTTGAGGAACCGGACGTCCTCTTCGGCCATGGCGGGAAAACTCCTCTCCTTGGGCGACCGCTGGAAGGTTCAGCTGCCGGCGGGGTTTTTCCCCCGGAGTCTTTGTTATATATACCGCAGTCGGACGACGAAGACGATGACGAATCCGAAACCCGATAAAAATTCGATCCGCAAATGCCAGGTGGACTGAGATCCGGCCGATTCTCCTCTCCGGTCGTTTATCTTCGTTAGCAGGCATATTCCATTAAGTGGTAATGGTTGGGAATAGCTGGAGCAGAAAGGAGAGTTGAAAAGAAAAAAGGTTTTTTTATGTTATTAAATAAGGATTGACTTCAGAAATAAATAGAAAACATTGGGCCGTAGACTTTCTAGAGTGTTCAAATAAATATAATTTTTGGATAAATGAATAAAAATCAGCCCACACCAAGATGTCAAAATTACTATCTTTTAATTTTTTTTATCAAAACGGAATTTTAAAAAAGATAAATATCGTGTTGTAGACTTCCCTCTCTCTCTCTCTCTCTCTCTCTCTCTCTCTCTCTCTCTATGTAAAGCAAAAAAAGATGCTAGTTCAGAGCAGTTTAATCAAATATTTATCTTTTTAAAAAAATCCATTGTTATAGAAAATTAAAATATGGTAATCTGGATATCTTATTGTGGGCTGTTTTTCTTTTCATTCATCCAAAAATGGATAAACTATAATCTAATTTATTTATGGCTCTCAACAAAATAGCTTGATTTTGGGACAACATCCTCATATTTTCACCGAATCCATTGTGCCCCTATAACCATTCAAACTATGATATAAACATGATTTGGGGACTTGATGTCTTTCATTATTATATTAGAAACTATGATCAACCATTATGACAAAAAGCAGTCAATCTCTACGTGGTTCAAGCAAAATAAAAACTGACCTTTGAAAAAAATATACTAAAAGTCATTCATTAGTAACTAAAGAGTCTACATCATCATGTTAGGCTACTTAAAAGTGCCATTAGAATTGGATACTGAAAGCAATCAAGGTGGCAAAAAGTTTATGTTAATTATATGGATGAGCATACCATGGCATTCTCGTTAATAATAAATAATAGTAAATGATTCAATTCTAGTTAGAATATCAAGGAAAAATAGATACATTAGCGATTTTTAAAATATATTAAATGATTTATTCAGTCACACTATATTGGGGAGTATATTTTATATTAAAAGGCAATTTATTACCACTAAAGCCTCGTTTATATGTTAGTCAACATAAACATGACTAGCCAAGGTTTGAATCATTATTTGGAGCTCAATGATATATACCGAACATTAAAAAATAAAAAAAAAATTGTTTAAAGTTTGATAGAAAAATGTAAGCACACATTCAACAAGCGTCCCCACTAAAGAAGATAATGAAGGAGTCCACGTTTTATTTACAATCTCAAGATAATTGCATCAATTATCTGTATTTCAAAATAAATTAAAAATTGTAAACCATGGAAGGCTACCTAATTGAATAATAAATAATGGTGAATGATTCCATTTTATTTAAAATATCAATAAAAATAAGATAAATTAGCGACTTTAGAAACATCTTAAATGATTTATTCTGTCCCACTATATTGGGGAGTATATATTAACCAAGGATTGAATCATCATATATACCGGACATTAAAAAAAAAAAAAAAACTGCCTAAAGTTGGATAGAACAATGTAGGCACACATTCAACAAGCATCCCCACTAAACAAGATAATGAAGGAGTCCACGTTTTATATACAATATCGAGATAATTGCATGAATTATCTGTATTTTAAAATATACTAAAATTGTAAGAAATGGAAGGGCTACATGACTGAATACCCGGGACCACCACCACCTTCGGGCACTGTCCACTCAATGTTCTGTGAGGGGTCCTTGATATCACAAGCCTAATACACAAAACACCCAGATAATTACATCTCTGCTATATATATCAGTATGTTTCCATAGAAAAAAACATAGAAGAAATAATCATACAACTACTGGTTCCTTGGAAAAAAATTAGTCCATGGGGTCCATGCCTCAGCCGGATTATAGAACTATGGTTGGTGGGAAGGCAGGGTTGGCATCACTTTCTCTGTCTTATTTGCTCAACCATTGAATCGAGGTCAGATGAGAGAGAGACAACATATTCAGAAAGGTAGGGAATTTTTTTTTGCTAGACTTATAAAGACGAAGAGATTACAGAGAGTATTATTGCTAAACAGTGTGATAATGAGGGTTGACCAAACAAAAAAGCCGTACTTACCCCTGAGGAAGGGAGAGCGACAGAGAGAGAGAGAGAGAGAGAGAGAGAGAGAGAGAGAGAGTTATGCAAAATGAGGAGAAAGAAGAGGAAGAGAATCATCGCTGGAATGCAATTTATTTTATGCTTTTGGGGATTAATGGATGTAGAAGACCCAATCCTTGATCGCATGGAACTGATGGATCATTTGCCTATGTTACTGTCATGAAGATAGTCGATAATAGCAGATGAAAGAATAACAAAAGCCTGGGTAAATAACCCATACAAATTATTTTAAAAAATAACTATATAAATATATATATATCTATATATATATAGGATGTCATTTGAAACCAAGTACAGAGAAGAAATGTGAAACGGATGATCACCTTGCAATGGAGGCAATTTTGAGCATTAATTTGCAGTTTCGATTCCCCTTTCTCATCAGTGATGTACCTAGTTTGTGCATTGAATTGAGTGTCATGGAGAATATAATGATCAGAGAGAACGAGATAACGTAACAGTCCAAAGTTTCTTACTCATAGACACGCGCAGGGCAATAACGTGATTCCGGTCCGCCATATCTTGGTAGGTTTACCAGTTCAGGAATCGCAGGATCCTTCAGCCGAAGATGAGCAGGCTGGTCATGCTCATGATTCGTGTTACTCCTGAAAAACTAATGCCCTCTGATGAATAAGTGAAAGAAAAATGACGAAACAAGCTATTTGATCAAGGAAAGATCAAACGCTTTCCAAAAATGTACATATTTTTTTTGTAGAAGGAAAAACTATGTAGAGTAGTATATAATAATTATTAATTTCCATGTTCTTGATGCCAACCCTTTTGTTTTTGAAAGTGGGTTTTGTAATCAGTACACAGAATATTGCAGATAAATAGAAAACATATATGAAATCATTAAATCCAGTTAAAAAATTATCTTGATCTTGTAGAATATTGCAGTTAAGAGGTTTATGATGACAAGAGCATATTCTGAAGATTATGTAATCTTTGGTTCAGTTCAGCTATGTTCTGAAGATTTGTAGCGTTCTTTTGGCAATTTTCCCCTACTGAAGTGAAGAAACACTGGCTGAGAAAAATGACTGGCGAAACAAAAGAGGCACGCCACAGATAGAAAGTAATATGAGAAGCCCATTTTCCTTTGAACCTAACGTTTCTCCACAGAAAATCAACTAAGTTCGACCCTGGAATGAAGGAGAAAGGAAAGTAATGTCCACTCAACCTGTGTAAGGAAGTTGGGACATCAAACGTTAGTATTCCATCTGGCTTGGGATAATCTATTGGCACGTGTAGACTGGCTACCTGAAGATAATGGAAACTTTATTGAACAATGAATCAATAGAAACAAGGTAATGAACATCAAATATATGCTGTTGGTGGAGTGGCTTACATCTGTGGCTTCATGATCTGGCTTACTATGCTTGAGTGTCAATGGAAATCTTCCTCTGAAGATATATCTAAAATATAGAACAATTTCAAACTTCACTTACATAACGAAAATCAAATGGACAAGAGCTGGCGGCAGAGAAATTCGAAAAGTCTTACCGTTCTAGTGCAGAAAAGCCCAAGCCAGGAATAAGCCCATACTTGAATGCCTGTGTGCAGAAATAGTTATCTTAAGGTCGATGATCAAACATAACTAAGTTAACTCATAAATAAAGAAAATGAAAAATGTAAGAGTAGTTTAAAATAAAGGTCAAAAGAAGCTATGAACCCAGAATGTGTGTAACTTACTGGACGATAATTACGTGCTTTGTAAAGTTCTTCCCAGATCCAAGATTTCTTTAGACTATCCCAGTATGTCTCCATATCCGCTTTCCCATTCAGTGCCTTAAAGGACGCCTCCGCTGCAAGCATTCCTGGACAAGATGACAGTTCTTATTTAGATGATTGTTAGTTTTGGAAGAATGAAAAAAATCTAAAAGGTTTTGGCAAGAAATGATTAATGAGGAACACCACATGGATACTGAAATATCCAACAACCCAGAATAGTGATGCAGGAAAATGTTTTCCAGTTAATTAAAACAATATAATAGATAAATTGGCCATAAAACAACAAAAAAATATACATATATAATGATGGGAGAATATCATATGAGAACAACCTGATTTCATGGCAGTGTGCGTCCCCTTTATTTTCGGTACATTTATAAAGCCCGCAGCACATCCAACGATTGCTCCCCCAGGAAACACCGGATATGGGATTGACTGAAATAATGTGCACCGAATTTGTCAAATGAAGTGAAATGAGAAGTTTTTCTAGATTTTTTTTTTTCTTTTTAGATTTAAGAGACAACAAACGCAAAGCTGCATGCTACTTTATCAGCCTTCTGACACAGATCACTGACAAAAGGTAAAAAATTAAGACAGTTTGTCCAATTCCAGAAGAACGTGTTGCAACTTTCCTATGAATTATAGGAAATAAAAAATACACCCGAAACTCTGAGAATCCTTGTTATTTTGTGAACCAAATTGAAAGATGTCTGCTGGTGGATATTAGAGAAAATAGATGGAAAGTACCTCTTAGAGAAAATCCCCAAATAGAGAAGATGATCGCTACCTTGTCATCGTTTGGAAAACGTGGCTCTCATAAAAACTGTAAATAAAAAATAACGGACTAAACATACCTGGAAACCACCTTCATTTAATGTGCGTGCACCATATTGGAGAACAGTTCCACCTTCCAAAAGCCGTCTAAAAAGAGGATGCTGTTTTAATTTCTATTCCAAGGAAGCACAGAAAAAAAATCAGGATTGATCAGTAAAAGCACGCAGATAGAATCGATGGGACAAGCATATGGTAAAAAATTATGTCCATCGATAATTAAGGTGAGCTGTTTGTACAAAGTAAATACTAAAATGGAATCCAGATTACAGAGCATCTACATTGCACACTAGTAATGAAAACAATAAAGTATCTATGCAGAAATAGACAAATCTTAAACAGCCACCCTAGATATATAGGGGCAAAGTGAAGCCAAAATTGTCACACATTGCTCATGTATTGTTCCAGTTTCTGTCAGGCTCATGCATACTATTTTGCACATAGACAAGCATTCTGAGACTTCATTCTGGGTTCCCCCTAGGCACTTACATAGAGAAAAGCGTTACCTGTGGAATTTGTAGTTGAAACCTCTGCGCACTACACTTAATTCTTATCCTCATCCGCTCTTTTGTAATTTAAAATTACGTGAACGCCAATAATTCCATTGAAGATTATTTGAAGCCTACCACATTATACTGTGTTAACATTCAACGAGAAAGTTTGTGTTAAGCAGGTCGCGAATCCACATTAAACAATAATCGTATCAAATAATTGATACTTTGATCAACAATAGAGTGTAACAGAGCTTCTCAAACTCGACCTTTGACAGAAGAAGCAGATAATCTTGTTTAAAATAGGACTCAAAGCTCTGGCACCTCCTTGTTAACTCCTATCAATTCTTTTCCTAATGCATTTGAACCTCTAATAAAGTTTCCAGAAAAAAATAATAAAAATTTACGAGAAATGGAAACTGAAGGATTAGTTTACATTAATAATTCCCAACTGCTATGGCTTGGTGGAGGGCTATAAATACCCAGAAAGTTTGGATTTGGGCACAAACACATAAAAGCACAGTATAAGACAGAAATTAGTTTTGGTTGCCAAGAAACCCCTTGATTGCACTTGAAGTTAATGGTTTGATTGATAATTGATTAAAAGGCAACGAATATGAATATGGATCGGCCTACCAATGAGCATTGTGTTTTCCTATCAATCACCTCTTAAAAGGAATGGGTGACAGCAAAAAATCATTGGGTGACTAAAACAAATCATTAGCCTTCTCATGGATTGCCTTTTATAATAATCAACATCATTTGGTGACTATAACAAATCATTTGATGAGTATGAAATCAACGACAAAGGAGAATATAAATTTAATGTACTGAAACTGTATTTGCATGTCATGCAAGAGAGAAAATATGGAAAACAATAGACAACCTGGAATTCGTCATAGGGGCTCAAAAAAGGATTGTGGTAATCCAAGGCGATAACAAGGCCAATCGAAACCTACAATAAATAAAAAAGCAAAAAAATCGTCATATTGGACATTATCTTAAATATAGTAATTTATTGAATTGTTTCGATTTTATCAATGCCAAAGATTACTATAACTGTGACCTATCATTTTCCCTTTAATGTTCTACTTTACAAACATGTGCCACAGTTAGTAATAGCAAACGTCATTTAATGCGATTTGTACTGTTAACGACACATATGGCAAACAATTCAAGAAAACGTTAATCTGATCTAGAGGATTTCATGAGAGTTCAGCTTCTTGATCACAAATGACAGGTTTACATGATTTTAACCAACAGATTACGTCACTTCTGTGTTCAATAGATCCCATCATCTTGAAGAGAAAACGCTCCTAGATCATATAGCCAATCCGCCAAGACAGTCATACAGTAGAAATCCATTTTCCCATCAAATACATTAAAAAGTAACGTGCAAAAAATAGTTGGATCCGATTTCACTTGATCAGAAGACATAAGTTAGTGGTTAATGGCGGAGAGAGACCAAACAAGTTTGAGATTAGCACAGAAAGTAACCAGCACTAGCTTGTGATAAAGATCATACTAAATTTTCAAGAGGGCATGGAGGATAGCTAAAAACGATACCAAATTTTAATCAGCATAAGAAAAAATAGTACAAAAGCTTTGATGAAAGGAGATATTAAATGTCATACAAATTAAAGTTTAGAGCAGCGTATCTGGATCAGACTGTGCTTCATTTGATAAAATCAAGACTTATGGAGTTCTTGGAGAAATGATAAAGGGAGCTTTCTGTCAGAAAGTTTCAAAAAGAAAGGTGATGAAGACTTGGGGAAGTCAGACTTGCTATTTTAGACTTGAGGATGTTTTTTCATGGTCAGACTGCATAGAACGATAAAATGAAATGCATATTCTGACAAGTAACGCGCTTCAGAGAGCTTTCAAATGTAGAATGGCATATAAAAGTGATCGATCAAATGGAAATACCTTTGACCCATCAAGTAGAAAAGTAATATGGCACTCAAGAATGAAATTAAGTAGGTTAAAAATGAATCCACTGTTCAGACAAGTGTAGAATTTTCCAAATTCAAATTTTCGATTATTCACTTAATATTCTTCTTGACAATATCAGGGTACTATAAAGTTTTAAAGAAGCTAACCACCTCAGACTATCACTTTCAAATTAGCCTTTTCAGTCCTGTCTTCTTTATAGATCATTAAAAACTGTTTTTCCTTGTATTCATTATCTCTTCAAGAGAGCACTGCACAAACTTACCAGCCTATCTTTCATGTGGTACAGAAAACTTCCTCCATAAGTCGTCCCATCCAATGGCCATCCAACTGTGTGAAGAACAGAGCCTGGCTCATGTTTTTCGTCCTCGATTTCCCACACCTGATAAAACCAAATTATATGAGATACAAATATTAATAAATGAGAAACATCTGCTGCTGTATAAAACTGCAGAGTAAAAGGTACATTTATGTAGAGTCAGTTATCATAAAACAATAGTTTCTACATTCAAAAAAAAAAATCAGAAACTCTCATCAACTATGACTCTTCAAACAAAAGTATTCGACTGAACGTTTTTTTTTTAACATTATGAATCAGGGTTCATGTAACGAATGTGGGCGTGTTCACTGCTGATCATATCATCATCAGCTGTCCACGTCACATAAATCTAACATCTTCCTAGAATTATGAATTTTAAATATGAGCACCTAAATGATGCCTTATCTGTGCAATTAGATAACAAGTTAGAATCGGAATAGGCTGGGTTATCCGAGATAACCCAGCTATCCGATTTTGATAAGCTTGGATGGATAAGTGAGTCACAAGAGTGCTGGTTAGACCTAAGCAGAGATAAAATCACAACCCTATTCAACCAAAGTTGTCGAATGGTGGAACTCAGCCTGCTTAACACATCTCACCCATTATCAAACTAAAAACCAAATTAACCTAAATTAACTTATGATGGAGTGATATCACTGTTAAACTGAAAGTCGAATAAACTGTAAACCAGAAGCAAAGCAAGGTTAACATAGTTAATCCTAACCTATAATCAAAACGCCCCATGGGTGTTTAATTCGTAACAACAATATGCAACTCCTTAAGAATGCACAGACATTCACAATGAGAGGTGGAGAACATATGGAATATCAGACAGACAAGGAATAAATGGAAGAAAGTATTGAGGGAATGATATTAAAAAAATAGTTACCGATGTTGTTATGCTAGAGGCAATGATAAAAAATTCCAAATTACCCAACATAAGGAGGTATAATATATATTGCTAATTTCCCTCAAGAGTGATTTATAGAGATATGTTCCCAGCAATGAAAGTGTGCAAACTGTGCAAACATTATCAAACAGTGTGATCTCCAAGAAAGCTCTAATTCACTCAAGGAGATCATGCAATTAGATACAACTGTGCAAACTGTATCCAGAGGTTAAGTCAAAAGTCCCTCCTTTGTAATTGATAAAAAATTAAAGGGAGCCTTCCGAATTCCAAAGACAGGTTCTCCTCTTCCTGACACTGACATCTGCCTTTATAGTAATAGACGAATCTCATCCAGTAAAATTAAAAAGAGTCGTAAAGAATCTTTCCCATATTTTTGCCATGAATCGTATAGGCCAAACTGTTGAACCTTGAAATTTGATTTTTGGAGGTTTCTTGTATTGAACTCTACTCCTACTTAATACTAGCATTCTGCAGGACTTTAAACAGCTGATGTGTCTGACATTATGACTTTGCAGAAGTACCAACTTTACTGTCAAGATAGGTTATATCACCAAAGGCAGCAATGAGAAATTTATCTTTGGATTTGATAACAAAGTACCACCGGACTGTGTGTGGTTAAAAAGTGCATAATCCAGGCAGCATATGTGAGAGAAAAATGCTAAATGGAGAAGGACAATGAATCTAAATTACCTCTTTAATGCCAATGGCATAAGTCTGGTGTTGTGCAAGGCTCTTCTCTCGTAGATTGAACTTCCCAATAATTTTCTGGAAATAAAATATCTAAGCTATGTGCTAAATAAATTAACTTTAAACATCTACATACAGAAATGCATTTTTTCAGTGATCAGTGGTAAGGAATTTAACCAATCAAAAGAACTTATCATCAGACCTCTGATAGTGAACCTCTGCATCCTTCAGCAAGAAGTGTGATACGTCCTGCATCACCATTTTGCAGTCAGCATGTTCTCACTAACTCTGAAATGACAAATTTGTGGGAAATTAATTCGATAAATAAATGGAAATATGGAGTTTTTTTGGTAATATAACTCAACAGAATGAAGGAGAGTCTTTTTAGGCCATGCTCCAGTTCGGAGAGAAATAATGAGAAAAGATCTATGAAAAACACAGCTTTTCATAATAGACCAACCGCTTATAGAGAATGGACAGGAGAAACAAAAACATGAGGCAGAGATCAAAACCCAAAATTTCCACCATGATTACGGTTGAGAATTGATCTTGATTGAGATTCTTGCAACTTGGAGAATAAAAAGGATTCGATCTTCACGATCCTCATCTTCCAGGAAGATGAACCAGTCACCACTTCTTGGAGCATAATTTTCGCAATCCCAAAATCTTTTATCAATTATCTTGGTTTTCTGCTTAAGTAAGGTTACATGAGTTAATGGGCCAGGCCCATTACATGTCTTTAAGTGGATCTGTTAACAGTCTAATGGATCCACTTTAAGGGAATGACAAAGAAGAACAAAAATACAGTGAAAAGAAACGGATAGAAAGGAAAAACAATCCTAGAGAGTTCAACAATTACGAAAACAAAGATGACGCTCATAGAAGAATCAGTAATGCAAAATATCAATCTTCAAAAAGTTAATAATAATGTATAAATCAAAATAAAAGAAGTGATGAAAGAAATGGGTTAAAAATCACAAAGCATTTAATCTCATGTAGTGAATGAATCTGCAAATGACCCCAGTATTACTTGATCACATAAAAGGAAATAGAAAAAATGTTGGCAGCTGATGAAAGGTAACAGTTTATATCAATCAATCATGAAACCTAAGCCACTTGTTTTATGCCATGACTTTCAGTGGACAAGAACATAATGTTCTAAAATTTATAATGGGATCAATATCACAACAAAATACCAACGAAAATACTGGTGAACATAAAAATGCTTCGTATAGAGACCTTTGAGGTCCACACCATGCTGAAAAGTTTCCCTTTTTGAACCATCTTTAGCAATGCCCATATCATTTGTTCTGATGCCAACAACCTTGTGGTCTTCATCATATAAGATCTGCCAAGTAGTCACACTCAATCAAAGCTGCCAAGACTTCCACCTTGAATAATACACAAATAGATCAGATACCTCACTAGCAGCGAAACCTGGATAGATTTCAACACCCAAATCCTCAGCTTTGCTGGCCATCCAACGGCCTAGCTGGCTCAAGCTGTAGATATCCAACATCAACAAATTATAGCTCACAATTAAAAAAAGGTCAAGTGCTCAAACACTCTTAAAGTGCTTAAAAAGGTAAATAAGTTAAAACAGAGAGGTCAAGCTTGAATAAACAAATCAATTTCAAATAAATAAATAAGAGTCGACACATGATGCAAACGATTCTGAAGAGAACAATTTCCAGGCTCCCAAGAAATGGTACTTAAGTACAATTACTGGTAAGCAAGCACATGAAGATGAAAATATTTTGAAAGATATGAAACACAAAGCTCAGAACCATGCAGGCGTTGGAAAAGTTTTACAGACCTAAAGTGTAATTCGCGGTCCAAAAGGAAGACTGGCCTCTGAACTTTGAACAGAAACTATAGTTGGATCCCATATACAGGTTAATAACATGAATAGTTTCTTATTATTTAAAATAAATGCAATACTACACTACTATGTGATGACAAAGCCAGTTCAGCAGCTGTTACGGCACTCTTCTATTCTCTCACTGCCAACTGCAGCCAGTTGTGCTCTCTCCTTATCTTCATCAACTTTTTCTTCTTATCTTCTTCTTTTTCGGCCCTACCCCCTTATCAATGTTGCCTCGCCCAAAATCAGCCAGTCTAATATATTATCAAAGTTTTGAGTATTTTTAACTATATTGGTACCATAGAATCCAATCCAAATCGGCCAGTTCGGATTGGAACCAACCTAGAAGGAAAACTGCACGAGGGGACCTTTAAAAGCATCCCCTTTCTTTCCCCATCTCCTCCCTCTATCACTCCATCTTTCATGGCAGGTTAAATGTCGCTGCGTGTGGCTATGTGGACTGGTTGGTGTTCACGACAAAGATATTCACATCAATATATGGTGCATTTCATGCACGTAAATGAAAATTCCAGGGCTATATTTCAGGATAAATAGGTTAAAGGGATATTAGAAAATAAACAGCAGAGTTAACCCAAGAAACGATAAAATTCCCTACAAATTTAAGAAATTAGATCAAATACTTCTTGAGACATCTGTAGTTTTCTTAGTCACATGTATCTAGGCAATGAATTTGGTTAATCAATCTTGATCCACTGTGGTCGTGCGGAAACAGGGCTCTCAAAATTATGAGGTCACTTTGCAGATGCGAACACAGTTAAGTCAACCTGGGGCTTGAAGACGTCGATTCAGGTCAAAAACAAAAATGAAACCCTGGAAAAATACAAGCTTAGAAAATGAAAAACAAAAGCGAAAGCATGAAATAAAATCTCCTCGAACCAAAATCCATGCATGAAATGGCTCTCACTTGAGGAACATTCAAGCTAAGAAAAAAAATTGGCATCATCATCATCAATAAGCATGAATTACGATAACTAGACAGTAAAAATCAAACCAAAATAATGAAAATAAGTGCAAAAAGCTAGAAGCTAGCATAATTAACCTCAGCATTATCCACAATCTAAATTACGATTTCACAACCTTATTACATAGTTCCCTTTGTTATCAAATGGGCATGGAAGTGGCACTGCATGGTTCCTCGTGAGAAAATAAAACTTATCAGAAGAAACTGATACTTCAATTGGAGCCTGCAAATTTTTGAGAGAGATATCAGCACTGAGGAATTACACCATTCCATTTGATCTCATAAGAAGCATTTATTCAGTTACTGAGTAATAATTGACGGCAGTGTTAATTAAACAGATAGATTCAGCTTTTACCCCCTCATGTCGCCACTCTGGAATAAGCTCATCCAAAGCACGAGTCTCAAAAACGTTCCCTGATAAGATATGTGCACCTGAAAAATGACCAGACATTTAAAATGAAAAGCAGATAAGAACGCATATTTCATGATTAAAACAATGCAACCTTAGACAATATTACGCTATGGAGTCACCACACTTAAAATTATATCTATTCGAATTTTAAATTCAAACATATTGACTTGGACACCAATGGCGTTCATGCTACACAAGAGCAGCCGTCTTCAGTTATTTGTCCTGCAAAAGATCCAGAACCTCACTCCCTACGAGAAATATCCAACCACTTTCCCCTTTCTTCCACTTTAGAATGCAAAGCAGCTCAAAGAATTTCTGTTTTGTCAGTTAATTTTACATAGAAAGAAAAAAGGAAAGCAGTTTCAAAAGAAATATATTAAGCTTTAGAAAATTTGAACGAAAACTGCAGAGGATGTGTTGGAATATGCATCAATTTCGTTATAGAGAATATTACAATTTTTATTATGCCATATCAATGTGTATAATGCCATGCCGAATAGATATTAAGAAGCCAGGTGAAAGTTCATCCCGTACCATCACGATCAGGTATAATTCACGTCATTCTATTATTTGGGACAAGTCATCTAAGATCTTTAAGCATTTTGAAGTACTGCTAGTTTTACAAGTCAAACTATTGTGTTTAGAATTTTAGATATACTAAGTATTATGCAAGTGTCCCTTGGTCTGACATAAATGAACACATTGTCAGTAAAGGAAAGGAGGAAAAGTATGAGGCAAAGACCACGAGGCCGTGCTTCATATAACGGTGTTCAATAATATATATTGTATATGTATAACATTTAACCGTGAAACACAAGAAATTGATATTTTCAACACGAGGGATTTTCTCCATAAATTTGAGCCCACCTAAAAGTTTATCGGTTATTTCAATTGAAAGCTAGTTGAAAATAAATGCATTAAAATTAATTTCATATTTTTAAATATCACTCACATTTTTCGTGAATTTCCACAAAAAACTTGCTTCGAACTCCAGCGGTCTCCTGAGAAACATGTTTCACTCCAACTCTGAAATGATAATTTTTAATAATTTCACAACACCATATCTTTCAAAGGTCAAATGATTCAGCACAGCTAGTTTTGTCTCCCTCTCTGTCACAGTCTTAATGCATAGGTTCTGTGAAAAATTATGACTTACATCACTAAAATGGTGATTTTCCTGAAAGAAAAGGATTGAGCCTCTAGGAAGATTTTAGCTTCTGAAAGGATAACAAAAATTTTATCAAACAAATTTTACAGCATATGGTCCTAATAACCTAGTTATTTTACCATAACTTTTGATGTCGATAGCACATCTTCTGACATTCTTATATATTGGACAGTAATGGGGTGCTTGCTAATATTCTACGATAACAAATATTGCTAGTTATTTACTAAAGAAGATTCCTCTTGGATACATGGGGACTTTACAAAGATGAAACATATGTCAAGTTTTAGGCTGTAGTATCACTATCCATCCACATTGTTTACATGATATAGGTATATCAAAAAGGCATATGTTCGTATGACTTGGATTCCACTTTAGTACAGTAGCAGTTTACATGCATCCACACAAGTTTAAATAATCTTCAAAATGTGGATATGCTTTTGTACAATTCGTTTTTTCCTGCATGACCAATAATAATTGCTCCTTCCTTCACCTTTAGAAAAACATGTAGACGCAGCATGTGCTTCCCACAACCATTAGTAGCCTTCTTTTGGACATTATGATTGATCGTTGATTAACTTACAAGATAGATGGAGGAACTGGAGATCCTTTTGAACAACCTGTCCTAATAGGAAAGTCCTACATACTTAAATTAATTCATCAAGTTGATGATAAAATCCATGGACGTTCCAGTGGACATTATGCACTTGTTACACAACAACCCCTTAGAGGAAGGGCAAAACAGAGGGGACAACGAGTGGGAGAAATGGAAGTTTGGGCTTTAAAAGGATTTGGTGTTGCAGAATGCACCTTCTCTTATTTTTTATCCTGTTCTCATCGGAATCAATCATAGCATGCCAGACATTAGAGGCATTATGAGAAAACACGACCAAGTCCCCCCACCCCCCAAAAAAGTAAAAATAATATATATATTAATGACAAGAGTAAAATATATATATAATAAGAAATGATGACACATTAAATGAATGTTCAATTGATAGTAGTTTTCACTGTATTATAAACTAGAAACACCTACCATGGAGTATATAAGCAGAAAGAAGTCATAAGCAAGTCTAATTCAGTCAATCTGGGATCAGCTAGGGCTCCATGATCAAAGTTTTGTTTCAAAAAATGACAGAATATTTTGTGAAGCTTTTAATCAATTGCCCGGCCTGAAATAAACACTCTCTGAAGCAATGCAGATCGAATAACATCTAGTCAGTATATCCTCCAATAGTACTATCTAGCCTGTAGAACCCACCATACCAGAAAGAGTCGCTTTCGGACAAAATAAAAGATATATGAAGAGTATATATTCCTTTACTGACATTCACGTTCGGTGTTTCAGCACACGGTAGAATAAAGGAAATAACTGATCGACAGCAAGGAGTCCTTACCCACTTCTGCTCCTTTCTCCACTACGCAGACTGATAGGTCGGTCCCCTGTTCCTGGCACATCTGCTTCAGCCGGATGGCCGCCGACAGCCCGGCGGGCCCCGCACCCACGATAACCACATCATAGTCCAGATATTCCCGGCCACTTGATTCGCTGCTGAAGCATCTCCATCGGCCGTCTCCGCAACAGAACCGGAGAGGCCCCGCTTGGCCGCGGAGGTGAAACGGGAAGTCGACGGGCGACCCGGTGCGCGGGGGAGCAACACTAGGACAGGGAAGGTCCGACGTGGCCCCAGGCAGCGGTCGACTCGCTGGAGAGGTGCTCTCGCCCTTCCCGCGATCACATGATGGAGGTCCTGAGAATGAGGGGACTCCGGGCCACAGGATCGGAGCCCGGAGAGTGTTTGATCGGAACACACGGCAAAGTCGGAGCATGGCTATCCTGCAGCAACGAAGGACGCATCCTAAGCGAGCGAGATAGAGGTGGGGAGAGAGAGAGAGAGACGTGCCAAATTCTGCGACTGCGGCCACCTAAGCTCTTATCCGCAGTGTCTCCCCACGCATTTTCGCGTTGGCGTCTCTGATCGCATCACCGCAGGTGGCGAAGATGGCAACAACAAGAACTGTCACACCTTCTCACGGCCGCCGCGGCCTTCGCCTTCCGCCTTCCGCCTTCCGCCGTCCGCAGCTTCCCCCTCCACCTTCGTGGGAGTCTGCGATCACCGGTCGCATTTGAAAACCCCCCAGTGCCACAAAACAGATCGCCAAGAAGAAGACGTGGAGAACACGTGGCACAAGCTGATAAGCACACCTGGCAATGGCACAGTACCAATCTTACGAACGTTGTTAATATCCAATTAAACACCAAAACATAAGCTTAAATTAGGAAAGATAAATAAATAAATATATTAATTATTATTATTTCTTTTAATTCATCTTCTAGTGGTGAATTCGTCACTAAAATATGGCCGATAATATTCTGACCAAAGAGTTGAATGAAGTGATGAAGGAGACAAAAGAAATAGAAAATAAATTATCCACATTATTTTACTAATCTTAGCTGTGAATAATTTTTTTGGGATGATTGATTTCACAATTTAAAAAAAAGGGGGGGGGAAGGACAAGTGATAGGTAGATAGATAGCTAGAGAGAGAGAGAGAGAGGGAGAGAGAGAGAGAGGTGCTCTCATCTTCTAGTTTTAGTAAATAGGAAGAAAATAAATTATCTACCTAAATTTTGTTGAAAAAATGATTGAAATAGTGAAAGCTTAGAGATCTACCCTTGGAGTGGATCCCATTAAAGATGGACGAAACATATGGACAACTATCTAATGTAAGAGGAGCAAAAAATAAATATAAATTGAATGCTGGCCACATTGATACCTACTATTATCATCTCCACATTATTACGTCTGAAACATCATTAAAATCGGATTTTCTTGGCATTTTTTTTATAATCTTGTTATTTCCTTATTAGCCATGATCTTGAGCCAATCCTCCAAAATACTTGAAGAAAATGTAGGAAAATTATTCAAATAATGTCCGCATACTCATGATGCTTGATTGTTGATGAAGGTTTAGAAGCATTTTTTACACTATTAATGCTAAATATTCTTGAGACTATTTGATGGATCTTGAGCAAGTTTCATGGGTTTGATATAAAAGGTTAGTGTTAATTTTTGATCTCTTATATGGGAAGCTCTTCCTAGCACAATAAATAACAAAGGATGAGGAGGAAAGGCCACTTGTTTCATACCTTCCTCTTTATTTTTTTAATCTAATTTTTTAGCACTTTCATAAATAACCTAAAATTTCTCCTCAATTTCTTTTCCTGTCTCAGAATTTGAAGTTCTTCTAAATTCATTAGAATCTAAAGCACATATGAACTTGTTTTTTTTATGTCTGTTGCATTTAATGTCAACATTCTGTTGATTTCTTTAGAGGAATAATATAATCATCTTGATTGAGCCATTTTCTATAGACTAAAATTAGCAATTTTGATGAAGATATTCATTATAATTTTTCAGTTTGTGTTGTTTAATCTTATAAATAGGGAAACTATTTAGAAGAATTATCTAAGATAGTAGCCATCAATCTACTTAAGATGTTTGAATCTTTGGATAATGTAGGCTCTATTATCACTTCAATGGTTTCCCTAATAAGATAAAAAGTGTTTTATCTGAAGAGATTAATTAGTTCATAAGGTATTTTAATGTTTTTATTTGATTTTAAATTATTATTATTCTGAATTTCAATGCTAATGATAAGTAAGTTGACATAAGACTTTGTAAGTTGACACATAATTTTGTTGGTCAACACAAGATTCTTTAGGTTTAAACATGCCTTGGCTTGATTACTATATTGGGAAATATTAAGAACACAAAGATTTACAATGGTTCAGCCTTTTCCTGATCTATGCCCATATTCCAAATATCTTTTTTTTTTTCGGTTTCTACCATATATTCTCTCTAATAATATAATAATCCAACTTTTGTATCTAGATCTTTATTGAAAACATTGTGAAGTCCGCATCTCCCCTTTTATCTCTTTCTCTCTCTTATTTTACCCTCAAATGTGAATAGATGAAAGTCAAAATAGTTTGCTGCATGTAGAGAGAGAGAGAGAGAGAGAGAGAGAGAGAGAGAGAGAGAGAGAGATTAAAAATACCTCAGAATAGTAAAAAAAAAAAAAAAGGTCCATAGTGCTTATTTCATGTAAGAATATGAAAAAAATAGGCCTTTTTTTATCTTACATAAATTTCCTGGTGGGGTAGGTAGGGTCAACCGTCTTCTACCCTTCAAAAAAAATAAAAAAATGGAGGGCGAGTTGACCCATATGAACATCAACCTTATTTTCTTGGAAATATGAGCGCATAAAAAAGGATAAATGGCGGAAGTCAATAACTGTTCTCCAAGATAATAATATTATGGCGTCATTTAAATTGCTAAAAAGGGGCGACCCTCCCCGCCTCATCCTAGCATAGGGCTCAAGAAATGATTATGACGGATTTTTTTTCCTTTATTTAATATATTAAAAATTCCATGTTACTTTTGACGGAGAAGCTGAGGGACGTAGATTTCATCCTGCATGAGGCGCAGCTAGCCAGCTGCCATCAACGAGAATTTTACCTGCCCTTCAGCGGCGGTAGCGGCGGCGGAAACGACGGCGACGACGACGGCCCTCGTCATCCTCCCTAATCATTCAGCTCGCTTGTTGCTTCCGGTCTTCTTCGGTCGGTCCTTCTGATTGATACCCCCCCACCCCCCCCGCGCAGCCCCTAATCATCCTCTCAGTGATGCCTGCTTCACCTCCGGCGGCAGCATGTACGGGTTCTCAGCCGCCGATGGCTTCGTGGACGGTAACCCATCGCCGCCGCCCAGTCGCTTCGTCTCTTCTCTCCTCCCGCATCCTCTGATGTTCTTCATCTGTTGTCGGGTTGTGCTTCGGCCGGCAGTGAACCAGGGCGTGGAGGATATGATAAGGTATCTGGCGAACGAGCCCTCTCTGGGCCTTTTCTATGTGCAGCAGCACGCGCAGAACGCCATGCCCAACGTCCTCGATCTGAACGTAATCGGAATGCGCCCCCCCCTCCTTAACTTTCTTTTTTTCTTCTGGTTATGCCCCCTTTTCTCTCGGAAAGATTCCTGTTTTCTGCTGTGATTCTTGTGCTGTTGAACTCTGAAGCTGCGAACTGATGGTTTCATGAGACATTGCTTCCTGGGTCGCTCCTCATGATGCCCTTCATAAATCGGATAACTAGCCAGGGATGGATGATCTGCTGTTGGAATTTGGTTTTCTAGGAAGAACATTGCAAGATTCCTGGCTTGGGATTGTATGCTGTTTGACCATCGATCATCAGATTTTGGTTCACATTCATTCTTATTTCTTCATGTTGGCCATTTTTGGTAAACATAGAACACCCTGATCATGCAGATTTTAGGGTTAATTCTTGCCTAGAATACTGATAACGGATGCCATTAACCTAGGAATCACTATGCAATTCTGATAAATTTTTTTTGGGATGCTTTATATTGCTTGATCTTTTACATCTATGAGAGGATTTCGGAGAGAGAAAAGAGAAAACTCTCTTCGGCCATAACTCAAAAGCCCTGTGCCTTTTCAGTTGCCTTGTCTCACTTTCTTGCTTACCATTTATCTGTGAGTAGGATCTTACGTCTGATTTCACTCTTCTGAGTCATGTGGGGAAGAAGCTACACACGAATGCTATCATCCTTGTATCTTTGCTCACAGATGATCGTTTTCTGTCGTGGTTTTCTTTGATGGTATTGGTACCCTAGCTGGATCATTTCCTTGACCTAGACCAATGGTTCATTTCCTTGACCTAGACCAATGGTTTTCTTATTATTATTATTTTTGATTTTTTCTACGGTTATTATTATTATTATTATCAGTAGTATCCTGCGACCCAAGTGACTATTTATTATGAAAAAAAAATTTACGATTTTTTAAAAAAAATGTGGAATCTGATCACCAAATACAATGCATGAGCTACAACATACTTGCTAGAACACCTGCTCATCAGTTCAATTGCAATTGGGGAAAAGAAAATGCTTTTAAGATGTTTCTTGGGGAAGATTGAATTTGATACTTACCTAGTGTTTTAGATCTTTTTTACAGACGAAAATGACATTACCCATACTTGAAACTGTTTGAAAGGATTAATTATAAGTTAAGTCTATGAAGCTTCTTGGGAGATATATTCATAAAGTGAATAAGTTCATAAGAGCATACATTTACAGATAATGGTCTCATGATACAGTATATAATAAGAAATGGTTTCCTTTGGCTCTTCTGACCAATCGGGTTGCTTCTTTTAGGATAAAATTCTGGAGAAAACCCATAACACGATGCTGCAAACTGAAGATCTGGAGGATTCAATATGCTGTGTTAAATCAATGTCAGAGTGTGGCTTCCACATTGTTGATGAAATGGTCAAGGACATCAACAAATCTCTGCATATCATGTCCACTTCTCGACCACGCAAAGGGTATGTTCTAACCTCGCAGTATGACTGATACTTTTTCCTTGAAAAAAAGATCAAACAATGAGATTTAACTGTACCTATTATGGGAAAAAAAAAAAACTGTGCCTAATATGGATCTCCGAGTGAGGTTATGTATGAAAAAAAAAGAAATAAAAATGATGTAATTGGTCAGAGTCGGCCAGAGTGTCATCAAGTGTGTAAATAGTATTAATTTTCAGTCTAGGCCAGTATTTATCCATAATTGCACCTATAGTTTTGACTTTTTATGGGCATTGAAAACTATTGAAGAAGATGATTGTGCGACTGTGGTTCCTTCTGTGGAACGTCGTTTTTAATTGACCAGAAGCAGATGCAGAAAGGTAATAGAGAAGATTAGGTGGCTATGCTGTGTCGATTGCAGCCTCTTTGGCCATCTGAGGTGCAGCTTGTTGGTGCCTAATCTCAGCTAGAGTTCAAGTGATGATCTAAGAAATGAGAACTATAGTGAGTTGAGCAAGGCTGCTTTAGGAAACTGCCAGAAACGGCCCAACTTCTAAGTGGGCCCTTTCAATATGCAATTAGTTTACTGAGATCTGCATCTGGCTCTGACAGATAACATCTAAGTGGGAACCTGATCATAGGCCTGTTAAATACTTGATATTTGGCAGATTAGTCAACAGCACAAAACCCTGTGGGACCTTGTAAACCCAACTCTGCTTGCTCCAGATGATCCCGAGTTGACTTCCCCATTCACATGAATTTGACCTAAAAGAAAATGGTCTGATGATTGTCGCCAATCTTCTTCTTCATCTTCTTCTTATTCTTTCCTTTTCCTTTTTTATGAAGCACAGGTTACTTCGGAGTTCAAGTCGGGGTTTCCAGGTGGAGAGAGGCAACTTGCAGGCGTTCTCTTCATTCAGCGAGTTTTCCGGCCGCGGCCAGCTGGAGGTTGGAGATGGCCGAGGCGGGTATCTGTCAGCTGTCTTCAGCTCAGTGAAGCAGAAAGCCGCCATGCTTCGATGGTCTCAGATCGATCCCATGCTGCAGAGCAGGACACCGGCTTCTTCATCTGCAACTCCCTCATCGTCAATGGGAGAGGAGGACCCTGTGGGGGCCGCTGCTCCAAGCTCCTTGGAGATGGAAGGAGATGGGCTTCCCTTGTCAAGCCAGATTATTACCCTGGGAGATGACACAGTGCCAGATAATTTTGAGAAGTTCAAGTCAGAGCAAGAAGCCAAGCTGAAGGAATGGCTAGAAGAGGTCCAAGATCATGGTCCCTCAACCCCCCAGGGGGCTCTGGCTAGCTAGCAGCTGCTTGCTTCCTTGTGAATGAGATGATGACATCTTCTTTATGCAAATTTCTGGGTCTTAATAATGTTTCTCTAATCAATTAAATGACTGGGTAAATGTTTATTACACGGAATATGTTAGTAAAATCAACATGTTTCAACATGTTTACCATATCTGTCAGAGGAGAGGAGCCATGAGCTGCGGCCATTTTCTTCTGTACAGAGGGCGACTGGCCATTAGAGCAGCACCATGGGCAACAGACAAGCTACACGAGTCCAGAGGCCAATGCATCCTCTGAGTCCACCTTCACCTGCAAACCCGAAGGAACCAACCATCAGAAGCTCTCCTCCTCCTCCTCCTCCTCAACCCGAGGTGGGGGGGATTCTTATCAGTCAAGTGAAGGATGTATGTACCTGCTTGAGGTGGTCCAACAGGGCTGCTTTCAGTAGGCCCTTGAGTTTGTGGGATTCGTCGACCAGGCGGCCTGAGTTCTGGGCCTCCTCAAGTTGACACCAGAGGCGCTCGATTGCTGTGTATGGGAAACAAATTGCGGACGTCCTCTTCCTCTTCACAATTTCCGTCGGTCTCTGTGCATATGATTGATAGATAGAGATAGAGAGAGAGAGAGAGATCATTGAGCATGCGGCAGGGGATGGGAAGGAAGGGAAGGGAGTGGGAGCAGATTGAGGGTTGTACCATGGAATTAAATGCCTCGAGATATTCAAGCAGCAATGTTGTTGCTTCTGAATAGCGGCTATAGTCGATGTACAGCCGGAGTAAGGCTGCAGGGTCTGCTTCTTGGCCAGTCATACCCCATGTTCTTCTTCCACCCTGTCGCATTTTTCAGATGGGCTTCAGATCCAGCCAAACATAATAAGAAGCAAAACAGATCATTCCACAAGGCAAAAAATAGAGCATGGCATGGTTCGGTATGATTCTTTCTACCAGGGCCAGGAGCAGACCTTTCTCCTTCTGGCATCCCTCTACTCCCCAGCAGCAGTCTCACCCTCCCCGTGTCCATTAGTGACTACCCATCTAAGGCATTCAGGTGCACTATGTAGGGGAAAGGCTGGAGATAAAAGGGGGTTTAGAGCTTGCCCTGTTTTAAGCAAGCGATTTCCTTTTTAAGCAGCAAAACTCTACATAATTTGTGACTTTACTTACCCCTACTTACCCCCCTAAGAAATTTATTCAAGATATAAAGGGCCTATCTCCTTACATGAAATAAGCACTCTGGACCCCTTTTTTACCATTCTAAGGTATTTTTAATCCCTCTCTCTCTCTACATGCAGCACACTATTTTTTACTTTCATCTATTCACATTTGAAGGCAAAATAAGAGAGAGCGAGCAAGCGAGAGCGAGAGCGAGAGAGAGAGAGAGAGAGACAGAGAGAGAAAGAAGGGGGGATGTGGATTTTACAATGATTTCACAACTCGCCCTGCGCTATTGAAGTCGTACACAACTCTACATCTCCCATGTGAATGGAAAGAGAACTCACCTTGAACATGCGAACGAGCCAAAGGGGCAATTCAATTTGTGGGTCGGTGTGCAACAGCGTCTCAGCAACAGTCACAGGTAATCTTGGATGAAGCTTCTGGTATTTCTCCTGAGGGCGTGTGCAGAGATAGCTAAAGGTGAGTATGCACAGCATAATTTCATGGGCATTGTTAATAACAGCAAAGTAAATGGGAGCATAGAATCAGATGCAAAAAAAATAAATTGTTCATACAAATGTTCTGACTCGTACTGTCCGGTGGGGGGTGGAGGCTGAGGAGGTATAATCATAAGAAAGGGTTGTTTCCATTAAATTCATTACATGGAACCAGATTTCGCAATCTGTCAAACACGATCTGTCTGAAAGGCAGATTTCCAGATCTCTTTTCTCTCTCTAGAAAGAGAAGGGTTGACAGATGTTCCAACAAAACGTGGGGAGATTCGGTTTGATAGAAACCAGCCCAATAAAATTACCCAGCACAAAAAATCAAGTACTTATAAAGCCCAAGGTTCCTAATTAGGACATGCTGGGCTGGCTTAAATCAGATCTGAATTGGTTTTCTTCCAAGGCTACGAGTCCCACTGCTGAGTAAATTTCACTAAAAAGATTGAACCCCTCTGACTTGACACAAAATACATACAAGGGATTGACTTTTTAGTGGATTGCTTTGTCAGTATACTGTAACTGGTTCCTCCAAGGTTCGAATCCTAGGTAGTAGTACAGAAAAGGGCAAATCTCATTCCACACATCTACAGGGCAGAACTTGAGAGCTACGAGCTGCTTTAATACTGCCAACTCCTACTGTAGTTCCTGAACCATGTCAGCGACTTACGAGAAGGGAACCTTTGACAGTATTGAAGAAACTATTTGTCACGACAAACTGAGCTACAAACTGGAGTAGCTGCCGAAGTGAGAAAGCGATGTTACTAAAGCAACTGGTCACAAGATAAAAATAAAAACTAATATGTCTTCTTACGAGATAAAGTTCAAGTGTTTCCCATTGCACGTTCGCCCTGGGCTGATAAATCACAGGACCATCTGGTTTTCCATTGCTATACGTTGCGTCTTTGGTAGATGTTAACAGAAGACCGTGCATTGTGTCAGAACTAACAAAAGAAGACAGAGTAAATGGTCAATGAGTTCTCTCCCAAGAGAAACTTAATTTGCAGAGAAGAACATTCGCGAGGAAAGAACAAAGAAAGTTTAAACTACCCAGGAAGTGCGGAGCCTGCTCTGTTCTCACAACATTTCTCTGACATAGCAACAAATACCCTCTCCAGTTCTCTGCAGAAATCACCATTTCGTATGCTAAAATCAATACATTTTCAGGGGACAATAACGGGTGAAGTTTTCAAAATCTTGAAACATGCCTTTTTAATGCAGAACCCTGACAGAATTTAAAGAGAACTGTAAAGGCCATATCATAAAAGTTTGACTGAACCAGAGTGTCAACCATTTTTTCTAGATGCATTACACTTCCTGCACGAAAAGACGAAAAAAAACTTAATAAAACATAGGGTTCACCATTGCTAAAATGTACATAACTCAAGCCTATTAAGTATCAACATGCGATCATACCAGCAAATGTAGATGTGTCTTTTCCTTGGGCAAGTAAATACTGTGCTGAGGCAAGAACATACTCTTTTTCAAGATTGGCAATATCTACGTAATCGTTTGCAGTCCACGATGGATTTTCACCAGCAACAGAGGCTGCAAAAATAGAGATATGAGGAATCTTCCTAGGTACTCACAAGCAAAAAGGAAATTTTTATTGAAAAATAATTTTCAAACGTAACTCTATAAGAAAATTTATGGGTTGCTACCAAACCCTACAGGAAAGAGATTGGTGTTGATAGAAAAAGAGGAATCTCCCAAGGAATTCTGTAGAATCCGTTTAAATTGTATATACAATAATACACAGAAGAGAGTTGATCAATGAAAGTTGAAGACGTACTTCTGTCCACAAGCACTTTACGTGCTCTTTTGTTTGGTGAATATTGATCAGAAAAGTAGTAATCACCATGCTGAGAATCTATCCATGCAAATGCTGGATTCACAAGTTTCAGAGCACTGATAGCCGCAGAAAGTCCCCATATTCTCTCTTCAAATGCTGAAGAGGGCTGCTGTTGTTCCTTAACGTTTGTTTCTGTTCTCAAGCGTACTGTATACCTGTACATATAACTTGCTGCCCTTCGCCAGTTGCTACGATGTGATTCAAAAGAATAAAGTAGCTTGTAGAGATTTGGACTCGCAGTTACATCAGTTCGCTCAGCCTATTATGTTCAGATTGTAGAAGTATAACTAGTTAACATATCTAACGATAGATAGACTATACAGGAAGTAATTTCTCAAGAAAAAAATACTTTTATTTACCTTCCAGAATAGCTCCTGCTCTACTTTCTCTAACAAGCCAACGAACGGAAGGTCACCATCGCACAGGACCTACGGTAAATACAAGGACTCGATCAAGTAGTATACTGAGGAATCGAGAGTAAATTTGCTTGGGGGAAACAGGGAGCAGAAGCAATAGACATCTTATTCAAAGCAAAAGATGTCAGTGGTTGAAACATATAACATAAAATCAAAATAAAAATTGAATTTCATGCATGACTATCTTCAGCAATTATATTAATTGAAAGGCGTTCGAGAAAACTACCTAAGGCATGACTCTCATGACATTTTTGACAAAATGCGGCCTAAAGATCTTCAGGAAAAATATCATTCATATTCTTAGAACGCAGCATATATAAAAAACATACACTCTCCTGATGTATTTCCCTTGATGTTGTACAAGAGAGCTTATCTTCTTTATTGGCAGCCGATTGCGCACAGGTTTATATCTTTTAGTTCATATTAAAATAATGATATTGGCGTCCTATTCTCTAAAGAAAAAACATCCCTGGCATTAGAGTTGCCATGGTTAATGATTTTTCTTCCTTGAACGCATGATGAATTTAATAATAACACCGCATATTAAGTGGTAGATTTTTGTTCAAGAAAACAATGAACAGATAGGGAAGGGTATTTATACCACTCAGCCCACTCCTTCCCTAATGTTTACTATAGAAGCTTCTAGACTGTTCGCTTACAACGAACATGTATCGAGGGGGACTGTATCAGTTTTCAAATAAATGGTTGAGACCATGAGGAGCAAGTTTAAGAAACTTCAAAAACTTTTATTCTCACACCAATATGTTCAAGTAATCACGCCTTATCTACCAAATAAGATGGAATATCAATATCAAAACTTGGAGCATCACAAGATCAAGAAGAACTCGTTGGTATGTCATGCAGGATCTACAAATATTAGATTAAGATAGACCAAAGATCGTTTTATAGGAAAACTACAGGGGCCCGGTCATGCCACATCAACTGGTGAGAAGTGGCGGTGAGAGTGGCAGCAGGTAATGGCCAGAGGGTTTCGCCTGTTCTTCTACCAAAAACATTGGAGCATTTACCTTCTACTGAAAAAATACTGGATAAGCCGTGTAACTGTACCAAAAGTTTCTGTAACTGGTAAATTTCCCTTCCCTTTCTTCATGACTCTGCATACTTGTGTTCCTTCTAAGCATGCATCCCAACAATCATCTGTATTGTGATTCTCTCCTACAATGAGTGTTGTACTCTCCAGTTCATTGACCCAAGAAATCAACTGAATTAGAGTTCGCATGCATTCTGCACCTTCGTCACTCAAAAATTTGTAGTACAGGAACAGAGACTACACTGCGAATAGGATTGCTATAGGTTATATGTTCTAGTAAAGACAACTTTTGTTCACATGAACATTCTTCAAGTGCTTCCTACGGTCCAGCACAAAGGAAACCAATTATTCTCCAAGGATGGAAACACTCATTCCTCCCTCACAGCATCTTCCTCTTGTAACTCACGGTTCAGCATGCTCTATAGTGTATAGCCAAGACCCAAGAAAGTGAAAAGGACAGAAGCATGGCAAGAAACAAAATGGATCGTTTAGGAGCTGTTCCATGAATCCCACCACTCCCTTTCTCCTCCACTTATGTATCACAGGTGATCAATGTGCAAAGAATAACATAGTAAGTAAAACAATAAACCAAAAGAAAAGACTGGGCTGTCATCGATGGGATTACATCAATACAGGAAAAAAGCTGAACTTTTTAAGGGACATTCAATGCTTCCCACAAAGAGCCAGGATAATCATATTAATTTCTGCAATATTAGTCTAAAATGACATGCTGAAACATCTACCAACAAAGTAGCAAGGGAAAATAGGGAGAACATCAAAATGACAATTTATGAGTAGGAAAACCTTGATTGCACCACGCTCACAAAGAACAATTATGAAACGTCTCAGACAGATGTACTTGCTATCATCATCTGGATTTGAAATTATAGCACAGTATGCATCTCTATAAAAGTTGAGGTCTAGCATAAATTTGAAGACATTTGACCATAGTCGCCCTCTAATAGTAGTCACAGATTCAGGGAGAAAATCGTCATCATGGTTGCCATCAGTCAAACTAACAACTTCATCCACTTGCTCAAGAGCAGCCAGAGCAAATTGACAAGCACCTTCACTCATATTATATTGCTCAAAGATTTGCATCGCCCATTGATAGTAATGAAATTTCCACACAGTCGTTGGCTCAGTATCACCTGTAAGGACGAGTGCATTAAAATAGAAGCCAGTACTTACTAAGTTTACCATTTACAATAACTCACCATACCAGTGTGTGACAAACCGGTTTGGAATGAAAGATTTGCCAATGCAAGTGATGCTCCTCCTGATGCAACCCTGTCACGAATTTTTTTATATAATGAAGCTCATCCGTTTCGCAACTAAAACGATATCGTAATGTCAAGATCACTTAGAACAATAGTTATGACGGGAGGAAAGATTAGATTACAATCCGTATATATGGTTTGCATGTTCAACTCTTTATTCTTTCGTTATTGGTCCAGTTACTTATCATAGATGCATTCTTGTTGAGTATATCCTTGTTCAGCATCGATTGCAGGATAGTATGACATAGAAAAATTGATTTATCGAAGGATACCAACCACAGGAGGGATACTCAAGAATAGACAGATAATGATGCCTTCACCAAAGATTATCAAGGAAATTGGCCCTTCTATCTTAAGAGTAGAAAAAATGCCTTTGTTGTTTCTTTCCTGAAATGGTGGAGGGAACAGCAAATTGATAAAGATTTGAAGAGAGGATCGGGCTACATATGTTACATAACTTTTATGTATGTAGTAAACTTTGAGGACGATCAACAACCTGCAGTGTTTAGGAAGAGGTATCGTTGAGAGCATTCCAAACTTTTAATGTGATGTGGGTCAATGCATTAGATTATTAGGGAAATAGCATCAAGACAAGGATCATTAAAATGCTAGCTGTGACTTTTTTTATCATAATAAGCAGCAGTGGATAGAGGAATCTGGTGTAGGGTGACTGCACTTCCTATTCATTGTCACTCAATAATTCTACTGAAAAAGTAAAACACCCTGACGTAAGGGAATCCTCTAATATGTGATTCTTATGTGAATTCATCATTCTGAATGCTTTGAACTATCTTCACTGAGTATTCTCTGATACGTAATATAAAAACCATTTATAATGAAATATCTCTGAGATGTGAAGATTAAAGAGAGATACACCCAACATCCCATAAATAATCACATCAGATTTTAAATGACCAATTAAGAGACTATCAAGCTAGTACAGCGAACATTGATTAATGATGTGTAGACCAATGGCAACGTGGATATTGTTGGGGTCAATGACTATCTGGAACGAATGTGACAAGGACTAAATGACTAGCGGCAATCAAAGGCAACGAGAAGTTGGCTGTGCCCAATTATGATGTAAAAAATTACAACTTCTAGATGAGTGAACATTGCTATGGCTGATCACGTATTTCGCCAAAGAAACTCTCCAAGAGCAGTTCCGAAAGTTCTGATGCAGATAATGACCGATGGTGAAATTTTATGGATAAAAGCGAAAAATGAATATTCTTCGCAGATAGGATACGTATGTAGGCAACATAGGATACGTGCAATTCGCAGATAGGCAACATATGTAGGCTCTGGCAACTGGAATGTTTACGTGTAATTCGTAGAAATGTTGAGTATGTTGGATACAGCAGTTTGAACTCCTGGATATTATAAAAAACAAAAAGAGGGTGTAAAACATTTGAAAAGCACAGATGAAAGGCTCACCTGAAGAAACAGCGGGAAGCTTCTCGAATTTTCTCTTCTTTCATCAACCCATATGACCCAGTGTGTGCTCGCACAAGAAGGCAGAAACCAAGGAGATGAAGACATGCACACCATTCATCATTGGTAGACTGAATGCTCTGCGATTCTTTCTTCATCTTCGAATGAGCATCGGCAACACCAAGAAGGATCTTGAGACAAACATTAACTAAATCAGGTCATAAACTTTCCAACAAAAAACAAATCCAACGAAGAAGACATAAATGTGTAACTAGGAACACCTCGGCAGCTTCGTATTGATCATGAATAAGTAAAGTGGATGCTAATACAATCGCCGAGCTCAAGGTGTATGATCCTACTGTCTTGCCCCATATAATCCGACTGGCAAAAACTGTAACTGGATTAAAAAATTGTCCTGGCTGAGGAAAACACTTTGAAAGGAGGAACCCTTGGTCTTCCAATGAAGTAGGAAAATCAAGCAAAGAGGCCAATGTAATATCAGGGGTACCGAGCTTTCCATCCAACGATCTAATTTCCTTTTTACTGCCTGGAAGAAAAAAAAGAGCCAAAACATAAAATGGGGAATATGGCAACATTAAATTGTCGTTCAAAGCCATAAATAGGTTAGACACAGAGTTCATTAGTAATATATTCAAAATAGGGAAAAAACAGTGTTTCAGCAGGTATGGGAAAATTCCATATTTAGTTTTCCCACTAATAGGAGCACTCAATCAGGGGATAGCATTCATATAGGACAACACAAGTTGGCTCCCACACATTTGAAAAAATGCATACAAAATTATGGAATCTCATGGGGGGAGATTCAAGATTCATGCACAATTTGTAGTAAAAAGTGCAGTAACACAGTATTATCCAAATAACTCCGATATCAGACGTGGATTGTGTGAATGGCGCTGCAATCATCATCCAAAATGTAAATGAGTCTTGAGAACAAGGCTATGAAAGATGTAAGAAAAAAAATACAAAGAGGAAGTTACCTATGTGCAATGATGAAAGACGAGAGCTAAAATCCTCAACAGATGGCGATTCAGTTGGTGTAGTTGTCACAAAGTATATTGTTAGCCAACTAATGATTATATCCTCAACCAATGGAATAAGCTTTTGCCTTATCCTAGCAATATCATTTTGCATCAAATTGGCCTACAAAAAAAAAAAGAAACTGATGAATGGGAAACTAATCCTCTGTCATCGTCATGCGAAAGTAAATTTATCAACAGAAGGTCATAAAAAAACAACTAATTGAGAAGGGTGGTGCAGTTGAGCACTGGGGCAACAATCAAAACAGCACGCAAGGTCATCATCATTTTTTATGCAAATCATCAAAAAATTGAAAGGGAAATAGATAATGAGACCAGATAATTGTAAATCGACTTGATTCTGATGTGAACTATTTGGTTAATATCCAAGTACATCCGGCATGTGGAATGAGACGATTTACAGAAGCCCGACATCACCAACATTTGTTAGAATCTATCACCAGCACCTTCACCGCAGGGACGCATTTTTCTTTCCTCCACTGCCCTATCTTCATCAGCTTGCCAGTCACCACTTTCTTGCTCATTACTGTCTGCACCCTTTAGTCGTCACCTTTCCCTCATCGCAATTCTGCTATCCGCAATTCGGCAAAATTAATACCAAAGGCCCATGTGTGCAGGTGTAATTCAGCAATAACTTCTCTTTTATTCTATGCGTTTGATGAAGTTGAAAGCTTAGATAACGAGGCAACCAACAGTAGGTAGAATTCAGGTGATTGACCTTAGGTAAATGAGTATCAGTTTGCACAAGAAGAACTAACACCCGGTCAATTTCTAAGAGAGAGCGCAAGGAATCAAGCAAGTTTGTCTAATACACAGATAGGTGTCCAAAGAAGGGCACTGATGTTATACATCTTCACTAAATGATATTCTGAAATGATGCTAAAGTTGAAGCGGCTCAAAGAACATTTCACAATAGATTATCTGCTGTTTCAAAGAGTGTGGGTAATAATATTGAAGCGGCATCCAGTTTCACCATACAAACCTGAAATCTGAATCCATCTTAGCAAAAATATAGGGAGACAATTCTATTAAGAGCAGCTCTTGAATTGAATGGATGGCAGATGAAATTTACAACACATGTATGCAAAATAATTTCCAATCTATCGACACCGTGACATAGCTAGAAAAGCTGTCAATTAATAGGAATTAAGGCAAAACTTCTGGAAATGCTGCATGACCAGGGAAAATTAAAAGTTAACAAGACCAGAAAAAAAGTATAAACGAAATTTTGAGCACTACGATTTTGGCACAGGAAATTATGAGGCAGATACCTGCACACCAATATTAACCAGATATCCTAGAAACAGACGCATGTCGAATGAAGATTCAAGCATCATTTTTGCCATTTGAGAAGTAGCCTGAATCAATAGGGACGAATTGACATTAAAGCATGCTTTCATGTCAGTATTTTGGAGGCTTTTTGGAATAAGGTCGTTCATATACTTTTCAACAATATCTAAAACTGTGCCCCATGTAGAAGCTTTTGTATATATTTCATGAAGAGACAGAACCATGTCAATAGAAAATTTCCTATGGCTTCTGTGTTCTTCTTGCTGTTTCTCACGCGCAGCATCGACTCCATCATGTGAGATGAGAGCACTGGTAATGGGCGATGAGTAGCCAGTTTCTAAAATCTTCAGTAGATGCGAAGTTATATCCTCAAATGAGAAAATGTCTGGATTGATGAGGGACATCAACATTGAAGCAGAAGAAGCTCTTCCAAGTTGATGACTAATATTACTCATGCATCTTAGCACATCAAATGTGATATCACGTTCCAAATCATTGTTAGGTGAAATCCAATCTGCATCTCTGAAATGACATACTCCACCATATGAACCTAAAATTCACCATTAGTTTCAAGTGTCAAAACAGCGACCAACTAAAAGATAACAAACTTATCAAATTTGAAAGCCACATAAATTTTAAAAGAACAAGGAGAAATATGCCTACCATAGATAAGTAGCTCGAAGTGCTCCAGATTACGAAATACCGAAATAGAAGCTTTCCTTATCAAACCAACTGATCCAGTTGAGGAATCCACAAATAAACTGTATGGTCTGTTGGTTTCATTCCAATGGTAAACAAATTGAGCACAAAAGTTTTTCCAGTAATAAAACATTGAAATAGGATTTGCGCTAGCTCCCTGCTCACCCACAATTAAAATAAACGAAATGAGACCGCGCAAATCAGCATAAGCTGATAAAACTAAAATGAAAAATTTGTACCTCACTTTCTATAATCGAAAATAATTCTTTTTTCAAACCAGCAACGTTAAGAGATAGAAATTCATGTTCAGTGACATGTTTTCTGTGATCTAGGATAGTTGCACGCAAAGCAGTACTTTGATGTACACCTGGCTGCAGCAACCTGCTCAAAAATATGGAAGATATAATATATGGAACCTGCTCCTGCAAAATTTCCAATCGGTGCCCCAAAAACCGCAGTCAGATCCACCGTTAAATTGAATAGTCTGACTAATCACATCAACGAATGAATATATACAGCTGCAGGTGGGTCTATTGAAATACAATGATGGACTATGATAAAGAGATGAAAACCCACACTATTTTATGTAACAAGGCACAACCAAACAACATCACTTTTGCATGTCAATGGCCTAAGATGAAATTTGATTGGCCTGATATATTGGACATAAAATTTAGGAAGGAATACTGGGGACAGGATCGAAGGTTGGATTATGACAGCCAAGCTCTTAGATAATTGAAAATCAAAATCCTGCACAAGATATTCCCACTAAACCGATCATAGTATTTCAAGAAACCTTGTTTCAATTACATGAGTTCTTCACTACTGTGGCCAAGATTGTGATATTAGATAACTTTCCAGAATCAATTGAGCCTCTGAAAAAGCAGACAATTTGGGACGCATTAATTTATCAATCATACTTTTCTCCCGGAATCTCATAATTATAGATGTATTCTTACGGCCTCCATTCAATAGAATTACAGGACTTTAGACCTTGACTTCCTCAGTCCCATGTTTTTTATGCATGAAAACAACATCAGTAGAACTGAAAGATTTTACACAATGAATTCGGTACCCACTCCTAGACTGAAGTAACCAGATAATTGTCTTCAAGACATTCCAACACCGTGGATAGAACCCCGTTAAAAACTATCTGGACATGGAGACGTTTAGGATTCACACTATCATAAGCCTCCTTAATGTTCTTCTCAACTACGAGATCAAACAAAAAATCTACATGGGTCTACTGCGCATCAGGAAGAGTAATATCAAGCATTGACCATTACATATTTTTCCCATATAAAACCGAAAAAATGGAATCTTTGGAGATTTTCTTCCCACTCAATATTCTATTCCCATCCGCAACATTTTCAATTCTGAGTTATCTCTTCTCAAGGTAGTCAGAGGATGTAAAAGAAGTTATAATATTTAGCACATAACCACTTAACTATCCCCCAGAACCCACATTTAGAATATAAACAAATATTAAAGAATGCAGTTTGACATCCCTCATCCGGGGCAATGTAAAGTTTTAGGATTCATGGGCGTCTGATCCAGAAGATTTAAGAAGATATATTGCGCCATTAGGCCATTCAAGATATGTTCTTGAGTCCTCATTAGAGCTAGAAACTAATAACCACTGCTAAGTCACCATATAATTGAACTCCTATTTAATCCAAGAAATATATTTTTTTTAAAATCTGGATCATCAATTAGCCTTGGTACCGCGCTGGTGTTTGTGGGTAAATTACTATTAATCAAAAGCAATAAAACCTATAAGCCTTAAATCAATTAGTATCGTCCCCGATGTCCACAAATAGCAGAAATCAGACTAACTTGGATAGTTGCAATCGAATATCGCCACTTCTGATTTGACCAAACCAACTTTTGAAAACAGGTAACCTTCGGTCAACCATCACTCGTGTCCTTTTCCGTACTTGATGTCTTTCTTTGTACTTACCCAAAGCAGTTCCCTCCCAGTATAGCTTGCCTGCCTCCAACATTGTCTGAATGATTACTTGCTTTCTTTCACTTTGACAGGGACCATCCTGATGCCAAATCTTTCTAATTTCTAAGTTTAACACGGTAGTAACTCAGGTCATTTCATTTCACGTAGATAAAAGAAAGTACTCGAATCGCAGTCGTTACAACTGTTGACAAGAGCCTTCCTTGAACTTAACAGAGGATTTTACGGAGGAAAAAGGACCTAATGCAGTGGACTATTACATAACTCAACCAAGACGGCTAAACAGTAGGCAACTAACCGCTAATTGATAAAAATGATGGAATAAATGAGAATTTTGACATTGCAGGTTAGATATCTGTATGTGCAAAATAATACGATTGCAAAAATCAATGGCCGATGATATTTTAAAACTATTAGCATTCTACTGGACTACTCAAAATTACAAGTGGCCTTTGCGACCAAAAAAATGTGCAGCCATTGACAAATGTAGCCTAGTCCCACACATTCATGAACAGAGTCAAGCACGCAACTATCTGTGTGGCCACAACATTCGCATAATTCATTGATGATGAATAACAATGGATTCGAGAATGAATGCCATTTCCCAATAGCTAAGTGCTTGAGTCTATCAATAAACACAAAACTGCCCATGAATGGTTCCTCACATAGGCGAGCTTGAGGCCTAGAACATCCGACCCTCATCACCTAGCGAGCATTTAAATAACTATGTACCTCACTCTTTCTCCTGCAGAACAGTCTGCCCTCCGAGCAGAAGCCTATTAAAATCTATTAACTTATCGATGTCATTATCCTCAATCAAACTGTGGAAACCAATCTAAGAAAGAAGTTAGAATAGCCCGAATTATCTTTAATCCACAGTAATCGTGTCATACAGTCGCTCTAATGTGGTACTCAAGAGAATGAATTTTGCTGCTGCTGCAGAAATGGCAGTGATTAGAGAGTCATTATGATCATTTACTTTCACCAGTGTACACGTTTGCACCCACATTATTCTGCCTTCTTTACTAAAAAAAGAGAAAATAGGCTAAAGATTTTCAAAATGGCTATCACATCTAGGCAGTATAGCTTAGGGAGATATTCAAGCGTCCAACAACTACAGATGCTATATATTCATAAAATTATCGTTCCTTCCAAATGTTCACAGTCGAGCAGTATAACACAGATTCTAAAGAGAAATTCATCCATATATCATGATATCCAATAGCAAGGGCATGCCAATCAACATGAGCATAGCTATTAACTAAAGAATTGATAGAATACCTTCTGTGATGAAAAGACTGATGCTTCATTCCATATTAGATCATCAGATGGCTGATGAGGATCTTGAAACAAGTGATCAGAAATGAAATCCTCCTGCAAACCATAACTATTCATGTGCTCCCTGAAATTAATAGCCACAGTTAATGAAGTCGCTAACCAGAATAAATTAAAAAATTCTAGAAAAAAGCACCATTTAACCACCGAAACAGAAAACGATTCTTGTCACCAAGAAAGGTCATTGTTTCCATATTTCAAAAGAGAACTTTCATATTCTAGAAAATTTCACCGGTTTCTATCCAAGCTTTCTGTCACTTGTACTAGAAAAGCTACAATTAATCGTGATAGAAGTTTTAAGACGTACCAAACAAAAAGTCAAAAGGGGAAACCTAGTACTTTCCCACTTTTAAAAAATGTCATTGTAGCTCTAAAAGAGGTAGTCAATAAAAATCTGAACTCTAGGCGTACTGTGAAAAAAATCCTAAGGTGCATCATGAGACGTGATTACCACGACCTCAGTGGTATCAACTCTTTATCAATGCAGCAGTAACACAAAATTCAAAAATGCAGAACACAAAAGTACAAGAAATAAACGCATAAAATTCTGCACATAAATTTAATACGATACCAACCAACATTAAAGAAGACTGGCATCATGGGGGATGACTTTCTGCATTTAATTATAATTATAAGAACATCGAGGTATATTGGTTATTTGCTGTCTAAAAGCTTGTTCCCTTAATGATACGATATTTCTATTTAACGTTCTCTACAAAATCTAAAAAGTTAATTTTCCAGAAGGAAAATTTCACTTACACTCTAATATCTGAATGAAGAAGATCATAGAACATTGATCCATCTTCTTTGAGTATATATAGCTTGTGTGAAGTAAGTTTGAGGTCAATAAGGATCCCCTGAGACCAGCGTAGTAAAATTCAGTTTCTAAGGAGTCAGAAAGGTTGCTCTGGCATAGCAACCAGACATTAGATGCAAACTATGATACACAACGCAAATTTTTACCTGATCCAAAGGAATTGTTTGGATAGACACATTGGGCGACAATGTGATTTTTTCCCCAGCAGTAAAATGGATGTAATGCAGAGCAATCATCGAATCTGAATCCTTCACATACTCAGGTAATGTCAATGAAAAAAATTAAAATAAAAATAATTGCTAAACAATTCATGGGGTTATGAAAATATTATCATTTGAAGTCGAGAAATGGAGTGAAATAGTTATAAAATCCAGGGATCTTAGAATGACATGCAATAGCATTAGACAGAAGAAGTATTTTGCAAACAATTTCTTTACCTAATGATCAAAAGAATGTTGACTGTATGTGCTACAATAAATGGAATTTAAGCTACTGTCCCTAGTAGCCTTTCATATTTGATAATCGGTTCCCATAATCTTCATACTGTTTCAGAAGCACCCATAAAGTAAGAAACCTCTAAAACTAAGAACGATCTTTTCCCCTCATCAGAAAATGTAATAAGTTACGGAGATGGGTGGATCCGCAAATGCTGTCTAATAGTCAGAGCTTCAATACCCAACACAAAAGCCTGACTACTGCCATCATCATTTTTTATTTACACCTCCAATAACAACTAAAAAGCATGTAAGAGCCGGCACTTGTGGCTGGCAGTCCCACATGGTCGTCACAATCCAATCTGGAGCATCATATGATACTAATAATAGGAAGATCCCAGTTGGATAGCTGTCTCCTCGAAAATCTATACCTTTACCCAGAACAGCAAAACCACCCGCATAACAAAGATAAATTCAGGGCGAGGTGTTTTCGAATACCATTATTAATTTATTGATACTATAGCCTTTTGGCCAAAATCTTGTTTTATACTTTATAACGTTGTAAATATAAGCTTACCATTTCATGTGAAATTCTACATTTTAATTTTTTTCTGCGTTGGCATCACTATTTTTGTAACAAAAACATAGCAGTCAAATAGCGTACAGTTATTTTAATTGCTTTCATAATAAAGTTTCTACCATGGTCTGCCAATTGTGTCAATAGGGTAAACTCATTAGAGTTTGATCTTCAACTTATTTTCCGGTAGGTTTATTCATAGTTCCTTCCCAAAAAAAAAACAAAAAATGCTGCTTCTCGCTTAAAAAGACCCTTCTAATATGTGAATTGAACAGCAAAGGCAGAATACAAAATATAATTAGAAAATTTGTCGAATAAAATGAACATGCATAAATATCAATAACTGAAACCAAGGATGAAGCATGTATCATTAGAAGAATCAAATGCTCAAAGCATCACCCAAAAACAAGAGACAAGAGCATAGTAATGGATTGTGCAAAAACAGCCGATTCTTCATGTCCAATAATTAATAAGAATGCTCCGTATTACTATTTAGTAATAGATTCTGAAAATATTTGACAAAAATTAAGAAGCTTACAATCGCAGATCCATACAGCACAGCTAAGGGAATTATGCCGGTGTCATAGTTCGGATCACCAACCCAAATCCTTGAAGCTGAAGATCCTGAAATTTGAATGCCCAATCCACATTTCTATAAGCTTTCATAGGGATTAATCAACTCGAATAGGATCTACAAGCGACGAATAGCATTATACATTAACAACTCATCTCATAAATTCCATATTGTATAAAGATGCGATCATTTCTTTAATCCTTACCAACAAAGATATATTGCAGGCTGTGCAAAATGGCATAATGAATCACCCAAGCAGCCAATAGATTGCAATGGCAAAACTAAAAAAAATTTCATATGAGATGATTGTAAACACTCCATTCCAGCATCTGGTAGTCCGCCATTTCCTTAAATGCACTTTACACAAAACTTACCTTGGAATTCATTAATCCCTTTAATCGCAAGGGAGCGGGTACAAACAGGGGTTTATGAAGTTTTATGAATATCACCTAAAAAGATGATTTAATAAATAAAAATATAAAGAATTAGAAGTATGAAACCATTTAAACCAAAGAAAAAATTCACCGATTTCTCCGCATAAATAAAAACAACTGAAGTTTTATTGGAGAATATATTAATCTAGGAATCTTTTGGGAAGAGAAAATTATTTGATGACTTAATATCTTGCTTACCTGCAGAAAAAACATATTAATATAAGGTCCCTGTCCAACATCTAACACCATCTACTTGAGGAATAAGAAAAACATGAAGGAAACGCTCAAGGAGAGATAGCTCAGTCTGAATAGCTACACTGTTATAATCAGCTCATTGCAAGGAAATACGGGGTATAAAAGAGCGCTGTTAATATTTGTCTCCATGTGAATCTTTCAATAAAACGTTTTACCATTACAGCACCCCACCTATATTTGCAAATGATATTAAACAGCGCTGTCAGGATCAAATATATATGAACAATAACATCTTAACATATTTGAAAGTAGACGGCATGACACCCTGCTCATGATACTTGAAATTTAATGGAATTTTTTTATGAGAATTGGTTGTTCACACAAATAGTGACACTTCATAGAGTAACAATAATTAGAACATAGGTACAAAAGATAACTTATTTGGAAAATATTTTGACAATTTTTGAGATAGGACCACTATTATTTGCGAGTAGTAGAGTAACAATAATAATGTCTGTTTTAAAATCACAGAGACAGAAGAGGTGAATGAAGATCTTAAAGGTCAACTACTTATGCCCTCACTATGAAGCACAAATATCTGCAACTATAGAGAAATATTGATGAAAAGACAGATGAAAATGATGAAATGAGTTCAATGATCTGTAGAAAATGAAAAGAAAAGAAATAAGATAGACAGTACCTGTAACTTCTGGCACAACAACGACATGATTGAGAACCTTGGAATGATTAAGAAGATCCCATACACGTAAGGTTCCATCTGAATGAAGAACAAACACCAGTTTTCTCGAAACAAGTTGAGATACCGTCAAATCCTTAACCGAGCAGATGCTTCTTCCTCTGCATGCCATTTTTTGGAATTGAAAGGAGACAAAATTTAGACTGAAGCAAGCACAACAGAAACAGCACGAAACTGGATGCATAAATTAAAAATTTTATTAACCAAACATGATTTCTACAACCAGCATTGGATGAAAAAATTAAATAGTATTGCGGTGTTTGTGCTTCAAAGGAACTTATCTATGATCAACAAGAAATTTCTAGGCCATCTGCAGGAGACCTGAGAAGAAACCTGACAAGAATTACATATTCTGGAAATGAAAGCACTCAAGGACAAGCTTCTATAGACCCCATCACCAACCCCACTTTAATGTCGACAGCAGAACCTTTCTAACCATCAAATTCATGGGCATACTCTTTCTACATCAAATAATGTCGTCCCTAGCATTCCACACCCCACAAGAAAATCCAAACATTTTAAAGCTTTTTTCAGGTCAAGTGGGACACTTTCTCAAAAGTATGCGACCAAAGCTGTTCACTTCAACAAGCTAAAAATATTTTCTCACGTAAGGATTTTTTCCCGACATGCTGGATACACCAAAGATGATTGAGCAGAAAGAAATTCGTGCACAAAAATTAATAATTGGTGAACAGCTATGCCCGACATGCTGGATACACCCCTACTCTGTCAAATTAGGTAACAAGGAAATCTTCAAAACAAACCCAAAAAAAACAGTCTTAGCAATAACTGAGGAACCTAATATGCTGTATTCAGCCTTCCTATTTGACTATGTTGTAATGCCACTATTTCATACAGAAAACCGTACTGATCCAGGTCATCAGCAAACCATTAACTGAACCAGAGAATTAATCTTCAGTGTTTCAGAGAACCATTTACAATGTCCAGCTTGTACCACACTGTAGCCAATCTAGAACTCGAATTCCACTCTCAACATCTTATCTATTTATTGCTGATCAACAGTAAAGGGACTTTCAAAAGCAATGATCTGGCCCATACTTCTGTACTAAACATCCGCAAAAACTTATTGGCACTGAATTGAGATCTCTCAAATTTATGAAGCCAAGACTCTGATCATCAACATCATCATCCTTTTCATCATCTTCATGTCACTTGCCTAGGCGTGTTGGGCACCTTGTTACCTTCAGATTGCTACCTTAAGACCTATGATAACATTGAGCAAAACGATAGAATGAAATCCACAAGGATTGACTGTCATCTAACTAAAGCAAAGCTAGAAAGTGAGTATCGCATATTCCCTCTGTTTGCTTAGACAACTCATTAACAGACATTACGTTCTTTCATATGAGCTGCATAATGCTCTGACATTACATTTCTTTGGTTTTGATGCCTATGTTTTACAAGGATCATATCCATGTGCTACTGTAGTATTGATAGGAGTTTTGGGTACTTCAACTGCACAACGATTCTATACTATCGTCCACTTGATGAAACCATTTACCAAATCTGATATGACTACCTTGGCTGAAATTCATTAAGTTTTTCGCAAGTAAAACAGCCAACTGCCTTAAATCAAGAGTTAGCAAATTGAATAGGTACCAGGAACAAGAATTTCGATCCTTTGGCAACAGAAACAATGATGGGATTGAGAAAGGCGGAAGCAAGAGGCGAGTTAAGCTTCTCAAATCTAAATGCATTGCAAAAGTAAAATGTACGCAAATTCATCACATTTTCTACATAACATCAGCTTTCAAAGATATTATAGACAATATTTCGATTGGAGTATCGATATTTCAAGGAAATATGCACGTATTTACAATTTTTGAATTTCTTTAAGACATGTAAATACATTCTCAGTCAATAAAAAATAGTATGAACATCTTTTTCCGGGTATTATAAAGGAATTTCAATCAGGTCCTTCACCCACGAAACGCCTAACGCCCATTAAACCAACTTAACCATGTTCAAACGACTGGTCCAGTAGGCTTATATCCTAATTCATCCCCGGTGAGTAGCAACCTTAAAACCTCAGCTAGGCTGTGATCCAGTAGTCATCCTGTTGAGAGATTCATTGGTAGCATGTATATTACAATTCAATCCTTTTGTTCGAGTATTTGGATCAATGCTCAAATCAAATGCTAACAAAAATGTCCTCAAACTAGCGACCAGAGTGTTACAGTAACACATTGACATTTAAGGTATTAGTACTTTAAGTTCCTCTGACAGAATCCATAAATCTCACAACGGCGCATACCCCACCATGACACATGATAGCTGGTGATTGATGTCCCAGATTGTCAACCCAAAAAACCACAATAGCTTAACTTCCATCATAAAATTCTGTCTTTCGTTTCTCAACGTAAGGTTGACACATTGTTACCACAAAACATACAAACTAAAATCAAAATTCTAAGCATAAGACAGCCCACTTATCAATGCGATGGACTTATTTATTAATTGTGTATACTATTTAGGCAGAATGCCTTTACCTATTATTACTAAAAAACTGAAGGAAACCTCAGAATCGGAGGAAAGTGAGGAGCATGTGCTAAAGGAAAAGAATACCTTGATACCAGGCTCCACAAGCGCCCTATTCCTACATCATCCCGCAATTCAAACGTGAAACCTGTGGCAGCAGAGGGTAAAGCTCTGTAATGACTTAAAACTAAAAAAAAAGAAACTCTGTAAACCCTCTCGTGGATTCAGTAAGAGAAAGTCAGCGCTAGATAGAAAATTACACTAAACACAGCCAAACGAACCTGGTGTGCTTTGTTCGAGAATGCCAAGTTGATAGCAGGTGACTGAACCATCTTGTCGTCCCAGCAGCAGGCACCCAAATGTTGCTGCCACAGCTATCACTTTTGAATCCGTTTGCACATCAACCTCCACGTACTCACTCTGACTGAGGACCGAGCCCGATACATATGTGGAGATATCTCCCAGTTTGAAAAGATAAGCTGCCCCTGACATGGTTAGGGCATACAGCATATATCTTCTACCAGCTACATTCCGAACCTAAGGCAAGACAGGTTCCTCGACCAGTTCAGATAAAGAAATAGGAAAAGAAGGAATATCATTGACAGGGAAGGCCAGAGACAGAATGCAACAGAGAATCAGAGGCAATTATGAATTTGAGTCGCCAATGCGAACTAACCTCATCTCTGCAGATAAATGAAAACGTGAAAAGTGACTCAGGGAAAACAAGACGCAATCCGCGTTCCGGAAACTCTTTCTGAGGACAGAGCTCGAGCACCTCAAGCACATTCGGTAGATTATTGTGTATTCTCCTGAAAATCATCAAGAAACAGGCAGGTTTGGAGTCAAGTAACGGGAAAAAATCCCACCATCATTCGTGCAGGAACATCAACTCGACCACTAACGCCACTAAAAAGCGAAAACAACTGGCATCATAGATAGACAAAAAAGGCTACAGGAAATATGGATAATCCTTCATCTCACAAACAATTCTGCTCTTACAGAGAGTTGAAGGCACTTAGAAAAGCAACACCGCGATGGAACCACCTAGAAAAAGAGCTCAACAACGCGCAGAGGACTCGAGAACCACAAACCAGATGAAATACGCCGGAGAGTCTCCCGCGACGACGTGGCAGGCGGCCGCATTGCGAGGGGGCGTGGATGAGGAGACCTCAGGAGAAGCAACAGCACTGGGAGGCGGCGTCGACGGCCGAGGCGAGGAAGGGACCGTGAGCTCGACCCACCGCACCTTCTCGCTTCCCACGATGGGCACCTCCACGCCGTCCGTCGGCCAGCTCGAGGAAGGCGGAGGAGGAGCTGGCGACGCCATCGCCGCAGGGGGCGGGAAGGGGTTTGGAAGAGCAGTAGGGTTGAAAGCGGGGTCTTTGAGCTCGCTAGCCATAGCATAGAGTGAAGAACAAGAAGAACAAAGCGGGATGGGAGAAGAGTTTGGCCGCCCGGTTCAAACCGGCACGGTCCGCCGAAAACCTATCCCCGGTTCAGAAAACCGGCTCACTTGCAGCAAATCTCGTCCAGAGCCCGGGCCACTCTCCCCCTCATCTTCGTCCCTCTTTCTCTCTCTAGCCATTCTCTCTCTAACCATCTGCTTCTCTTCATTCTATATGGTCCCATGAAGGCACCCATTATATCCGCACACCTCTTTCCTAGTATTTTATATTTTTTAAATGTATATATAATATCCAAGTGTGAAAATAATTAGAACTTGAAATAATTAAAAAAAGGAAAATACATGGTGGACCCATATAAGGAAAAAAAGTATAATTCTGGCCCAAATAATCCCAAACCTTAGTACCCATTATCTTACATCCAAAAAATTGCAGACCAGGGATCATCAAGCTCTCTCTCTCTATCTTCCCTCTCTCTCTCCTCTCTCTCTCTCTCTCTCTTCTCTCTTTCTCTTTCTGTCTCTCTCTCTCTCTCTCTCTGTCTCTCTCTCTAGGGCACGTGCCCACCTACACACAGATGTACATGTACAGATTTAGATAATTATGGAAAGCATTTTGTCGCATGAATGAGCCAGATGAGCGACTAAAGTATTCAGCGTTTTATAGAAGGAAATATCTCTGGGCAGAGCCGATGTGTAGTGAGAGGAAGAAGGACCGAGGATCAGAGAGAGGAGGCCGGATGCAGCGCTGGTCATGGGGCCAGCCTCTCGATCTGCCACACCCGCTTCCCCTCTGCCTCTCTCAGAGAGTACTGCAACCTGCCAGCCAGATCGAAGAACAGGTGAGGAGAGATACTCTAAAGGTAGCACAAGAAGGGAGCCACGAACCAGACCTGTCGTGCAGGCGAGAAGGCTGCCCCTGCCAGAACTCGAATCGGGTCGGCGTGAGCCTGTAACCTCCCCAGTACTCGGGCTTGGGGATCAAGCTCCTGGAAGGGTTTTAGAGAGAGAAAGATGAGAGACAAGAATGGGAAATAATGGGGAGTTTTTAGTGAGAGAGAATGGAAGAATCGAACATGTTTCTAGCAAATCTGGAGGGGAAATGATCCTCCCTTATCCATTTAAATAGGTCAAACAAATCTGGAAAGTCAACGGCGTTCAGCTTGGGAGCTGCTCTGGTTACTGTGAAGATCCGGCAGCCAACTTAGTCAACAAAGTGTGGGTTTCAGTGAATGAGAGGATCTTGGATCTCTGAATTGGGTTGAATCATCTACTGTGGATGGGCCTCATAACCAAGAAGATGGACTGCATTCAAACCACATATCTGGTCTTGATTTTATTTTTTTTCCGGAAAGAGGCTAATTTAGAATCGTCTTCCCCATGAACTATAGCCTAGAATAACATAGAATCATAAGCAGAAGAGTCCTCTCTCTCTCTCTCTCTCTCTCTCTCTCTCTCTCTCTCTCTCCCTTCTCTCCTCCCTTTCTCCATCTCTCTCTCTCTCTCTCCCTTTCTCTCCTCCCTTTTTCATCTCTCTCTCTCTCTCTCTCTCCCTTTCTCCCTCCCTTTCTCCATCTCTCTCTCCCTCTCTCTCCCTTTCTCTCTCCCTTTCTCTCTCCCTTTCTCCCTCCTTTTCTCCATCTCTCTCTCTCTCTCTTTCTTACTCTCTCTCTCTCCCTCCCTCCCTTTCTTTCTCTCTCTCTCTCTTCCTCTCCCTTTCTCTCTCTCTCTCTCTCTCTCTCTCTCTCTCTCTCTCTCTCTCTCTCTCTCTCTCTCTCTCTCTCTCTCTCTCTCTCTCTCTCTCTCTCTCTCCTCTCCCTCTCTCTCCCTCCCCCTCTCCCTCTCCCTCTCTCTCTCTCTCTCTCCCTCTCTCTCTCTCTCTCTCTCTTCCTCTCCCTCTCCTCTCCCCCCTGTTTCTCTCTCTCTCAAAACAAATGTAACAGCATAGAACTCAGAGAACGGTTGATGAAATAAAATGCATTTCTGACCCATAAACATTATAAACACTGATGCCCGATAATATATATATATATATATATATATATATCAGGCAACAAAAACTAACCCATCAGCGTATTTATCTTGCAGCTCCGTATACGCCTGGTGAAGTAAATGCCTCCCAGCAACAACACTACTCTGGTAAAATAACCCGCACTTCTTAATGAGTTCTCCATTCATGCATCCGACCATATCTTCTTCTAGATTCTCGCATGAAGAAAATAAACGCACCTGTCTGCTGACGATAGCTCCGATCTGGCTTCCACGCGGGCGACTGTGGAAATATGCCTCGGATTCCTCTTTAGGAACTCTCTCAACTGTGCCTTCGATTCTCACCTGTTATATGCAATGATACAATGTTACTATTCATGGAGATTGTCTTAGAGCAGATTATCGAATATTTTTCATAATATAATCAGATTCATTAAACTCTGTCCACTGTATTGGGGCTCAGTAAGCTCAATGGAACCATTCTCATGGTATTGATTGACTATTTATGGTATAGTAATGGGGACAGAGGAAGATGCTTTTCATGAAAAAAACAAGTGGTCACAACAAGCTCATCAAACAGTAATCAGGGTCAAGGCTGCCACATCATGAAAATCAGGCTCTCTCTCTCTCTCTTTTTCTCCCTTTTTCTCCCTCTCCCTCTCCCTCTCTCTCTCTCTCTAGGGTACGAGCCCACCTACACACACACATGTACATGTACAGATTTAGATAAATATGGAAGGCACTTTATGGCATGAATGAGAAACGGGCGACTAAAGTATTCAGCCTTTTATGGAAAGAAATATCATTCTCTTTTTATGGCATGAATAATGTCTTTAGTTCGTTCACAAAATTAGTAATGAGGGCAGCGGAAAATGAATTTCAATTTCATAAATTTTTTATAAAAGCCAGGAATAAATAAGGAAAAGTTGTGGTGATTCAAGCAATGTTACCTGGCGATTGAGTGGGTCCCAGTAAAAAAGAAGTGATGCATTAGGGTTTGCAGACAGCTCACGCGCTTTTCGGCTTTCATAGTTAGTATACCTGAAGATTACAAAGGATGGGCATACGAATCAGGTGCCGGACTTAGACTAGTCACTTGTGATCAATAATCTGATTATGAATAAATAATGCCACTGACAATACAAAGCCGTTTTCATCAAATCCTTTTAGCAAGACCATCCTTGAAGACCTGCAAAATAAAGATATCTCATAAATAATTACGAAAATAAAATGTCATTTTAGTAAAAATTATAATCCGAATCATAGACAGAAAAATACAAGAACAAAGTCACATCAACCACATACGGTTTTCCCTCCTTGTCGACGGTCGTCAAGGCCATGGCATTTGGTTCCCTCACTTGAGCAGTAGCTGCATCATTGAACCATTTACGGAACTGCAAGAGAGCATTGATAGATCTTGTATGAATGTCAATAGTAAACCTTGCCTACTTTGGCATTGATAGATCTTCAAGTATAATTCTTAATATAGTAGAAATCTAGTACGATCCTCAAGAAATATGTCATACCTGTTCTATAGGGTCAGCTAATACGTGATCCTCAAGAAATTCTGGTGAAATGTAATTCTGTCTCATGGCTGACACATCAAGAGCTAGGTGCTCACCAATCCTGACACACATGGAAGTACCAGGGTATGGCGGTAGGTGAAGACCATACTTATTGGCAATGGGTGGAGGGACAAATCTGCCGCCTAGAAAATGATGAGGCCCGGTAAATTTCTTTGCGCAGAGCTTTGGAGCTGTCAATGACACCTAAAACCACAGCTGGATCAATACTAAACACGGTACATGCACCGTCATATGATGAATTTGAAAATGCTAAATAATTTTACCTAGATAAGGGTGAATATAAGGTGAAAATGTCTAACTGGATACTGATACATGCATAAGAAATTCAAGAATAATATAAGAAAGCAAAAAACTCACCAACATATGAGGTTTAATCCCTCCTTCAGAATCTAGATCTCCTTCTTCAACATGCCATCCAGAGGGAATATCCACAGAAACAATGGCCGGTGACTTCTCAGCTGTTGAGCTGAGATTGTTCAAGGAAATGAGCCTGTGGACAAGATCATCGAAGGGTGGCCTAGGCTTGCCTATGCAACCCAAAGAAAATGTTGCTTAGTCAACGAGACAGATACACGATAAAAGTTTGTCACACATACAGAAAAAATTGCTCCGATATTACTACATATTTGCTATTTATACTGATCCCTATACATCGAGTACTGAACAGGGTAGGCAAAAAAAAATGGCAAGTTGGTTAACGACCTGAGAATGCAGATTATGATAACAATAAACAGATGTATAGATAATCATTACCAAAATAAAACAAGTATGCGAAAACATAGGAGGTTGTGATGACTCTTTTCGAATGTTGATCCAAAGCACAAGTGGTATTAAAACCTGCCCAAAGATCAAATGGTGGCAGTAGAGCCATTGGCATGGAAGGAACACAGGTTAATTCCAATCTTAATCAGACATAGCCCATCTGCCTACAAGGAAATCCAATCTCCTATTAAAAGGCACTAATTTAAGCTAAACATACTGAGATCGAACAATGTATGATTGATCTTCCCAGTTCAGCTGGCCCAAAGGCCGACCAGACAAACCTTCATAAGGTATTATTTCCTGCAGGTGATTTCCACCTGAAGATTATCTGCTCCATAAAACACATACTGTTTCCACTATTGTTTTCTGAAACAAATGTTAACAAAAGATTAAATGGTATATTGTTATAACCCTTCTCTTCTACGTCATTATTTTTAAGAGAGAATTATGGCCTTCCACATTTTTCAAGTTCCTAGCTAATTATTGTATCTTATATTTTTCTGATTTTTCATAATTTATTTTTTTGAATTTTTACTGTTACTAATCAATTTTTTCATTTGAACAGAAGCCATTATAGGATGCGGTGCCTCTCCATCCAACGACTTGACCCGCCCAATCACATCCAGACCCGATTTAGATCAGAAATGGCCTATCCAGCCCCATTAATCCAAATTGAAATTCCTCGACCTCCACTGAGACTACCACCATTAGCCCATTAGCTAGGACACCGAAAAGTATGGTAGAAATAAACAACCACTTCTCCATTCTGTCTTGAACAAACAAGTTAAATATTTCTTGACCTTTCTACCTTCGTCCATGACTAATTCCTAGCATTACGGGCATAACAAATGAACCAAAAAATTTACAGATACCAAAAAATTTAACAACAAAAGTTTTAGGCATTCTACTGTAGGTCTTTTTTCTCTGTTGCAGGTCTGTAAATTTCTAGCTTAGCACTTAATCATAGTTCAACAAGGACAGCCATCATTATAATTAATCCTTTTAAAATAGTACGCCTATATTCTGTAAGTAATCTGAATTAGCCTTAGATTAAACCCTGGTTTTGGCTGCACTTATTTTTGACCCAGATCATAAAATTTAACCAATTCCTAACAGTACTTAAAATGTTAATAACATGGCAACTTTAACAGCGCATTTTGATATCAGATGCATACAATTTACAGTCGGTAATCAAGATCAGGCGCAGATATGACAATACTCTAGAGTGGCTATAGGTCATATATTCCGGAACTAGTAATATGTTTACTTTCAAGGTCTCTAGGTGGATAGAGCCACAAGAATCCGCATATCTCCAAGACATTGTCCGAGGATCTCTTTAAAAACTCTTGAGCCTTATAGATTATCACACAAATCTTTTAGATACCATCTTACACCAAAGTTCATGTTAGAACATTAATCGGCACAAAACATTCGAAATTTTGGCTCCAGAAAATTGGTAAGCCAGAAGTTAGCACATCAGATGCATCTGAAGTTCTACTTCATGGGGAGCCTGGGATTTCCAAAAGGCAATATTTCAAGTGAATGAGAAAAGTCCATTTGGATGACAATAGGTTATAATTGTAGTTCCAATGTTTCCAAACTCATTTTCTGGACATTCTAAGGTGTTAACGTTAACAAAAAAGTATAATGATTATCATACACAAGTGAAACAAAACGCTGAAAAGACAACTTCTCTTAATTATAAGAACAAGGAAATGAGAGTCCTACCTTGAAACGAGAATCCAAAAATGGCATCAACAATGACATCAAAATCAGTTGAAAAATCCTGAGGCAGCTCTTCCACTGACAAGAATGGAACTGATAGTGCTCCTAACTTCAAAATGTTAAAACGATTATGGCACATAACATAGGTAAGTTTCCAGTTTGTGTTATACAATGACATTTACCTGGGTAACCAATCCTGTGTAGAGAGTCTTGGGCGTACGCTTAGGATAACAAACAACTGGCTCATACCCAAAGTGATACAAATGCCGTGCAGCTACCAGGCCATCACCACCATTATTTCCCGGACCACAGATCACAAGTATGCGGCTATATTCGTTGCTTTTATACACCTGACAAACAGCAGCCTTTAACTTAAGCATTTTAAATACCTCAGATTCTCGGAAGTCAAATATCTAAACGGATGAAGATCTGGAGAGTTTTGGAAGAGAAAAATGGGATGAGATCGAAAAATAACATACTTGTGCTAGTTTGGTGTGAGTAGTCCAACAGGTTCTGGTTACCAATTATTCTTACAGAGCCTCTTTCATGAATCAATTTTCCGTCTAACAACTAAATCAATTAGATGATAACTGTCCTGACAAGGGGATATGACACTAATTTAGAAACCTAGAGGTGATTTAGCAGATGTATGATAGCATTTTCTTGTTACAGACTATTTCTGCAGGCGCATTTCCTAACGGAAATTTAATTGTTTCAGCTAAATTTCGAATGCAAAAAAATAATTTAGTATCAGAAAAGATACATCAGAGCGTTGGAAATAAAGACCAGCCCTTTTATATGAAATGTCACAAGAAATTTGGAGAGAAAGGGATATCAATAAGTTAAATAAAGAAAACACTGCTTCCAAGTTATGTTTATCCAACTTGTCAATTTTTTTTCTACTCCAGCATACTCATATTCTGTTTAACAATAAACAATGCACATTAACAAAGCAAAACTGTTATTCATCTGACTCTGACATTGTTTAACAATAAACAATGCACTCTACCCCCTAAAACTGTGGTGTTTTAGGGGGTAGAGTGGATATAAAAGTTGGGGCAAGAAATGTCCAAGAAGTCCAAGTAATGCGATTGCTAAATAGTTTTTGAACTTCGTGGATATCCTTCTGAAGTAGATGGGCTACACAACAAGGAGATGGGACGAATTTTTTTAGAAAAAACTTCAAACTAGAGTGCCAACGCAAATCAGAGGCATAGCTAAACTGTCCACTAACACAATCACTATACCTTTCTTCGTATTACAAATCTTATAATTTATATTTGAGGGTCATCAAATCATATGAACCCAAATGGAATACCAGCAGTTCTTGAGTGGGTGGAAAAACAAAGCACATATTTCAGATAAGTCATACTTTATTACAAACATAGGAGGGCACTTGTGAAATGAACCCCTTGTTCCATTCTCAAGGAGGAAGCAAAAGCAGAATGAAGGCATTTCTAGTTTAGACATCACAATGACCACAATAGACACTTTGCATCCTGTGATGACAAGCTAATGGGCTGGAGAGGATTTTCCGAAAGAATCATAAAGATGAAGCGCAGGGCAAATTGTGATCTTCTTCTCTTTACTCTCACCATTCTACCATGGGAGGCTCGATGGGGATCATGAGATATCTATTATTTCTTGAAGAGCTCAGTTCGGGTCCAAGAAGCCTATTATGACGCAAGGTTCTTGAGGATGAGGAAGCACGGATTCACTCCCTGACTGCTTCCAAATATCACCTTATATTGATGCACTTCAATCAGACCTTTACCATTGCCAGTGGAAAAAAATGTCCCTTCAATATGCACCATGGTTTCTAATTTTACAGAAAAAATAATTTAATGGTTATATTCATCACTGGAAGCAGGTATAAACATAAAGAGAATATATTAAAGCTTTTCTGGACGAATTATATTAATAAAGTTGTCAATTAGCAGAAGACAGGAGCGATAGGAGTCAAGGCAAACCAATGCATAACCTCGGCTATGGCGCTTGCAACACTCAATCCGGCCAATTCCTGCGGGTCAATTCATCACACGTGACTGAATGGCAGTTGTTTATCTACAAAGGATAGCAAACGAGAGGGAGTGGGAGAGGCAGTAATTTGGATGAGGTGAGAAAACGGACCATCAACTGGTCGACGCTGAAGCCAAGAGGCCCCATGAGAACCTCGTCGATCTCCGCTGCCTCCCTCTGGGTAAGATACGAAATCTCCGCCATTCTGTAGCCTGTCCCGCTCCCTCCTCCACTGGACGCGGAGAAAACACGACGAAGAGAGGCGCCAAGGGTAAGGCGAAGACCGATCGTCTGTATCCACGCAGCCAAATCACTTATCAGTCAGAGACCCGGAGAAGGCAAACGGGGAAATGAGTGGGGAAGAATCGATATACGCCGACATGAGAGTTACCGCGCAAGGGCGAGCAGATCCCGTCGGGAACCACCAAAGCGACGGCGTGCCGGGTTGTGGGTGTGGAGTACCGCAGACGGTGGCGGGGGAAGCTCCAGCAGGGCGGATGAGGTGCTTCGCCTGGTTGAGCATAGAGAAGCGGCGTGGCATGGCCCAGCACTCGCCTGTCCCTCTCTCCCGAGGACTCACAACGTCCTTCACTAGTACCCACTTTCAGTTTTCTTTTTTCTTACGCATGTTTTTAAATTATTTATTACATTATTATATTCTCATTTTCTGGTAATTTATATGTTTATTTAATTATAATTTGTATATTCATAAATTCATTTATTAATTATACTAAAAATAGGACTCTAGCCGGACCGACAAGACCAAGCCTGGCCCCCTTTTCCAAAATTATTACCCAAATGTAAAAGATTGGATGGTCTTTAAATTTTCTGAGCTTTGATTGAAATATTAAAAAGTGAAAAAATAAATAATTTTGTGGGTAAAAAATGGGCTTCACTTGGGGTTTTGTGGGCCCATAGGGCATTAAATATAATGATATTTTCAGGAACTTAAAAAGGGAAAAATAGAGTTAAACTTGTTGTCACTATTTTCTAATAATATTGTTTGAATTAAATATAATTCAATTGAAAATACAACTAAAGAGATGACATGTTATGGTGAAAGTGTAGGTTTTTGTGAAGATAATCTAATAAAGTTAATGAATATTTATTAAATTAATAAATAATAATTAATTGAAACGTGAAGCTCTCTCTAGATTCATACTTCTAAGGGACTAACACTTGATAGAAGGGCTCAACTCTCAATAGTAAAATTTTCACTCTAAACTCTCTTCTAGATTCACATGGCATGCCCTCAATATAGAATATTAAAGTTCTAAGCATGAAACCTCACTTTTGTGTGGGGGATGCATGACATGTGTAATTGGCACAAGATGATATGACATAGTACACACGAAAGGATATTGTCTATAACAATGAGCATTGACAAAATCCAAGACAATCACTACACAATAATGGTATGAGTACATATTATGCATGTGAGTAGTAGACATCTAGATCTTTCCACCTATAGCTTTATTGTGTAGTAGTAACTTCTCATTATACTTGTGTGTTTTTATCAAGTTTTTATGGGATACAAGCTTACTTGATATTAAGAAGATATCAAACTCTGCACATGATTGAATACTTTCAACTTCCACCATATTGACCAAAGTAGGATTGAGCAATACATGACTAAATGAATAATAGGTGGTTCATTTTTTAAGATATCACTTATGAAAGGATTATCCAAAATGCTTAAACAAAAAGGTTGTCAAAGTAATGGTAGCTTAAGAGATAATAACAGAAAATGATACACACATTGAACCACTTTGAACTATTGAGCATATTATATCAATACAAAGTCATTACTCATAATTTTCTCTAGGATAAGGAGATGTCTTAGTCGGATTTGATGATGCCAAAAGGAGATAGTCTAATCAAGGTCATCAATTTGACGACATTTACCTTACTAGGTAGGTGTTGTGTGGAGGGGCTCATTGAAGGTGATAGTATGGAAAGACATTGTAGATTTTATTATGCTTCTAACAGATGACTTTGATATCATCTTTTATATAGAATTTCTTGTGAGGTCACAAGTAAGGTCTTCACTCACATAATATCTTCTTTATAATTAAATTGAGTATGTGCTTCATTTTGAGAATTGAGAGACTAAAATAAAGCCAATAAATGTTGTAAATATTGCAACACTAAGATGGTTTATGACAAAGATAGAAGACTCGCCTCTATGATAGAGAGGAAGAGCATGACCAAGTCTCCTTACATCTCAAGGTAGTGGGAGATATAAATCCACAATAATTCCTAACAAGGTGGGAGTGTGTGCAGTGCATACATAAGGTTGACAACACTATAGGCACACAAGTCAACATGCACACTATGTGAGCATAAGTATCAAGGGCATGTAGGCTGATGGGGCCACAAGAGCATAGGTGAGCATGAATGTGGTAAGTGTTCACTTCATAGTAATGTGTATGGTGTTGTAAGTTAGTACACTATGACAATCCCACAAAGATTTGCCCAACTTTTGGAGGAATTTAAATATATTTTGCTAGAAAAATTATTTACTCTATTCTTATCCCAATCTAAGGTAGACCATACTATTGAATTTATATTTGAAGAATGAAAACTTGTGTATGCACCATACAAAATGGCACCAATTAACCATCTTCACCAAGCACCACTTACAATATGTATCCGATATATATATAGGGTCATATCCATCTTTAATCATGAGGTCAAGCAAGATAAAAGTAGTTACATCTGAATTATGATGCTTAATTTCTTATCGAGTTGACTAAAAGAGGACTGAAATGAGAACCTTATGTAGATATGTGAGGGAATCAAATTCTCGATTTAGAAGAGGATGTCATGCTTTCAACATAAAACATCCTAATTTTAGACATAAAACCTCACTCTTAATATAAGATCATGTCATAGTTTGTGTAGTATCTACACATTGTATGCATAATTATTGTGAGACAATATGTCAAGTGATGTGACTTAGTCGTTGTATAATAAATTAGTGAATTTAAAATTTATAAAGTTAAAGTACTATTTTTTAGATTTTTAGAAATATAGTAGAAAAAATAAATTAATTATAATTTGATAAAAAAAAATTAAAATAGTAGGTCAATTACTAAGATGTAAGATAATATCAGATAATTTTTTTAAAAAAAAAGAATATAGTTTTTTATAATTTTTAGACTAAATGATGAACATAAATATATTTAAAATTTGTAGAGAAATAAGAGTGTGAACATCAAGATGATGTCAATGCCTAATGAATCAGATGAAAATAAAGTTATGTCCAATGATTCTTATGTAAGTGATTATAGATGATTTAATAGGTCAAATTAAGTTTTATAAAAGTCAAAAAAATATAATTTGATGAAGAATAATTTTGAAACTTAAACTTGCACAAAGTGTCACTAAATTAAGTAAAAAATAAATTTAAAGTAGGAAAAATAGAGTTCTAACTTTACGACAACAATCGCTAGAACTTTATGTGTTCTAGAAGATTATTATACAATGTCTACAACCTCAAAAGCTCTCTTGAACATAGATGATGTGAACAATCTCTAGATCTTCTTACAAAGTTTAGAAATTAATAAAGTGGGTTTTCAAATCTTCCTTGGTGGCTATCACTCGGTAGAGTAGAAAAATGATGACTTTGTAACTCTTTGATGACTTGTCACCCAATAGAGATGAGCTGGATGGAGATAAGAGACATCTTAGAAAACTTCATCCTCAAGTCCACATAGCAAGAGGAGACTCTTTATTATATTTAGTACGCTCTCAAGATATGACAACTAGTCTCCTAGTGGATCCTCCTCTTCTCGACAACAGTTAATTCTTCGATCAATCGGAGATGATTTACTTAATAGACTCATGATCTTTTTATCTAGAATCATTCAACAATTTTAGTGACGATATTTTGTAAATCACGTTGACGATATTTTCATTAATAATTGAGCGATTCTTGAGGCTTGATCATTCACCTGTAATTTATAAGAAAAGTATGATTTAATTAGATAAAAAATATGAATTTTAGCTTTGTAAGATTCGAACCCTTGTCGGCCACCCACTTGAATGAGAAAAAAAGAAATAAATACTCAAATATCCTTATAATGTGACGTCATAAGAGTATCTCATTTTTATAAATAAGAGGTATTTTAAGTATTAATATCATTAAAAACCTTCAAAAATCTATTTAAGTATCATAGTAATTATTTTATGAGTTTTGAGATATATATAATAATAATAATTTTACAATCAATAAGTATCTCTCTAGCTTGTGTATGACCACTCTTTGCCCTATGCCTAACTAGTCACCTGTGATGTGGAAGTAGAGTGATGCACACATGTCTCCTACTACTCAAGCCATTACTTGTGGCTTTGCTTGACTATGCTTTTAACTTGCTTGTAAGCCTGACTGATCAATAGGTTTCTCCTTTTTTCTCTCATTTTATTTTATTTATCTTCATTTTTCTCAAAAATAAAGATTATAAAAATTATATAAATTTACATAAAATCACATAAATAGTCAAAAGTTTACATTAACTAACTAAAAAATATTTTTCATATTTAACATAAATATAAATTTATTTATCATGATTTAAGGCTAAAAATATATTATTAATTAATTATTAACTCATAATAATGAAAGCTTATCACTAGGGCACGCATAAAAAAGTATTAGATGCATAACAACGTGTAGTAACAAAATGTGATATGATCATTATACAATAATGACATAATATGACCACATGACCATATAAACATATAGTTGGTGTAAACATACAATGAGAACCTAGAACATGAAGAGTAAAATAATAATTAATAAAGGTGCACAAAATTACACTTGGCATAAATATAGAGAATTTCAAATAATAAGAAGAAATGAAATATTTGTAGGCACATATGTGCAAGGCATCAATGTGTGAAGTGTTATTCCTAAAGATGAAGTGTCTTACAACACTTTGGTTGTTTTACTTTGATTTTCTAAATTGAGGAACCTAGCAACATCTATAGTAAATATTAATAGATGCCCAAGCTTTCCCTCTTGTGCATTTATCTATATAAAGTAGTAGTAGTTTTCCTTTATATGTATGTGCTTTTGTAAAGTTTCTATAAAGGTTTAAATTAATTAGTATTGAGGAGTCATTGAAGGTTATGCATGGTTGAATACTTTTTAATTTACTCATTAATTGTCTAACATCATGGCCTAAGAAACAAATAATTGATTG